CCCACTGAGTCTGAGGGCGCTTGGTCCTGATGGTCTCAGCGAATGCCTGGACCAGGCCGAAGTAACGAGCAGTGAAGTCCAAAGGAGACTGGATCAGGGTCAAATCCAAGCCACGGTTGCGGAAGTAGGCCTCCTGCTTGGGAATGTCGTCGTCCGATTCCGGAACAAGCACAATCAAGCCAGCCTTGGTGTTTCCGTACGAGTACAGCAGGGAAGGAAGCAGACGGTCCAGACGGTCAGCAGTGGTAGCCAGACCGAACAGGAGCTTGTCGGTCTCGTCCACATCGTTATCAGCAGCAACGTTGACGTCGATGATCGGAGGGCAAGGCAGGGGTTCCTCGTTCTCGGGCGACACGACCATACCACGCTCCATGACGGTCATCGGAGGGAGCACCGGGACTTCGATATCCTCAAGCGAGTTGAACTCGGTCTTGGGGCTCACATGGTGAGGACGGAAGTAGGCACGGGTGTAGTTCTTGCGAGGAAGCCATTCGCTGAAGGGCAGAGGAGCCTGAAGACCAGGGTCCACGTCGCAGGCCTTGGATGGGGGTGTCGGTTGCAACTGGATTTGCGGGGTTGAACCAGCGACGCGATCGGCTGGATGCTTGAAACGCAGAAGGGCAGCCTGGTCGAAGCGCTCGACGCACCAGAAAAAGAACCCAATCGAGAAAAGGGCGATCAGAGGGAAAACCGTCTTCATACGGAACATCGGCATTTTGGCGGTATTATTATGAGTATTCTTGAACATGTGAGATTGTAGAAGTCGGTGACGAGTTTATTAAATTTAATTTTTCTCTCGTCTCAAAAGCACGTCAACCGGAAACGAATGGTTGTCGTCACTGGAACCGTTCTCGCAAGTCGTCACGTATGGAAATATGGTATAAAGAGTGGAATTGGCTGATAGAAAACTGATCCTGAGCAGGAAAAATTTTTCTATTGCCTGGTAGACTGTCAACGAAAGGCTGGCAGCGTCGAGACCTGCGACACGGTCACGGAAAGGGGTGAGAAGCCCCGGAAGAAATTATGGGGGGCAGAAAGCCGCAGGAAACAAGTAGGAGAATAGAAAAAACCCCAAAGAGAACAGGCCGTCGAAATCGCGACCAAACGGTGCGTCGAGGGCTCAAAGAAGAGGGAACAAGAGGAGGGAGACGAGCGCTGAGTGTCGAGGGGTTGAGGATGTCGCGAGAGGAAAGGGAAAAGGGGAAGAAGGATACGGAGGGGGGGAGAAGAGTTCGAGAAGTAGAGGAAGAAGATGAGGGCGGAAGACAGGAGAGACAGGCGACTGGGAGCGATCCCAAGTGGGAATGCCGAATGCTGGACCACGGGTTGGGCTGGGGCCAAAGCTCCTCCACTGGGTAATTTAATCTGCAAATATTAAGCTCAGCCCGTCTCTGGTCTGGCTGATTCTTGCTGTTGGTTTCTTGCTGGGGCAGATTAAACGACGGAAGGGGTCTGTTCAAGTTGCAGAGAAGTTATTTTGCTTCCTTTTCCTTTTTCTAAGACAAGCAGCAGCCAAGTGTTGCACGGCAGAGAGAACGAGAGGAAGATAAAAGAGAAAGCAAGAGAGAGAGCATCAGATGAGGTGAAAAAAACACCAGCTGGCCCGGATCGAGGAGGGCGATAGATGATTATTTTTATCTTGAATTAAAAAAAAATAATAATCACAATATTGCTCACTCACTGTCTTCGACTTCCTAACGAGGAATTTACAGAATTTACACCACGATGATGCTTAGTGTTCTTATGCTCGGCCTGTTGACGCCTCCCGCTGTACGCCAAGTTATTTACTGTTCCTTTCCATTTCAGTCTTTTGTATTCTCTCTTTTTTGTTCTTTCTTTTTTCTTTACAGTATCCTGCTTTGTTTACACACACACACCTTTCCTGCCACCTCTTACGCTCTTTCTTTGCGCTTCAAGAATCATACTTGTTCCTGCCTCTGGACGAGATTTGTGTGAGTTTCCTGAATACGGCACTGCCCACCACCCACCTATTTTTTGATGCCGATCCCTGACTGAAGGAAGAATGTCGATGGGCGGATCTTCACTGCTCCACCCGGCCGGTGGCGGGTAATTTTCAATCTCGGATTTCGGACCCTTGCGAACTTGTGATACGGAAACGGCGGCCGTTCATTCCTCGACGCGTTGACAGTCGTCGTCGTCGTCGTCTTCGTCTCCATCTCGACCTCCACGAAACAATCCATCCTCAATGGCATAGTATGATGCCACCGCGTCTCAGGATATCATTCTGTGACAGTAGTAGATCCAGGGAATGCCCCGATACATCGAATCATATTAGTTGACAGATCTCGAGAAGTCAATGCATTTCCCCAGGCTTTGTTTTCCCCCTCCCTCCCTCTTCGATGTACAGTAGTACATGCGTGGATGCGTATCTCCGTCTAGATCCTCCAGATACCACATGGATGCGCAGAAGTCCCTACAGCAGAGTCAACTGATCAATCGAGCGCCTCCCGGAGAAATCAACATGGTCTACAGAAATAGAACATCACCGGAAATCCTATTCAGGCTCATTATTCTCCGGCTTTTCTGCCTTACTGACTCCCTCTTGGTATTTGTAAATGTTATGCTTCTAAGCTTGCGCCGACCAATTTGAGGCAATCCCGTTCGACTAGGTTAGTTACTAGAGAGACCTGGTAGCCTTCATGATGGAATGTCCAAGAGAGTGATCACCATTGCTCGTCTATCTTAAACTGAACACTACTGGTAATACGAAAGACTGTATGTCTTTTTTCCCTTTTTTATTCTATTCCATGCTGTTTGTGGTGGTACGGATGAAATGACAGCTGGTCTCTGGCTGCTTCTGGACTCCAGCATCAATCCTCCATACATTCTCGGAATGTTCCAGCGGGTGGACCACCTCGGGCGGACTGCTATTCTTATCATCCCGCTCTTTCTTCTTTCCGGACACACTGATAGCACAAAGTATTAATGCAGACAGCGTCGAATGCGTCCACTACACCCACCTTCACGCTTTCAAATCCGCATGCACATTCATATCCATGTCCGGCGCCTGAGACATTAATCCGTCCATTCATTCATATTTGAACTTCTCAAACAGGGTGTAATACCCTGTCGAATGTCAGAACGCCTTACAGAGTAACCAACCGGCTGGTTGGTGCAGCTAAAAAAGATGGAAACTTCGATCTGCGCGGTTGCCCGCCGTTTCAGCCAGTGAGGAAAGACCCTTTAGGGGCTCGCTGGGCCGGTGGCCCCACGGGCCGCGTGTCCTTCCCTCCCCCTTCTCCATCCAACCATCCATTCTCCTATTCTTGACTCTTGCTCTCCCTCTACCCCCGTAGTCACTGTGTATCGGGTATAGTATCAGCTCATACCCTGATTCAGTCCAGTGGTGTCCGCGGAAGTGAAACTAGGCTCGTCATGGCCACCAACGTGCGGACCATTCAGATTGGTAGTGGAAGACTGACCACAACAGGGTACCTTCGCTCTTCAGCACTAGGCCGATAGACTAACAATCCACTACTCTACTGCTGGGCTGGGCTTGCCTTAACACATCCACCGGTCGGCAGGGTTTACCTCGACGCATCTACTTAGTGTCGGATAGAAACCCTCAGATCCGAACAGCGGAGTCTTCCGTGATCCTGTTGGTCTTGTTTTTCAGCTGCCTTTCCATTGCCACGTACTGGGGATTAACAGACGAATCCCATCCAACTCTTGGGACCAACATCCTCTTATTTTTGTTCTATGTATAGTGCCACCACGCTCCACGAGTTTTGGAGAGTGGCAAAGTGTGGCCGTGTGGTTGAGCCTCATGAGTGGACATGGGCTGAGCGGATTGCCTCCAGACTCTCGGCCTGTACCTGGTGGTTCCTCTGGTTGAAAGTGGTTCTGTTACTGCCCGTCAGCTGGTCCAACCACCCACGTTTCAGTGGAAATTTTGCAATTCCATAAGTTACGTGCGCCTTGAACAGCCCGTCCGGACGCGCGTACGTCGTACCTGATACTTTCTCCCCTCGTCACTCGGCAGCTTGTTATTGATGGATTGTTCAAGCTGCGTATCCGCGGAGGGGTAAACCCCAGTCAAACTGCGAGTGGGCGCAGAAAAGTAAAATGTTTGCGACATCATCCGACCCAATCGCAGGCATTCATCAGCAATCGTGTCGCCGCCCCCCCTCATCCATCCTGGATTGACCGGGCTGGCGCCATCGTGAACACCTGAGTAGTCAGTCTCCTCCGTAGATACAATTTATTTCACACAAACGTTTCTTCCTACCGTGCGCACGGCAGGAAAAGGAAGGAAAGAGGGATCGACATTGTGGTCGTTTCGCAAGCATGACCAACTTCGCTAAAAAACATTGCCGGACAATTAAGCTTGAACGCCAGCCTTGGCAGCTGTCACCTACACACCCATTTGATGGACCCTGACACTCTGTCAATAATCTCTGTGCATGAGATGCATGATACATCCAGCTGTCCTGTGGCATTGAGTTCAGCTCTCCCCAGGATCCCAACTGATTTACTGCAAACCATTCGTCAGTCCTTCACTGCCCAGTCCGAATCGTAATTGCATCCCAGATGGGCGGTCTAAACTCCAATGCAAGCACTTCCCTCCCCCTGATCATCATCCAGCCATCGCCATTCGGTCCAGTGTTGTTCACCCAGAGCCGAGATGCCAAGCACACCATTATGGGCCTCCGTCGCTGTTTAGGGAAGGATGTGCACCCGTTCAGGTTTGACTGCCGTCCTTCTCTTACCGCAAAAGGACGATAGCACTCCATAGTTATGGATCCAATGTCCAAAGGGCAACGAACAATGACATCAATTGGAAGAGAGGAGGGTCCTCCGCTCAGGGTCCATGTCGCTCTTTTCCGACGCCCGGTTCTTCCCAAGCCACCTGAATGAGGTAGAGTACGGAACGGCATCCAGCAAGTTCCTCAGATGGAGTCACGCTATGCCTTCTGCGTATTCAAAGAACCCTGGAAAAAAACATTAGCCCGTCATGGAACAGACCGACTTGATTCGAAAAAAACCACTTGCATAATTTGCCAGCGTTTTCACACTACTCATACGGACACCTGGTTAGTCGACAATAGTTTTCACTGCAAATCCACCACCAACGGTCACCCGTTATTCTGATAGGCCAATTGCCGCGAGCATGCAATCGGCCACTAAGGTAGTAATCAAAGCCCGAAAGCGAGAAAAATAAAAGCTTGGAAAGGAGTAAGAAGACCACTCTGGCCAGAACCATGGTATAGTTATCATGGCAGATAGTAGATAATGATGCCATATTCCGCCATAATGAGTATACATTATAATATTCATGAATAAATGAATGTACACGCGTCTCAACGTTCGAGATTCTCTTCAACCAGACAGACAAACCCTTCCAACGCCCCCGCATTAGCATCATATCAACAACAAAGAAAAGAAAGGAAAAATTTGGAAAAATCGATCTCCTCTACTATCACCCAACTTGCCAATTTAACTTGCAGATAAGGACTATCTAGAAAGTAGAAACAGTAGGAACCCGGAAATTAAGCGATATTAAAGTGAACACCGATTAGCCTACTTTGTATCTAGTCCGTTAATCTACCCGTGGACTATAGGATCTTAGCCCGCCGATAGAGCGTTTCAGATTCAAGATTTCGAGAAATGAATTGTGGGTAAATTTATGATTATGCTGTCTCAAAACGGGTAGATAGATACGTAGTGGGCAAGTAGAATGAATGTCTCAGACAAATTTATTAGTTTGTTATTTGCGGTGTAGATCTTTGGATTCATTGGCTTGTGGTCTGTTACTGTTATATTATAAGCATTTGGGGGGGGGGGGGGGGATTGATAGTAGTTAGTTAATTATGTGATCTGAAACAGAGTGTATATTTAATCTACTGGGTTTGTGAGATGTAGATTGTTTTTACTAGTTGATGTACTTTGTTGATGTAAGTTTGTGTGATCAGTGGTAGTATTGGATATATACTTTTGTTGTAGATCTGTCGGGGCAGATCAGATGATTGTGTTTTATATAGATGCTGTCAGTTGGTGATATATTACCCGACATGGTAGGAAGGTACTTAGATAGTCAAATCAGGCTGTCACTTATTTATTAGTTGGAAGTGTAAATTCGAATTTATAATGATAGTAGTGTTGATGTCGTTATTAAGTACTTGGAGGGTATATAAATCTAGGGACTATACATATATTCGTATGCTCTACACCTGGTTTCATAATAACCAGGAAAGAGAGATACGTAGTCGTTTACAATTACCCAATGATGCAATTTGTCTTTTCGATGTCACAATGTAGACTTAGTCAAGCATGTTATCGATTAACTTAAGGAGGCACTGATTTAATAATGAGGGGTCAGTACTAACAGAGTATAGTGCTATTGGTGTATACTTATCTCCTACATAAAGGTACATCTGCTCATACCGTTGCATCTTTATCGCTAATTTCGTTGCGTAGCACGAAGGATGCATTTAGAGAGCAATATAATCGCTATATATACACTCATGCGAGTATCATCATAGAATATGTTCTGAGGCACTTCCAGGAGATGTGATATTGAAGCATTACTGAAAGTACCATCACTGCGGGGGCATGCTGGCAATCGTCGGGTACTAGGGATAGGCTTCGGATCTCATGATCGTACAACCGTAAATAGACTGGCATTTCAGGTTCTCTTCAACAACGGATATATATCCCCCTTGCTTGGCGGCTAATAACGTATCAACAGTCCTGCCGAATACAAAATGGCAAATTTACACGCATGACATAGTAGTCTATGTATGAAGAAACGATGCTATCGTGCCAAGTTCTAGTTAACACTTAGAAAACATACCGAAAGGCTTAAAGTTATTACAGACCGATCCAATGCAATCACAACTCATTTCTCAATCTTGACATCAGTCTGTGTGACCGTATCACCTGCAGAAGTACCTGCTTGATCCCTGTCCGGCGAAGATGCTATACCTTTCGGAGTATCTATCGGACGATGGGATTCGAATTGCGACGACAGTATGTCCATGGACGAGCCAAGGACAAAACCGACATTATTCAGTTCCACATCATGCTTGATCTCATAGACACGGCCGAAGTAAATGCGAGCGCTGCTGGGCAGTACTGTTGATGGCTGCTCAAGTTTCAGGCGTATAGGCTGGATACTCATTCTTGTTTCTTCTGGCAATGGGTTGGGAATGTCCTTCGATGAGTGGAGTATAGCATATAGCTCCTGATCAGGTTGATCGGAACATCCTCTTCCTGAGTAATTGTATCGATATTTGTCAACAACAACGTGGACTGACGTTGGAAGATTTCAAGATGAAAGGAACTCACGTATGTATACCCAGACAAAGGCAGGATTTAGTACCCTGCTGGACGACCACGAAACGGCGGATGGTGATGGCTCCTACCCAGGGGTCCATATTCCAGGTGGGAAGGTTGTATTCGTTGGCAGTCAGTTCTTCGATTTCTGACTCGGATAGAATAGGGCGATCGGTGCTCATATCATCTAGACATATATAACCTTTTCTTTCCTCAAGACCCGATACATCGTGCAGCTTTGCAAATGTCTCATGGTGATATACTCTGAAGTGTCTGTCAACCCAGAAGTCCTTTGGGAATAGAACGTCACCTGGACACAAGTGACATTGGACTTGTCCATTTTTTTGGACGTCGCCATATTGAAACATTGCTGGCAAGGGAAGCTTTATAATATCCTCATAATTCTTCTTCTGTCGGGTAAGTCGCTCACTCTCGCGTTCATACGGGTCTGGAATAGAGTCTAACGGGATCCATTTTCTAGGGAGATGCGTGCAATCGATGTCTCCATCTGTAGCGGTCAATATCCCTCGCATGGCCACGGTAAACACCCGCCCAGGTCGGAAGAAGTCATCAGGACTAGAGACCTTTTCGAAGTCTACGAAGTACATTAGCCAGCATACATCGCAGTCTGTACCAGTACTTACTAGGTCTTGCACAACATGTATCCCATCCCGTGATCATTGCGCTTAGCCTAACATTCGGGAACCCAGACCTTTCATGGATCCATCTTGGAGTGACACTTGCACTTTTCCAAGCATCATCATCGGAGCTAGAGGAATATTAGCACTTCGCCCCTCGACCATACACACAACATACTCGGAGTAGCAAGCCATCCGTAAGAGGCTACTCAGGGACAACAGATTAGAATGGAGGATGTTGGATAATCTCTGAGCCGATATCATAATAGATATACTCAGTAAACGTCAACAGCAACTACCAGATAAACTAACCTCATCTGTCATCTCTGAAGATGATTTACCCGTTGAGAAGGTATACTTCAAGGCCAATACAGACCCTCCAGCTTGAGATGCAGGAATGCCTTTCAACCTGCTTACAAACTCGTGAATTACCTCGCTCATCCTGCTCGCCAAGAAGCGAATGGTATTCAAGGTCGATTGAGTCAACTGATTAGCCGCCCTGAGTTGTTCCACTTGCAGGAGGACTTTATGGACAGTGAGAAGCCGTGAAGACAAAGTCCGGTACTCTCTAGAGGAGCCATGTACTTTGGACAGGTCCTGGTAGAGCTTATAAGCAAGACTTGCACACGCTAGTATATCACCGACACCAGTACCAAGCGACATGATAATCTTTGAGTAGTTGGTATCGAAGCACCCGTATAACTTAAGAAATACGGTCCTGGTCAATAAGAAATTCCCGCTAAGCTCATGCACAGCCACAAGTTTTGAAGAGAAATACTATGATCATCCAAGGTGTGTGTCAATGACAGTGGGCTGGCTAGTTTGATTTGATCGGGAAGGAAATAATAGAGTAATGGGAGTAATCATACTGCCGGTGATGTAGTGGGAAAGGTTTAGCTGAGAAATACTGGCTGACAGACACCTATGCTGCAAGGCTGAGGTTGTAGCCTAGTCTAGCCATCTATGGCGTGTCTTACATCTCTCTACTGGCCGTCATTCTAATAGGTTGGGTGTGAACAGCCTCCTCCATAGTAGCAAGATAATACATTAGTCTATATTTCATTGTCCTCGTATACTACGAACTCATAGGACGTACAGCCACCCGGCACCAGGGAAAGTACGTGTGACCCTAGCATGTTTCTAATACTTCTAGGCATGAGATGCTGATGACCGAAGAAAGCGAAACGCGAAAAAGACCGTCTCAATAACAGCGGGTAATTTGAAACTGAAGCGGGAAGAAACAATTAGAGTGCTGAGCTCCCGGGCCAATCTGCGTTGCATTGGCTCGGAGGGTATGAAGGGTGGTGGGCTGTACGACGGAGGTTGAAACCCAACGGTCCGCTTGTGTAAACACGGGCTGTATGGATGCAAATGTAGGAAGTTACACACGGCAAGGTGTCGCAGAAAGCGGAGTGCATGATCACATGGATAGGAAGGGATACAGCAATCGTTCAAGGTTACTATAAGCGAATACACATGACATGGTAGTGGCGTTGGTAATAAATTATCATTGTGAATGGTCTTATCTAAATCATTACTATAGCATATTTACATGCGGGTTGCTCTGCAACCCACATTATTCCTCATAGGCACCCTCTCGGTCCTCGAACTTCATAAATTCGTGCTGAGCAGCCTCCTCCCCCATGATCAGCTCCCAAGCTTTCTTGACCGTGTCGATCAAGGAGTCATCAAAAGCAAGGTCTAGGCTGACAGGCGGGAGGCATATGACGCTCTTCGACGGGCAGCTTAGATCAGCGTTGTGGGAGGCGCCTCGGCCCAGCTGCGTATAACGCAGGGACCACAGGACTTTCGTATTCGGATCGGCAGCCGACTGAAGAAGCTTTTGCACAGCAGCTTCAATCATTGACTGTCCTTCTGAACCGGGTATGCTGACACTACTATACACAACGCCTGATAAACAGTTAGCAACATGTCACAAGACAATGTAACTTGCATAAATTGAAAAAAGTGAAAGCTCATGATCAGTTCGTAGAAGTTTGCATCAATGATGTATCAGGCAATGTAGATAAGTTTTTGAAGAAAAGTCATCATATGAGCAGGGGGGGAGGGGGCAAAGATGAAGAAGAAAAAGTGGTAGCTTACATTGTCCAATAGGGCACTCGCCCGTCTCGCTAGAGTGGACTATAGTGTACACCGGTGGTGCATCATCAGCACCGCCAACAGAGCTTCCCGGGAATACCACCACCGCTCCAACAGGGACTGGTCCGCCCTCTGCAGTAACGGGGAAGAGATTCGCAAGGGAAGATGAGACGATGGAGATGGAACGAGCCACTTTGTCGCACTCCAGAGAAGGGCGAGATGCGGCAGGAAGATCCCAATTCGAGCCAACAATGTACCGGGACTTGACCGATTCATCATTGGCCAATTGAATCTGTATGCGCGACTGGTCATCGGAATCCTGCTCTGGTGAAGGTCCGATAGACTTGACGCCAGTATTCAGGACATACACACCACCTCCCACGGCAAGAGCGCGACAACCGACCTGAGAGATCTCAGAGCCACCGCCCCATTTGACCGAGAGAGCCCCAAAGCCGGGACCAAACACACCAATCGATGACAAGTGTCTCTTGATGCGTGGGAGGGCATATTGGGCCGATGTCTGTTGAGGAGCAGCCTGTGATAGGCAAAGTGAGAGCAGGGGACCGTGAAGCTCAGTGGGCACCTGAAACTTCGTGGCTAGATACTCAGAGAAGGGTGCAGCAAGACCCTCCTCTTCCGAAGACGGTTCCGGTCCTTCCGACACATCCCCACTCTCCTGAGCTTGACCAAGATGACGGAGAAACCTCATCAGAGTTCTCTTCGACTTCATACTGATCACATCGTCCGCAAAGACATCCTCCCGACTGCCAGGGACACGATAGAGACGACTACCATCGTCAGCCTCAGGCTTATAGATCCACCAGCTTCCCACAGCTTGGAACTCCAATTGCCGGTAGACCTTAGAGGAAACCAAGGTAGGCAAAAGTTGTGATCGGGAGTAGATCAATTGCGGCGACAAGGAGAGGGTATATGCTCGAGAGGACGCAAGCTGACCCGTGGAATCCCCGGAGCTTTCGGAGCAGACGCTAGCATGTTCGAATGGGAGCTCCCCGGTGTCTAGCTCACCCACACGAGTCAGCAGGGGCCATGGGGTCGCTTAGACTGGGGAGCTCCTACCCTCGTTCACTTTAGCAGCCCACTCCTCGGCTTCCTGAAGGCTAAAAGCTGCCTCAGGACCACCGTAGTATGGATTTCTGTCAACATGGAGAACGTTCTTACCTGACCTGGAAAGGGCCCTGGCAAGAGACGTTAGCTGTAAGCAAATACAGCATTGACTGAAGGTAGCTCACAGAGCTAGAAGTGACTGGGCCAGTCCAGTGCCAGAGATCGTCACGTCCCATGGCGTGTCCGCGAGGGATTCCATAGTGATGACGGCCGAACGGCAAGCAAGCTAAATAGAGGGGCTTAGTGCTATATCGATGTCTGATGAGCAAGCTCAGCGAGCATCACATTTGGTCACAAGCTCCTAGAGACGTTTGTAGCAAGTCTCTTCAGCCCATAGGTGAGGACTGAAGATCATGCGTTGAAGATGAGAAAGAATTTCAGAAACGAAAAGAAAATCGAGGGACACGCGAAGAAATACGGGACCCGCACTGGCCCACCACGTGACTACGTACTTAGCTAAACCGTTATTGAAGACCTAAGGTGAGGTAGCAACAGACATTGAACGTTTATATGCTCGATGAATGTAGACATACTAGCATCTGGCTCTACATAGCACAACTTCTTTTCCAGCAACATGAGTGAGTTACCAGTGTTGATGGAGATCTGGTCTCTACTCATAGTATCAACCAGATTGGCTTCAGTATGAGCGTTGAGCTTCCTTTTCTCAGACAGAAAACAGGATAGTAAATCCAATAGCTAAGCGGTGTCTATAGCTTATTTGACCTGATATTGACACCATATCCACGCTATTGCAGCTCTTCAAAGCTATATTTACCGTTCGTTGCAGCAGTTGCCTGAGGCTACAATGGATCTGACTATTCCGAAAGAAGCTAGACTCGACAAACGGGAGCCGCTTAAGGAGGATTTCGCCCACAACCAGAGCTTCTTTCCTTCTTCACACCACTCCTAGTGCTCTGCACAGGCAGACTGCTTGTTTGTAGCAGTTTCGTCGTCTTCGTACAAGCCTTCACTGGTCTTGTGCTATAGGAGTGGTAGATAGACATTTCACTCTGTATCTGCTGCTCCGGATGGTAACATCTGATGGAAGCGGTTCGTTTTGTAGTGAAACATTCCTATTCTAATCTGTAATCTGTTTCTATATGAAGCTGTCGTTGCGCCGCAGACGTCAACCCGAGGCGACTGTAGTGTTTCGACGGACGTGGCTCTGCTATGTAATGAACGCGCAGCTGCTCGTGCTCTGCATTGCTCTTGGAAGAGTGCAGTGCTGAGTTACGGTCCCAACGTCTGCCATCGATGCCAACAGCCCGTATCATATCTGAAGACCGCTGTTGCTAGGATGCTGTATAGCTTTTGCGGATGAATGCCCATAACCATCTGCTATAAGACCCCTCACTCATCTCCCGTCTCCTCCACGACTCTGGCACGGAGAATCTTCACCTCATCCATAGGCCGGTCTTCCGAGTTTGTCTTGACCAGTCCCATGCGTTGGATCACTCTCATGCCGCTCTTGACGCGGCCGAAAATAGTGTGCTTTCCATCCAGCCACGGCGTCGGGGCCAGTGTAATGAAGAACTGACTGCCGTTGGTGTTGGGCCCGCTGTTTGCCATGCTCAAAATTCCAGCACCAGTATGCTTGAGATTTGGATTGATCTCGTCCTCGAATTTCTCGCCGTAGATTGAGCTTCCTCCTCTGCCAGTGCCGGTAGGATCGCCGGTTTGTACCATGAAGTTGGGGATAATGCGGTGGAAGATGACATTATTATAGTAGCCTCGTTGCGCAAGCGTCGCAAAGTTCTTACACGTCTAGTCGGTAACAATGGTGTCAGTAAAAAGTGTCATAAAGAGAATGGGGTGAGCTTAGAATTTTGGTACTGACCTTGGGCGCATGCGCATTGTAGAGCTCTACTGTGAACGAGCCCTGGGCCGGTTAGCGGGGTATGCTGATGCAGTCGTTCTGGTTAGCCATACCATGCTCGTGTCAAAAGCCACATCAGTCGCCATCTTGGATATAACAAACAGGTGTCTGGTTGTTTACTGGTACTTGTCAAGAATCCGCAGTGAAGAGTTGCGGTTGGGCTTTCTGGCGCGGCGGAGGTCGAGATCCAGTCTTGGCATCCGATGTTCCCATGAATGATGGGGAGTTCGGACTGCTCCAGTTGCCCAGTCCCTCACCGGCAATGTTAATTTAGATCTTGTACTGCTCGCCTAGAGAATTGCAGCACTGTTAAATATACAAGTCCGCCTCTGTATATTAGCATAGTCACCAGGTTCACTCTACGTAGGACTTAAGTCAGATCATGATTGACATCATGGTATCATTGCATGTAGTATTAGTCGCTTTCTAAACAATCAACACTGCTCAAGGATGTGCTTCAATTGCTCCCATCTCTGCGCGGAAATGTCAACCAGCGCCTTGAGCTCCTTCCCATCCACAGCCCATCCTCCATTCTTCTCCATATTCTGGATAACCGTCTTGCCCTTCCCACCTTGCTCCTTATCAACCACAATGCAGACTCGTTCTTGACTCAGTCCCTCCTCATATCCATCAGGATCGGCCAGAATCCACCTCCGTTGAATGCCCTTCCGAGCGCTCTCCTCAATGTTCTTTTCCTCCTCAGCGTCCGGGATAATAACCGCCCTCCAGCCAGCAGCCGCATCAGCCTCGAAAACACAGAACGAGCTTGCGACAGGCAGACCGCGCAAAGACAGCTTATGAGACTCAGATACCGCATCCGAGCACACAACCATCTCATTATCAACATCCCACCACGCCCGGGGCAGCTTCGTATCGCGCAGTGCAGCCAAAACCGAAGCCCAGGCAGCATCGAAGGGGTTCCCTGCCAAGGAAATGATCATGATATCAATATAGAGCACCCAGAATGCCTTGATCTCCTTTTCCTTGCCGACCTCTTCCCCGCGCTCTACATCCACATCCATCTGCTCAGACTCATTATGGCGTTCCAGGTCCTCCGGCCCCAGACTAGGCGGCTGGTACCAAATGCGCAAATCCTCGGCCCGGACCAACTTTGTACTATGCAGCAGGTTCAAAATCTTATGGGACAGCGACTGCGCGAGTGCTGACGGAGGTGCGCCAGGGACAAAGCCCGGTGCGCAGCCGGTGCTCAGCGACAAATTCGGAACGAGGAGGTTGAGTTGTTGAATGTGCGATTCGTCTTCAGGATCTTCCACTTCCGCATCATCCTCATTAGGCTTCTTAGTTTGATCGGCGAGTTTGCGACGCTTATTCGCAGATGACGAGGATTGAGACACGCTCCACGAGGCAATGTCGGCAGTGGGGAGGATCTCCGCTCGTACGCCGCATACTGCGGTTGTGTCGCCAACCCTTACGACGGCGCTGCCATTTGTGTGGGTTAAGGAGCCTGTGTTCGCAGATGTGACGCGGAATTGCGAGGGAGCGCGGCCATTGGCTCGGATGGAGGGCTGGTTGCTGGATGCGGGTGGTGAAAGGTGGGCGAGGAGATAGGCGTGAGGTTGGAGTCGGGCGAATTGCGAGGGGGGAAGGGTGAGAGAGGGGGGTGCGGATGGCGTTGTGGAGGCCATCTTGAGCTATTGCTGAAGCCGAAGTAGTCTGCTCAAGCTCGACAGGGTGTGATAAAGGTCAATGAAGAGGTAAATGGCTCTATGAAACTCTCAGTCTGTATGAGGAGAAATGGTTGACGGACTTTCCATTTTTCTGCGGCAGAATTCTGAACATCTATCGGGGCGGTGAGGGATGTTGACCTCCACCTACTACACATCACTTCTACTAACATGTCTGATAAACTTGACAAAATATGAAAACTTCGCAAGCCAACATGATGTTGAACTGAATATCAGCTACTTCAGCTTGTAGTGCTATGGAAACCCCTATATCCCACTCTTTTGTTAGAGTAGACACTATCTCGAACAGCGGACGCTAGTATATAGTATATGAAGCTTCAGTGCAATAAGCTACAGAGAATCATCCCTGCCCAGTACTAAAAGCTTAGTGGAAGGACCTTTCAAACACTGATACTATGCCAAAGATGAATTATTCTGGCTGACACGCAGGTAATAGATGTATCACCGGAGCTAGTATGCTAAATGTATATTCAACGGAGCATGTCAGCTGTATTCCTAATGCACATTCGTAGGTGCATGTAGTCCTTAGTACTAAGTATAGGTTATTTGCCGAACAGCTAGTACATGGGGATATATGATTTCCAGTGTATACGAGCTCTTTGCTTATAATCTACTCATGAACTATCATATATCATTCACGTTGAACCAGAACCCCATGACAACAACAGCAGCCCGGTCATACTTGGTAACATTGCGTTACTACCTTGAAGTGATGGAGAATGCTGCTGTGACCAAACTAATGTTGAATTTACTAATACATAAAGTGAATATCATACACGTGTTGAATGCATCCCCACAGCACTCAGTGTGCGATCAATCTGATATGATCTAAGAGGCCAACAAGAACCGCTAGCTTGGGGAGATGTCAAAGTATCGCGAAAATCCACTTTTGAAAGTCGACCAATAATGACGTGACGGGGGACGCGTCTGGGGGTCCTGGTTGATGCGTTACTTTGGATTATTCTAGAAGGGGGTTTGTATTCACTGCGAGGGGTTAAGGTTACGGGGTGTGATATAGGATGAGATGGTGGGTTACGGCTGTGACAGACAGGTTGTGATAGGAGTATGATTATCCTGGTGTATATGACTATATGTATCCAAACTTGAGGGGAAGGATCCAGACTATATATGGTATAGACAGGGTGTTCTATGGTAATAACATTTGACAATGATAAGGGTATCAGTGATGGGGCAAAGAGTAAACAACCGAACGCCAAAATGTAGATAAATCAGGCAGGAAACGATAAGCAGTGCTTCTATAGTTCTTAGCAGAACATGAAATGTCATGGCCGCTGGGGCTCATCATCTGCCTTACGCTTCCTGCTCACCCCCTCGTCAACTTCCAGAATCTTAGAATCCGCATCGGCGAATGGTTGTACTCCATGGTCTTCCTCGTCATCACCATCTTCAGCTTCGACCTTCTCCCAATCATCGTCATCATCCCCTCCAGGCGCTCTGCGCTGGTCTTGACCCTTGTTGCTGGGAAGGGTTTCCTCTTTAGGCGCATCAGTCCATTGGAGAACAAGCTTGACTATTTTTGCCCCAGAAGGTTTCAGGCGCCGGTAGTAATTCTCCACTATGCCATCTTCCACCTTGAACCCTCGTGCAACGTACCACTTCAGACCATCTTCGTTGGCCTCGTGGACATGGGCTGTGACGGTGCGAATGTTGTAATGCTTCACCAAGTCTGAGACTTGTTGATCAGGTCGCAGATCGGATGAAGTAGAAGATGGCAAGGAACTCGGCGCGTAGAGTAGCGAGTCTAGAAGCGATGCTGCAATCCCACAGCCTCGATAGGGCGACAGTAGATGAAGGGTTTGTATGTAGAGATTCGTCGGCTCGGAGTTCGAGCGGCCTTGCAAGATTCCGGCAGTAGTCGGCGGTAACCGCTCCAATCGGCACCTGATGCCTCCAATAACTTTGTCTGATCCAGTTGTGGGGGTCTTCAAGCCCGTTGAAGGGGATGGCGCTGCAGAGGTGGGAGCAGCGGCTACCGGATGATCATGATAGACGGCCACGCGGGACAGCGACGAGATCACGGGGTCAGTGATGGTGGCTGTGTAGAAAGAGTTCGGATAGCGAATAGGAAGCAGCAAGCCCGTGATTCTGGTCAGCGAAGGGATGTGAGCTGTGCTCACAACTTCGACGGTAACATGCGGGTGCGGAGTGGGGTGGCCTGATGCGATGGGCTTTGGGTATGGCACAGCTTGAAGGGTCGAGTCCCGGCCTGCTGGAGGCTGAAATTTGGACGCCAGGCTCACGGGAGATGAGCTAGAAGAGGGAGGAACGACGATAGCTGGTGGACCTTTAGGTGGCCTGGTGTGAGAGTTGTTTGAAGACGGTGAAGTTATCGTACTTGGAGCCTGAGGGGGAGACAAAGGTGGAGAAGTGGGCGCTTTGGATTGATGCGCCCTGGCGAAGAACTGGAAAGCCATGGTTGGAAGAAGGGTAAACGTGATGTGTACCACACTATACAAGCGGTATCTTCCCCTGAAGCAGTCTCTAAGGTATACAAATGAAAGAACACCCAGAAACACGTCGAGGAGAGAGCGGGGAGAAGCAGAGCGCCAGCAGACGAAGAGGGGAACCCAACGCGATCCAAAAGCGGTGGACGAAAACGGCGAGAGAAACGCGGAGATGCGATAAGATAAGATCGGGCGGTCGGACAAGTTCAAAGAGGCAAAGGCCAGCGCAAAAGAGCCTCTGTCCACGTCCTCCGATCTAGGATTGCCCCTGGTGCTGCACCTTCACTTGCCGTCTTGGTCTTGTTTTTGGCTGCGTCACACAGTCTACTGTGCCCTTTCTATATATGTTGCTCTATCGGATGTGAAGCCAAGGTGAGTTGCTCCCCTTCATGGTAATGGCCGTGCGCGCAGTCCGCTGATTCTCCCTACCGTGGGTGTTTCCCGCCCCCGGGTTATAGACGCCATTCACTCCCCGCCAGACAGATGGACTCTACGTGCTATCGTCCCTGTGTACCATTTCTTTGAGACATTATTTATAGTGGGAGTCGGGCACTTGCTTTATTGCTCCCTTGTTTGGACCAACACAGTCGGGTAGTCGTCTATTACGCCATTGTTCCCTCCATCCGCATCCGTTAAGCGGCCGGTAAACCCCGACCCAGATTTGCCTTCGAACACCCTGCGCAAACCTACATGGCGCCATCGGTTTGATACTGGGGATAATTGTTCAGAGTTGTGTGGAAGCAGCTGTTTGTCAACTGCAAGTTCCGCTCTAATTGGCGCGTGATTACTTTGCATACACCAGCAGAGGTATGTCTCGACAGTTGTCTTGGACTTTGCAGTATTCGCGCGACCATTGCGTTACCTCATCGGTACTGCTTGCTGTCGAGTGCATTATCGCGATGTATGCGATGTGCTGGGCTACCCAACTCATCTGCATTTCTTGCCTGCTTGTTTCCTAAAAGCTCAGTCTTGGAATATGCTTCAGCTCTAACACTTTCCAGTCCTGCAGAACATTGCCAAAATGGGCGAGTCGAATGGAGCTGAAGAGAATGGAAGTTCCTTTCCTTCAGGAACGCTTGCAAAATTGGTACGTTCAGGCCCGTATGCTTCCGGCTGCGGCACAGTAGCGTCTCTGGGCTTTTGCAATGAATCCTGACACCAATAGACATGCGATATCCTCAACGATACCTTCTATAATATAATTCATGATATAGTTGCGAAGGTGCATCGCGACGAAAAGGTCTCCCGTATGCGCTCAGCGGTCGTTACTGCAAGGCAAAAAGCCGATGAAGAGGCATCCAAACGTCGTGAAGAGAGTGGGAAGCCAGCTGGTGCATTTAAGCCCGGTGATCTTGACCTTGAGGAACTTAAGGATATACATGTGGAGACAGATGCGGCTGTCTTTGATGAAGGCAAGGTTTACCTCAAGGGAAACCCTCTCCAAACCACGAAAGAGATCATCTGTCCGGAGTGCCGATTGCCTCGTCTATTATACCCAGTAACGGGTGTCGGGGCTCGGGCTCCCCCAGATCCATATCGGGAGTATTGCCAGAAGCAGCCTATGATCAACAAGCCGGGGCACGATGTTCATGGAAACCCGTTTGCCACGGACAAGCTGAATCCGAAGAAGAAGAAACAGACAAATACGTCCAACACTCCAGCTTCAAGCCCTCCCACAACGCCTGACAGTTCCTTCAAACAAGCAGCCCCAGAAAAGGTGTCCTTCCCGACTGTGAAATGCCCGAACTGCCCGAGATACTTTGTTGTAACTCGAGTTGCACAGCACCTGGACCGGTGCTTGGGTTTATCAGGGCGACAGACCAACCGCAACAAGACCCCAATGGAAAATGGTGCCAGTACACCCAGTTCTGCTCCACCTAAGCGTCCACTAGTGGATGACGACGTTCCAGCAACTCTTCCGACGAAGAAGAAGAAGTTAGGAGCCCCCAAAAAATTGTCAGGGAAGAAGCCACCTCCGCCTAGCAAGCTGAAAAACGGGCTTACGCCAGACATGGCCGCAGCAAGTGACGCCGCCGGCTCTGGTGACGGGGACATCAAGAGTGAAGCGAACGGGGATAACTCTTAAGCCTTCGGTGTTTCTTTCTCTCTTTCTTTTCTCTTCTTTTCTTTCCACACCTTATACCTTTCTACACATCCCTTTCAACATTATTTTTACCTTGCTTCTTGCAGACTGCAGACCTGTTTGCGTTGGACAAGGCCTTGGACATATCTCCGTTTGCTTAACGATATTGACGTAAATACCCGGCATCAACGGCGTCGACGGGAACCTCCTACCTTAGTACTCTCGAGTCGAATAGGGACCTGCTCGGCATCGTCTCTAGCCTTTCTCTTTCCGTTTCTTATTATAGGTGTTGTGTGCTGTTCTCTTGAATGATAGATTTTTATGCGGTTGTATGTACAATATTCTGGCAATAGGTCAGTTCGGGGTTTACAATCAATCGATTGGTTTAAGATTGGGTATACAGATTAAGTCGACCAAAGAAGCCTCTTGTGTAAGCTGAGCAGTTGAGCTGAAAGTCAACCATATCTCAGATCGTTGGAGGTTCTACCATGCATACTGTTGATACAGTGGAACAATAGGTGCAATGGATATAACCAAGGTAGTGGGACACCCTTCAATGAGGAGTTCTATCAAGAGCCCTTGCTACGGTTGTTCGATAGCTATCCCGATGTTCCCCGTGGCATAGTTGACTCAGTTCGAAGCTACCACTAATTCGTGTGCATGAAAAGTGGTTTCAAGACAAGAGTACAAAGTGTAACCTCGTAGACTTCATGGTGTGTTGGACGACTGCAATCCTGAGCAGGGCTGCTCTATGGAGATGTTTGGACATTGCTTTACCTTGAAGTTGAGCCCTATGCATACTGGCATGAATACTATATGAAATGACTTATGGGATACACCAAATTGAGTTGTGATATCTCGAAAGCTCGTGGTTGCAAGCTAGTATACAATGTTGTTGGCCTGAAAAGTATGGCCTCACAGCCCACTTCGGGACCTTCCTTCCGTCATCGTCTGGCCCGCTTGCTCGATCCATCATCCACATTTTATGACGCGCATCCACCATGAGCCTCAATTAACTCAGTCGCTAACAATTTCTCTAACCTCTGACTACTAGCGATATGAGCAACACCAGCCTCATCTCTTGGGCCGTCCCCAGACTGAGCCAAATTCTCCCGCTGGACGAGGAGTCGCTCACGCAGATCATCACCTACGCCGCCAGCCTCTCCAAAGAAGAAGGCGCCGAACACCTCAAAAACCTTCTGGGCGACTCTCCCGCCGCGTTCGAATTCATTTCTGCATTCAGCTCGCGACGAGAACCACCCCCACGATCTAACGCGCCGTCACCCGCACCGAGCGGCCAGTCCACATCTAGGAACAATTATTCGGGAACGCAGTCGAAGAGGGGCAAGAAGTCGAAGCCACCACTACACAGCGCCGGACCTGTTCGCCGACCAGACAATTTTGGAAATGTGACGGGTGGATACAGGAAGGAGGACCAGGATGAGGACTACATGCCCGTCTCTAGCCGGAGCAGACAAGAAGGAAGCGCGAGAGAAGGCACACTGGACACCGGTCTATCACCATCACCGTTAATCTCTTCCCGCGAGGCACCCGCTACCTCTTCGCGAAACCATTCACCGGCCCCGAGACCAACACCGGCTAAAAACCCGCCTTCTGCCGCTGGGCCTGTGATCTCGGATCTACTACCGAATGTCAAGTCGAAGGCGGCCAAGTCTGCCTCTCGAGCTGGTGGGAGCAGTACGGGGACCGGCTCATCGTCCAAGGGATCGCTGACTACGAATAATATTACTGATTTGACGGCTGCCATTGCCGCTTTGGAGGTATCTACGAATCCGACGCTGAGTGGTGGCGCACGCAAATGCACATGCAACGCTAGTATCCATCCTCTTTTTGATCCCGCGCCGAATTGCCTCAACTGCGGGAAGATCATTTGCTCGCTGGAAGGGCTACAGCCGTGTTCGTTTTGCAAAACACCTCTCCTGTCGAATGACGAGATCCAGAGCATGATACGGGAGCTGCGGGCGGAGCGTGGTCAGGAGAAGATGCGCGCGCACAATGAGAGTGTACATCGGGAGGGTGGCCCTGGAATGGGCTCAGGAGCTCCCAGTAAACTTGACGCTGCCAAGGCGCATCGGGACAAGTTGCTTGCGTTCCAGGCGCAGAACGCCAAGCGGACACGTGTGGTGGACGAGGCGGCAGATTTTGAGACCCCGAACGTAGCATCTACGCTGTGGATGACACCTGCGCAGCGAGCACTGGCCCTTAAGAAACAGCAGCGGATTATGCGGGAAATGGAGGAAAAGGCACGGCCGGAATGGGAGAAAAAGAAGACTATAATGAGTCTGGATATCAAGGGAGGAAAGGTGAGGAGGGTCTACCAATCGGCTGGGCCTGCGGAAACGGGCCCTTCCGCGGAGGAGGAAGCCGAAGCAAGGGCAGAGGAGGAGCTCGGAGATGGGGAGAACAGGGAAAGCAGCGGTAAGGCATTCAGCCACAATCCTCTTCTTGCAGCTGGAGGGCTGTTGCGACCGGTCTGGAAGTCGGCGGACGGAGAGCAAGCGGACGCGGCACGCAAAGAGCGGAAACAGACGTGGCGGCGAGTGCAGGACGATAATGATGATAACGAGCAGTGGATTCTCGATGGCGGTCTCCACGGTTACACATGAGAGGCTTTTGACATAATAGCTTATCCGAACTGGCTGGTTACATTGTCTGCAAGCCGGACAACAGTAGCCGATGCTCTAATGCAAATACAGTGGGTAGCAACAGCCCGAGACTCTCCCAGCTATGTCCGATAAGGCCCGCGATATAAGCACACAATGATTGGGCCACGAGCTCCAGGAAATACTACCGCTCTGACATGGATCGATAAGCAATGCTCCGTCAGAAGACAAGACACATAGCAGGAGTGGTTATATATCCTCCGACGGTGTACACGACGCGGAATGACAGCAGCAATATTAGCATGAGCATTACCAATCGAGATCCTAATGAAGGGTTCCAACAGATCAGCGGTTAAAGCTACTAACTCTCATATACAGTGTAGAGATATGAAGCACCCGGGGTAACCGGGCCAGGAGGTCCGACAACCGGACTTCTCTATGTAGATACACATACCAGCCGGTGCTGGCCACGATGACGCATCCTCGCAGCTATTGCGCTAAATCGATGAATATTACATAGTTCCATGGAAGACACTTCGTACTCGAAAATGAGGAGGGAGGGAGGGGATGGAGGGGCACAAGACGCGAGGGAAAGCCCGTCAGTAACCGAGCCAGAGAGAGCTATAAAGCGGTAGACGAGTCTCGAGTGCTAGTGAGTGTCTTGTAAGTGAAACAGCCATCTGGATAGTGGTTCTGATATCTCGAGTGACTGTCGTCATTTGCTGTCTTTGTTATCCGCTTGCGGGGATTTCCTTTTTGAGTTGAACTCGGCCTCGGTTGGCCCCGGCTAGCTTCGGTGCTCGTTGACTGGCCGAACTATATACTTCAGCTTCCTATTATTATTCCACCTCTTAGCATCACACACTATTGCACTAGGATTCGACAGCCATGTTGGCCCAAATTGGCTGGCAGGCTATCTCTATAACCCGCATAGGGTGGGGGTTGCTTGCCTTGCTCGTGGGGTTGGTATGTTGATACCGATTCTCCGTTACACCTTCTGTATCATGTCGATAAGGTGTCACCTTGCATACTTGCAATGCATACTGACAACATCAGTCTTCTTTCTACGCAATTTACAATCGCTTCTTCCACCCTCTTCGCCGCATCCCAGGTCCCTTGCTCGCCTCCCTCACTCCCTGGGTCCAGCTCTACCATGGCCTCCAGGGAGACCGACACCTGTGGCTCTGCGCTCTTCACGAACAATACGGCTCTCATGTCCGCGTCGCACCTAATTTTGTCTCAGTGAATACTGCTCAAGGCCTCCATGACATCTACGGACACGGTAAGCGGCTCAAGAAGGCCGATTTCTACAATGCCTTCCCCGCCATCAAAGGCGTGTACAACACACACAACGTCATCGACAAGGTCATGCATGGCCGGAAAAGACGAGTACTGAGCCAGGCCTTTTCCGACCATGCACTCAAGAGCATGGAAGACGTGATGCTGCTGCACGTGCGGCAACTGTGTGCAGGCTTAACGCGTGCCCAGCAGACAGGCGTGGTGCAGGACATGGGCCGCTGGTTCAGCTACCTCACGTATGATGTGATGGGCGAGTTGTGCTTCGGAAAGAGCTTCGACATGTTGATCGAGAGTAGTCGGAGACGGCTGATTGAGCTTGTCGATCGGGCTGCAAACCGACACTATGTGGTATGTCTTGAGCTGCTATTGTTGTTAAGAACTGAATCTAACCGACAAAACAGTGCGGTCTCTGGATGCCTCTAGATCGATGGCACCTCGACCAACTCTTCATCCACCGACTCACCAATGACCGCTGGAACTTCATCATGAACTCGCGCGTGGAAGCGACCAAGCGCGCCCAAGAACGTACCAAGGCCGGCCACGACGCCAAAAGAGACTTCTTCTACTACCTGCTCAACGCCCGGGATCCCGAGACGGGCCAGGGCTTGACAACCCCTGAGCTCTGGGGCGAGGCCAATGTGCTGATGATCGCGGGCAGTGACACGACGTCGACGACGCTAGCCGCGACGATCTTCTACCTGGTGCGCAACCCACATGCGATGGCGCAGCTGCAGAAAGAGGTCCGGGAGAGCTTCTCCTCGGTCGAAGAGATCGTAACGGGCAGCAAGCTGAACGAGCTGGTGTACTTGAAGGCGTGCCTGGACGAGGCGCTACGGCTGGCGCCCGCGGTGCCCGGGGCGCCCCCGCGCGAAGTGATGGAGGGCGGAGCGGTGGTGGACGGGGTGTTCCTGCCGGGCGGGACGGATTGCGGGACGCCAACGTACTCGATCCACCGGCAGGCGGCTTATTACCGACAGCCCGGGGCGTATTTGCCGGAGCGGTGGATCGAAGGGGCGATCTGTCAGACGGGGATGGAGGCGTGGCAGACAACGCGGGAGGATGTGGAGATGGCGCGGCGGGCATTCTGTCCCTTTAGTATTGGGCCGCGGGGATGTATTGGGAAGAGCATGGCGCTGATGGAGATGCGCTTGACGATTGCGCGGTTGATGTTTTTGTTTGATATGGAATTGGCGGATCGGAGAGGAGAGGATGAGGGCGGACATTTGGCACTGGTGGACCATTTTACCAGTGCGAAAGAGGGACCGGATGTGATTGTACGGGCGCGTGTGCAGTAGGTTAACAGTATTATTATTAAACTATATCTGTATCTACGTTTGCTCGGTCAATTGTAAATGTTGTTTGTAGTAAGATGGCAGAAAGAGTAAGACACCAAGCCAGAAAGGACACGTGCCCACACTGCATGAACATATCACCCGAAGACTATGGGGATGAGAATGCAATATCATACCCACCTTATTCATTCGTTTAATCTTTAATCAGTTAACTTACCTTGTACTATTCTTTATACTACTTTATTCATCCCTTAACTTTATTTACAACTGCCATACATGATACCAAACCATGTTCATTCCTTAACCTAACCCCATCATCACCATCCCTTAAACCACAACAACCACAACCACAACAACAAGGACCCTTTCTCTCCCCTCACTAAAGCAACCCGCAAACCACTCTACCCCAAATAACCCCCTGAAATAATAATAAGGGATAGAGAGAGAGAGAGAGAGAGAGAGAGAGAGAGAGAGAGAAAAGATGGTCTCCCCCCTAACAACAACCTTCATCCAATCCACCATTCTAAACGCCATCGCCAACATCCTAGCACAAATAATAGACCATCATCGGAAATCCGTAAGCTGCCCCCAGATATAACCCAACATTCATACCCCCCCCCCCCCCTCCCCCCAAAACCAAACCCAGTACTAAATGAATGAAAGAAATCAACATTCACCCCCAACCTCCCCGCCCTCCTCCAATTCATCACCTACGGGATAATAATCGTTCCCCCAAACTTCATCTGGCAGAGGTATCTTGAACGGCGGTATCCGGGGTTTCTTTTCCGTGGTGCATCCTCATCCCCATCTACTACTAACAACAACAACAACAACTTTTCCCCTCCTTCACGAACCTCAACCCCTAATGGAACTACTAAAAGAGGAGGTCCAGGTCCAGGGATAGGAGAAATCTACATCTCCATCCCGGACCCAACCTCCACCGTCCTCCTCAAGGAGAAGAAAACACCCCACAACTTCCTCCCCGCACAACAGCACAGACGCACCAGAGGAGGCTGGTACAACTTCCTCATGAAATTCCTCCTTGATCAGACGGTGGGGAGTGTAGGGAATATCGTACTGTTTATTGTTCTCATTAATTTGCTCAAGGGGGTGGGTGTTGGGGGTGTTTGGGGGTTGGTTGTTGAGGTATGTTCTTCTCTCTTTCATTTCCCTATTTTGTTTATTTTATTAGGGCCCATGATTTGGGAATTTGGGATATGCTAATTGTGTGTCTGGGCAGGACTTCAAACCCATCATGATCGCAAGACTCAAATATAGACCGATTGTCTCGTTGCTCATGTATACGGTTGTGCCGGTGGATCGGCGCGTCGTGTTTGGGAGTGCGTGTGGGGTTATTTGGGGGGTGTATTTGAGTTTGTATGCTGTTGTTTAGTCTCTCTCTTTCTCTTTCTCTCTCTATTTCTTTATTTCTATTGTGTGTGTTGCTGTTGTTGCTGTTGCTGTTCTTAGAGTTGTGCATGGGTCAGTCTTTACATTTCTTTTGTCAGCGTGATACCTCGTCTTGGCCATCCATCATTTCTTATTAGATCTATTTATCGTCTGCCTGTCGCTTAACTAGCATTATACAATTTATAAGTAATCACACGCAAATAAAAATCATAGCTTCTGGCAGACTACGCTGCCGGCGGCCCGATCTTCTTACCCTTCACAGATATCCACTCAATAGGCAACGCTCCAAATATACTCAACGCTCCCATGGCTACGGCAACATAGAACGTCGTCGTCACGGCTCCATTATACGCCTCTAGCACGGCCGGCAGCTGATCCGCAGATACAACATGCCGTAGCATCGTTGCTCCCGCCTGCATCACAGAAGCAGGGTCAATACCTGATACCTGTGCCAGGTTCTTTCGCAGTTCGTTCTGGAAGACGTTCTGCGCTACAGAGACAAACAGTGCTCCGCCTAGTGTCTGCGTGAACGCCACGATCGCCGTCGCGCTGGGAACATCGGCGATTTTCAGCGCTGCTTGAACCACCATCATCGGCTGCTGCATGCCCAGGCCTGCGCCCATGCCGAAGATGATCTGGTATCCGATCCAGCGGCCGGCCGAGGAGTGCACGCCCATGGTGGAGAGAAGGCCGCCGCCGACGGCAATGAGGATTGGGGATATGAGCATGAATGGGGTGTAGTATCCGAATGTGGAGACGAGGCCGCCAGCTACGATGGAGAAGATAACGACGCTGAGTAGCATGGGCAGGTTCATGATGCCGGATTTGGTGGCGCTGACGCCTTTAATGGCTTGGAACCAGATGGGGAGCTGCAGATGTTAGTGAAATATAGGGTATTTTGATGGTGGGATACGCACGTAGTAAACTGCCACGAAAAAGGAACCGCCGACGCAGAAGCTGAACAGTGCAGCACCCCAAACATTTCGATTCTTGATCAGCCGTGGAGGGATCGTGGCTTTCTCGTTACCCCACATCTGTAGCACGATGAATATACCGATGAGGACACCGAACAACACCAGCAGGGCGATGATGCGGCCATTACCCCATTCGTAAGTGGTCCCGCCCCATTGCAGTGCCAACAGTACGCAAATGACTCCGGGCAAAAAGACAAATGTGCCAGGAAGGTCAAACTGCGACAGCTTATCCTTGAGCCCCTGGGCACTCTTGACTGATTTGGGTGCCTTGAAGAATAGCAGGATGAAGAAGATGGTCGCGCCGCCAATGGGAAGGTTGATATAGAAACACCATCGCCAGCTGACATGATCGGTGAACGCACCGCCCATCAGGGGCCCTGCTACACTGGCGATTCCATACATGGAGGTAATAGAGCCGGTAAGGAAAGGCCTCCATTTCAGCGGTGCAGTCTGAGATATAATGATCATGGCTCCTGAGAAGACTCCGGCGGCCCCAAGGCCAGCTATCGCCCGCCCGATAATCAGCGCAACCGAGTTGGGAGCCACACCACAGACCAGAGAACCGATCTCGAAGATCGCGAGCCCCATCAGATAGACCCATTTGGTGGAGTAGAAAGTGTACAGCTTGCCGAAGGCCAGAATGAGGCAGCACGTTGTAAGGAGGTAGGAACTGCCGTACCAACCCACGTCGCCGAGTGACTGGAATTGGTCTGTGATTTTGGGGATTGCAGTCGCCAGAATCGTGTTGTCCTGATACTATTAGCACGACCGCTTGGCTATGTAGTGGAATACTTACCAAGGCCATGCAGAAAATCGAAAAACACAGTCCAATCACAATCAGCGTGAGCCTCCACGAAGTAGGATACTCTGGCTCAGGCTCCGCATCATGGCTATGTATCGAGCTGGGCGCTTTGGGCTCTTGCTGTGCTTCGACCGTCTGTGAATGAGGGGAGGTGTCGCGCGCAGAGTCAACGAGAGTACTCTCTTTGCTTCTAGCGGAACCGTTGCCTTCTGCCTGCGTGACCTTGAATGGTTTCAGCTCAGCAAACGGTCCCTGCTGCTTCTCAGCGTTGGAAGCATCCATGGCGAGAATAGGTGTGCAAGACCCAAACCAATCTCACAACCAAAGCAGATGACGGTACTTAGGGCAACAGTCAACAGTGTAGATGGCAGAAGAAGAAATCCTCCTTTTGACTGCAAATGAAGCAGTTATCTAAGAATCACTCCAGGAACGATTAACAAAGGTGGCAGGAAGGAAGATCAGCAGTGAAGAGAAAGACGGCTCAAGGAAAGCCTCCTTCCGGCTTCACTGGCTGACGACAATTGCCGTAATGGAAGCCAGCTTGTGTCACCATCTCGTAGCCACGCCAGTCTGGCCCAATGGCCACCCCTTGCTTTGTTGCGCATGTCAAGGCTCCAAACCACTCAGGAGCAGAAGCAATCCGTATTCCGAAGCATTGGTCAGGTTGTGCAAGCTGCAGGTATACCCCGGAGGGGTTGGCAGCGTGACGGGGCAAAGCGAGGGTCACACTGAAAGTGGATGGTTTGCTTCTGACATTCCGGCATCGGAAAGATTTCTATCCGGAGAGAGCCCTTGAAAGATTCCTGTCAGTTGGGAATGATCAGGCGGGATATTCCCCCACAAAGAATCTCGGAATAGGGGAATTCCAAGATGGATGGATTAACTTCGATCGGAGACTCACCTCTGCCCCTGAAGCAAGGATTGGTGGGAGCCAGACTGCATCTAGACTAAGTACCTGCATGCTATTTCTGTCGTTGACTTTTGTTGCCAATTAAGTGGTCAAAGAAAGACAGACTCTAAATCAGGCACTATTGAATTCTTTCAGTTGGAGTTGGTGGTTTTGGGCGGCTGTGGCGGGCAATAGCATCCTCGCTTCTCGTGCCGTCGCTTTGTTCGCTGTTCGCTTGGTCGCGTTGGCAACTCAGGAGCAACGCGTGTTGGCTTAGCAGCGTTAAAATTCGGACTGGCCCTGTCAGCCCAACTACTCCTTGGTTGGCAAGCTACAGTGCTGTCGCCATATGAATCAAGATAATAGTAATAAGAAAGAATTCATTCCGACCTAGGATATATTCACAATTCCAGTAAGCTGTACAACGCCGTAAAAGATCAAATATGCCCAAACATCCGTCCTCCCAACCGCTCTGCAAACACCTAACCAATGCGGAAATCCTGCGAGATGGTCCTGATGGCCACTATTGCGACTTTCTGCGGGCATCCTCCTTGCTAGCAACGAGGGCGATCAGAGCAGCACCCACGCCACTGCCATCCTTGGAGATACCAATGCGGATCTTCTTGTTGCCGGCTTCGCCAACCTCGGGCACTTCGCGCAGGGCATCGCGCATGTAGCCTTCGAAGTTGGGGTAGAACTCGACCAGACTGCCATCAACACCAATGTCTACGAGGTCGTCCTTTTGCAGCTTGCCAGTGGAGAGGAGGACAGCAGCCAGCGGGACGGCACTCAGACGAGCAGCACGCTTGCCAATGGCGTGAACAACGGTCTGGATGGCCTTGCAGTCGTCGGTGGTGGGGCGTTCGATCTTGAGGTGGTCCTTCAAAGCGACCTTGATCTGCTCCATATTCTCAGTCTTGTCGGCCTCGACCAGACTCAACAAGCTGGTGTCAATACCCCACTGGCGGTACAGGGAAGACTCTTTGGGAACAGAAACGGTGGAAGCCCCGCCAGTCTTGAGGAAGCCCAGGGACTCGTTGCGCTGCATGTCCAGCATGACGCGACGCAAGATCTCGCCCAGGAACATACCCGAGACGCGCTTCTCAAACATCTGGATGCCTGGGTTGTTGCTGTCGGCATCGAGCTGCTGGTCATAGATGGTGTTCGGCAGGACACTCAGGTGGTTGTCGAAGCTGCCCCACTCGGCGTTGATGATCATCTCACCGGTGGTCTTGTCGTACTCGGAGTGTTCAATGGTCTGCAGCTTCGTGATGCGGTCCAGCTTCTCCACATAGGCGCCATTGGTGCCCGTGCCGAAGATAGCACCCAGGAAAGTGCCCGTCTCTCCAGGAGAGGTGTATGAACGAGCCATCAAGGTTCCGACAGTGTCGTTGACCAAGGCAGCCACGCGCACCGGGAGTCCCAGATCATCGATGGCGTTCTGCAGCAAGGCACAGACATCCTGACCCACCGCATCGGGAATGTTGAAGCCCTTCGTCCAGCGAATCAGGGTACCCTTGTTGATGCCCAGCTGACGCACGGGGAAACTGAAGGTGAAACCCAAGTCGAACAGGTCCTCTTCACAGTTGCCATTCTTCTCATTGCGGCGTCGCACGTGAGCCTCGAAGTGGTCGTTGTGGTGAATGCGCAGGAACGATTCGATCTGGCGGGCCAAGAACAAGAAGAGATCCTTGGCCGTACCGGACGCCATGGTCTCACGAGGAATCATGATCTTGGACTGGGTAAGAGAGAAGGTAGTGTCTCCATGTAGATCGATCGAGCACACGCGGAAGTTGGTGCCGCCGAGATCTACTGCCAGGTACAAACCCTGCCGACGACCAGGTCAGCTGCTGTTCTGCGGAGGGAGCTGATTGGTGTGAAACGTACCTTCTCCGTGCCATTGGGCACTGCCGTGACATAGGTCGGGATCTGACTGAGGGTCGTGTGCTCCTTAGACAGACCTTCATCGATCTCGCGAATGTATTCCGTTACTCCACGTTGCACCTCAGCAGCGGGGTAATCGAACTGGCTGGCAATGCGCGCAGCCTCGGACAGCAGAGCAGATGACATGATGACGGAGAAGATGTGGATATGAGGGAGATTGTGAGGAGAGGGAAAATAAAAGGAGCCTCAAGGGACGTGTTGAGACCACAACAAATACAGTGTGCAGAAAAAAAAAGTGGTGAAGGAGGAAACCGGATGGTGGGGTTCAAGTAAATATGGGGAGGGGCAGACGGAAGCTGGAGGGAATTCGGGGAATGGAGATGGAGAGAGTAGAGTAGAGTAGAGGATGTGGAGGGAACAAAGGATAAGGATCAGGAGGAGGAGGATACGAGCAGGAAGAGTCTAATAACTATTATCCGGAATGAGCATACGATGATGAAGGGGGAACAAGTGGGCGTATTAATAGCCAGAGCCATGAAGCCCAGTAAAGAACTAAGTAATAATCTTGCACTGTGGAGGGGTCGATGAGGTCAGTCCGACAGGCTCAAGCCAACGGGAACGCCGGGTTCGCCGGGTTTGCCAGGCGTGGCCAAAGGGAAATTGGAAAAGGGTTCACTACCACTTCCAGTTCTCTCTGCTTTCCCTCCCCTTCCCGACTTCTCGCATTGCCGATGTCTCGCACTTGTCCCAGGTTTACTGACTTAGTGCGTGGTTCTCTCCAGTCTCCAGTCTCCAGATGCCACTCCTCGCACTAAAATGTGGCCTAGTTGCCTGCAAGACGGGGTTGCCGCGAGTCGGTAGCGAATCCGCCCGCGTGTCTGCCATGACGCATGAAACCAACTTGGTGGGGTTTCAAGCCGTCGTTCACCGGTGAGAGGGAATTGGTTAGCAGCGAAGGGAATGGAAGGGCGAGGATGGCTGTTGGCTGTTGCACACAATGCAATGCCACAATGCCATTCTCGTGCTTGGCCTCTGCGTCAGTCAGGAGAGGGTGAGACCACGCGGTGAGTGGTGAATTGGTCAATTGGTGATGCTGGCCTTCCCCGTCTCCGGATGCGGTCGTCTGGGGCATTGGGGAACCTGGAGATGCTGACATGAGCATCCTACTAGTACCAGGATCGGAATCAACACTACAATTGACTATGTCACTACGGCTGTTTGCTTTTGGACGGACTAGTCCAGCTGTCAGAAGATGATGATCAGGGGATTCTCGTCTCGACGTAACCTTAAGTAACCGTCCAGCCTATGCAAGCAACCATCCACTGCATGCTGCAGTATCACTGCGAGATTCCTTCTCAGGATCAGCCACTTAAAGGCTTCGATCTGTCAGGTCTGTCAGGTCTGTCACTTATTGTTTGCATGTAGAGAGTACGGAGTACTTTGTAGTTTACATCGCTACGTCACCTACCTAGAGTTATCGCGAACAAGACGATAGGCCGAGCGATCTTCAAGCACGTGAGATCCGACACAGTATACCACTCACCAACATAAGAATGGCTAGTCTGAGTTTGTAGAGAAAGCATACAATATACCTATGTCTGTGCTATTTAGTAACTCATGTGAAACACCTCTCTCACCATCGACTCTATCCATGCCCATGATTTGACCCTCTGAGTGAGATCCAAAGTCTAACCCTCAACCCAACCACTCAAAACAACACCACCAACACCCAAAAACCACCTAAGGTACAATAAGAACCCCCCAATATAATACACTTTCCCCAAGCCAACCATCCCAGTAACCCCGGGCACCAACTGCATCTCTACCCAACCTCCAGCGTCCAAGAAAGTAAAAAAGCCAGCCATCCCAAAACGGAAACCCCGTGACTAATCCAGCAACAGTTACTAGCCTGAGGCATAAACACACCACCGATCCTCTCCAGGCACCCCAAGGCATCAACAACAAGCAGCAGCCAGTTTCTGCCTCAGGCATAAAATGACTAATCGCACGTGACCCGGCGGAAGTCGGCTTCAGAAACGGACCTTGACGATATGCAATTCCCTGCTCCGACACAGGAATTGCCCTCGATCAGGATCTCTCGGCGGCCAATTGCGGTGTTCCACTGAAACCGAACTACTACACTCGCCTCTTTCCTCCCTCCGGTCCACCAAACAACAACAACAACAAAGACAGCTTCGGCTGAAGGAAGTTCACGGACACACGAAACCCGATATCCGCACATCATGGGCGCCGGCAGCTCTAAGCCCGCGGCTCCGGCCGACTCGAAGCACGTTTTCTCGAGGTAGGATTGCTTTGCTTGTTACATTGGACAATTATATATTGCTCTGAGGGTGTTGGTATATCGATTGGCTTGGGCTCAATGCAAGCTATTGAAGCCGGACTCTCTTCACCGAGGATGATCATACCTACCATATAAATAAATAATTCGACATGGGGCGACACCCTTCAAACCATCAAACACGGCCACAATGGAAATAAAAACAGAATACCAGGCTAACAGCTATATCCTACACAGCTCCTCCCCCGTCCAATTCTCCGCCAACTTCGTTGACGGCCTCCAGTCCAACACCGAGGTACGTACATTTCCCACCTACCTACCATACCCAACTCCTCCCAACCCAACCCCATCTAAATCCCCCATCTCTAAATGGAAAACAGACCGACTCCGCACGCGCCCGCTCCCTCGAACTCCAAATCCAAGAGCGCGTAGCCCAAGAACTCGAGCGCCTTCGTGCCCGCGAACAGCAAACGCTGGCCGAGATCGAGAAGAAGCTTGCCGAAGCCAAAGACGTCTCTTCTTCGACACCCGCGCCCAACTACACTCCCAGCAGTGGGGGTGCAGCTTCCTCCTACTACCCACCCGGATCTCTGGACCTGGATGCGCCCCGGATCCCGTTCGCGGGGCGGGAGAGCTACTTCGCAGCTGCTGCTCCGGCGGTTGAGGCGGCGCAGCAGCCGATTAACCGGGAACTGTCGCGGGAGAGCGTGAACAGTGAGATTGAGGAGTTGAGGGCGAAGTTGGAGGGACGGAAGAAGTTGGTTGAGATTGATGCGGGGATTGAGAAGGCTAGATCGGATGTGGTGAGTTGTTTGAGGTTGAATGATCGGAGGCCGTTGGATTGTTGGAAGGAGGTTGAGGCGTTTAAGAAGGAGGTTGCTAGGTTGGAGGAGGGGTTTGTGGATCGGATTGTTGGGTAGATGATTTATTCCATAGGTGTTGATGATGATGGGATGGATATATTTGATAGAGAGAGTTGAGGTATAGTGGTGTGTTCGACTGCTGCTGCTGCTGCTGTTGCCGAGTCATCAATCCCGGTTTGTGCATGTGTGTATATGTATACCTAGCTTGCTAGAGAAGGTTACTGGTTTCTGTTTTCATCGTTTATCCTTTACTAGTAGTACTATGCTGTGATTGGCGTAAAGGTGCATACATACAAGTGCGTGGTTAAAATCTCCCAACTGTATGGGCAGATCATGAATATTCATCTCTATCATAATTCTATGCTCAATTCTAACCCCCTCCTCCCCAAATAATCAATCAAAGACACACAGGGTATCACGCAACAAAGCCACACAATCCATCCATACACATCAAACCAACTCCCAAAACCCGATCCTCGCCACCGTCTCCCCCGCACTCCTTACAATACACATATTCCTCCCACTCGCCTTCCCCTTCTGCACCTTCGACAACAAGACAGACCCAATCCCCGTACCCTTTCCCTCAGCAAGGTTATAATTTCCCGTGGTAACGAAGCCAATGAGATCCTCCTCCGTCGGGACCGGCAAATGTTTCTGACGAACATCGTCACCCGCAGACGGAGTGATAAGGGATGCAGCGAGCTTTTGCTTGACATCTTCAGGGCCGAGGTTGGCCGCAGATCGAGATTGTTTCCTCTGGAGCTCATCCCTGAGACCATCGTAGGGTTGCTTTGATGATAGAGTGAGCCAGTCCTGGCGAAGCTCGCGATCGGTGGTTGGGAGTCGGTAGATGCGGGCTCGGGGGGTGGGTGTGCCGCGGTTGAGAAGGGTGAGTTTGACTGTTGCTAGGGCTGAGGTGTTGATGGTGGTGGAGGAGTCGGTTAGGGCGCGGGTTGCTTCGGATGTTGAGAGCTGGTGGATGTTCAGTGGTGGAATGGTGGCATGGGCGTCGTTGTCTTGGGCGTTGGTGGTGTCATCCAGTTTGGTTTCAGTCTCTGAGGGCTGTTCCTTGTCGGTTGTATTGCTCGCCTCTGGTGCTCCTTGAACGAGTCTCTCCCAGTCGCAGGCCCAACCACGTCCTATCTCACCCTTTTGTCCGTTTCTCAGGTCGATGCTCTCAAACTCGGTTCTGCGCCCCTTAGGACGTCGCTCCCACTCTCGCTTCGCTTCTTCTCTCTCGCGCAGGCCCCATTCCCACCCAGCGCGGGTTCCTGGGAAGTCCCCAGGGAACCAAGGCTCTCCTGATTCGAACGAGAGCTGCTGCTGCTCTTTCAGACCGCCGAATCTGGGGTTTCCGCCGCTCGAGAGGGGATAGTACATCAGCGAGTACCAGAACGGAAGCACACACTTCCATGGGAGAAGGACAGTCCAGGTTCCAGGTGCGCTGCTGCTCTTGGAATGGGTAGGTCGACTGGCGAGTACCATCACAGGTATCTTGGGGTCGGTGTCTTTGGCGGGCGGGCGTACGCCAGGACCAGCTTCGGTTCGACGCCGATTTATAGCCTTTTGGCTAGGCAACTGGCGTGCAGCTGCTAACCGGGCGCGACGATCGAAGAGAGCAGGGGCCGTCTGCGTGTTATCCGGCGACCACGACGAGAGTAGTATAGCCAGCCGTTGCATCTCCTCCTCTGACGACGATGGCTTCATAGTCTTGGGCGGAAACTCGAGCCGAGGGTCAGAGACAGAGAACCCAAGGACGGCGTCCTGCGGCAGAGATGCAGGGTTCGTTACCCCCAGGAGAGAAGTCCAAGTAGTCTCCGGGCTGTCCGCAGCGACATCCTTCCCATCCACAGCAACCGGCTTGAACGACGCAAGTAACGCCTCCGTAGCTCCCGGACCAGTGATTTCGATACTGCCAATCTCAAACCGCAAGTCCTCGACCATCACAGGAGGATTCTGCTTCTTCGAAACACCCAGCAGGGCATTCCACAACTGCAAAAACGCAGACGGATGCACCCGAACAAACACCTTTCTCCAACCCTTCTTCCCCTTCTTCTGCTTCCCACTCTCATCAGCATCCACCATCTCCACATCCTCCCCCTTCACCTCAGCACACCAAACCAACGTAACCGGCGCAATGGGCCTCCTCTCCCCCTCCCACTCATACACCCAACTCCTCAACCCCCTCGTGCCAGCCCTCCACTTCCTCCCCTTCCCTCCCCACGCCTTCTCCCCCTCAACCCCAACAGCCCTCAATACCCCCTCAATCGCCCCCACCGTGCCCTCCAACTGCACCGTCGCCAAATAACTCATATCCCACGCCACAGCACCTCTAGACCCCCTCGCGCGATGCGTAGGCCGATAACTCTTCTCCGTCGGCGACAACGGCACCGCGAACCTCCACAACGGATCCTTAGAAGTAGCCATATGCGCCCTCTTCGCATGAAACATATGAGTCGGCAACCAAGTCTTGCACTGCTGACGTTTCTTAAACCTAGCTTCCGGCGGATTCGGCCTGGACAATTTATTCTTCTTAATTTTCGGCACCCGCGGCGCAATCTCATACGCATGACTACCGGATTCTTCCAACGACTCCCGGACCTCTTTATCTCGCTGAGCTTTCACGGCCGCGCGCTTGGCTTTCGTCTTCGCGTTCAGGTTCTGTAGTCGCCGGGCCGTTTCGAGCCGAATGCGCATTTGTTCGGTCGGTTTGCGGGTTCGTGATGATACCGTGGGGGTGTTGTCTTCTATCATCTGTACACAGAATCATAGTCACACATTAGAATCTTCACTGGACCACCAATAATAGTAATCTTGACTTTGAAAAAGAAAGGGAATATATATATACATACCTCTCTCCTCGCCCTAGCCCTCAACCTCTTCGGCACCCTCTTCACATTATGACTCGCCGTCCGTCTCCTCAACGACCTCGGCACCTTCTGGAACGCCCGACTCGTCAATGCATTCTTCGATCGCTGAATGCCCGACTCCAGCGACCGGATCTCGTATTCTCTTGCTTCCACGTACGCAGCGACATCTAGTTCTCCGGAGGCTGACAGTGCCGCGTCGGCGGCCTGCACGGCGAGCGAGCGCGCATCGAATGTTTTTTGGCGTTTGCGGGCGGCGGCGGCGGAGAAGTTAGCAGCAGGTTTGCGCTTCGGTGGGAGGGAGGCCATGATGGCCGATGAGATGTGCTGTGCGTTTGTGTGCGAAGGGAATTTCTTGGAATTAATATATCATTTAGATTTGTAGGTGAGGAGAATTTGTTGGAGTCAATTAAAGCTTTCTAAGATCCCTGCAGAAAGGTCCGGTCCGGGTACGGAATGAAATGAAATGATGGAATGGTTTGGGTTGGTTTGGTTTGGTTTAGCGCGGTGTCTGTTCCGTCGTCCGTCGTCGACTTTCAGTTTTCCGGCCGACAGAGTGAGAAACTACTAGTGATGGGAGCAGCCACTCCGACGCAACAAAATGGCAACGCAACCAATGATCGTTGGCTGACGGTTAAATGCTCAAGTTTAATCCTAGTACTTTAGTTCTTGTTGACGCTTTGATGTTCGGGTTTTTGGTAGATCGGTCTTAGCTGGGGGTGGACTAGTAGCTTGTTTTTCGCTTTCTATATCTTCTTTCCTTTTTTTTTTTTTTTTTTCTTTACTTTTAAGGTTATCTTAGATGATCGTTGGACATAATTATACTACGTACTGACATCACACTACAATATGAACATTGTTGTCGTAGCTTCGTAAGCGCGTTGATTTTCTTTCTATCTAGTGGCTGTCTCTAATTTCTAACTTCATTATCCCACCAGAATATGAATGTCAACGCTATCTATCATCGGACGCCTGCCATGTCTATCGTCTTTTAAATGACACGTTTACAGCTGCTTGAGGACGGCCTCAGCGCTCGAGAACTGCAATGATGGTTAGTAGCTATTCACCTGGACATGAGAAGAGTAGAAAACATACCTCGAGGTGGTTCTTGGCGGGCTCACGCTTGGCGTAGGTGACCTTGCCGTGGTCGATGATGATGGCGTAGCGACCAGTGCGGCCCTCCTCGTCGGCCCAGCCGATGCTCTTGGAGAACTTGGCCTCGGGGTCAGACAGGAAGAGCTATAGAAAAATTAGTATCATTGGTCTGAAGGACAAACGAGAGAAGAAGAAGGGGATCTTACAATGTCGTCGTTGGTGACCTGGTTGGCCTTGCCCCAGGCGCTCATGACGTAGGCATCGTTGTAGGCAAGGACGGCAACAACGTCGACACCCTTGGCGCGGATCTCAGGGAGCTTCTCAACGTACTCGGGGACGTGGCGAGCAGAGCAGACGGGGGTGAAAGCACCGGGGAGGGCGAAGAGGATAACCTTCTTGTCGGCCCACTCCTTGGAGGCGTAGTAGTTGATGGGGATACCGCAAGAGGTGATCTCGCCCTTCTCCTCGGACCAGGGGATGTAGCTGTGTGAGGTAAGAATGTTAGTGAATGTACTAATAATAGTGTATGGTGACAACAGTATATGGTTGCGTTGCTGCTCGAGAGACACCAGCAACCGGAAAGGCGGAAGACGGTGGGGGAGGGGCAAAGAAAGAGAGAGAGGATAGAAGAATGAAGAGAATACTCACGAGAAGGTAACGTCAGCGGGGAAGCTGTCACCGGGGTTGAGGCCAGACATTGTGAATGAGATTAGTTGGTAATAAGGTGTACTAAGAAAGGTATGAGTGATTGGGTAGTAGTAGTGAGTTGTGAGAGTGAAGAAGATTGGGAAGGGAATGGAAGGTTGGTTATATAGGGAAGAAGGGGAGACGGAACGGGGGCAGCGAGCCTGTGGCGGGTAATTCGACCTTAGCTTCAGTTGAATGAATGGTTCCTGTGTCAAGGGCAACGAATAACGCGGCGACGGCCCGCCCACGGCGCCATGAGGTGATCCGAAGCAGAAGGATACCGAAACTCTTCGATTGGTAGGGCTTTGGAGGGGGAACTGTATTATCAAGAAGACCGCCCGAGACTGAGTGACCCCACCACGCATTCCTTTTTCGGGTCTGCGCCATTCCCGTCCACTGGCCACCATATCTAGACCGTCTCCGTTGACAAATCGGCCCTCGATTCGATGTTCAAGTCTTGCTATTGCTGCTGCTACTCCTTCCTGGAACGTGTTTCCGGATCAGATATCCCATACTCTCTACAGGTGGGCTCTCTCTGCAGGGTTCAATCATGGGTCTGTCTGGCTTGCATTTCCGGCCCATCCTCCTTCACCCCTATAAATTTAGGCATCAATTTCATAGCTAATTAGCACTGCTATCAGAAGAGTATCAATTCCCCAGGCTCATCATTCTCCCGATGTAGTATCAACTATCAAATGCTGGTTGTCAGGAGCCGGCACTTCATCCGAGTCGACATGAGTACAACCAAAGCTTGGTTACTTCCCGTACAACCCCTGCTCCTGACGCCACTCTAACTCGAATCTGGTCCTCATTCCAGACGGGTTCTCTATCGAAATGCTTAGTAAATAGCCATTGGCATCTACAATTCAACCAATGCTGCAGATCAACCCCGGTTGTCTGTCTCCGGCGTTATATCACCGTCGACAAGCTTATCTCTGCCTCCAAAGATAGTGCTGAGGAAACCATCCCACTTTGACACCTCAGGCATATACGCAGTGCCCCTCCTTCCCAGCACCCAGATTTCCCTCCTATTGGCCTAAAAACCCGAATCACGAGAAAACAGCCCCACCTAAGCCAATATCGGGCCAATCAGTGGTCTCCACCCACCACCGCCCTGCTCTTCCTTTGCCAAGTAAGCCAATACGTAACCAATCCACCACCAGCACATATCCCCAGGGACCTTGGTGTGCTGGTGCTTGGTGACCGCCACTATGATTTACAAGTTTCCGAAGATTTTCCTCCTCAAACTCTCTTTCCAGTCAATGAGTTTGGTTCAGCCAGGGAGAAACATATTCGCACATTATTACCGTGGATAAGAATACCATATCCCGTCTTGCCACTTAGGTAGGGTATGATGTGGTGATCCTCGGCTTGTGTCGGACCCATTCGACTGCTTACTGTGTACTTGGTAGGCACGGGTCCTGGTATCCGAGCATCTGATAAGATTGGCCAACCAACCATAGGAAAGCCAGGTCGACCCCCGATCACGGAACTCGACTTACGGTGGCTGAGCGCGCTTGGCTGCTATGATAATGATGGTAACACCGCGCAGAAGCCGATCCAACGCCGTGATGAATAACACCTCGCTTGTTTTCCCCGGCATTTGTATGGATTACCTAAGGTAGGCGAGTCTGGGGCAATGGTTGGGATGATCTTCCCCACCGCGATTATACATCCTCCGGGTTCTAGAAGAAATGCATGTCTTGCCCCTGACGATGGACAGGGGTTGGTCTGCAAATGCTTCGATAAGGTCGGCTTAATAATTTAAGTAGTCTAGGCAATGCTTCTTCGATTGAGCGCAGGTGATGTAATTGGTAAACTCGATAGAATTTGCTGACGTATTGTGTTTTTCATGCTCTTGGTCGAGATACAGGGCAAGTTGCTATCATAGGCATTCCATCCAGTTCCTATGATGTAAAAGAGTAATAACTGCACCGCTCGCTTGCAATAATTCACCTCCTTCACGCGCCTAGCAGATGGCGCACCTCGCTCAGCGAGTGCAATGCAGACATCAGTTCCGTGTCACCTGGCGACATGATCTGGCTTCTCTCATATCCGGCAAGATGAAAGGGAAGCTCCTCTACCTGGCAAACAGTTCCGGGACCTGGTAGCTCTCCAGTCTGGAAATATTGGCGTATTGCTTTCGCTGTACACAAGGATGGACCACTCAATGTGCAATGCTGCGACATTGGAATGTAAGTCATCTTGCATATAGATTTAAAGGGAGGGACGGAAAGAGGACTTACTCCAACGGAGTTCTGCTCTAACACGATTGACTCAGGAAATCCACGCGCCATTGTATGAGCACTGCAGATGCGTCAGTTTGTGCTTTTGAAGACTGTCAGGATCAGATGAGCAAGCTTACTTCCGTAACGGAGTTACTGGATCATAAGTATTCCCGATAAACATCAATGGGTGCGATGTGTTGCCTGTAAAGGGCCCTTGGATAGCACATAACTGTCAGCTTATATCGCGGGTATAATATGGTGTTGTTAAGACCTACCATCGTAGCGCCATTCAGGTCGCGTCTCTATTCTGACACAGGACATGCGAATCTCAGCCCAGAAATCTCCAACCGCCTTACTTTGTCCCTGGAGCCGATTCCAGTAGCTCCGGAACTCCTCCTTGGCGGTTCCGTCGAGGCCTGGACCGTCTGTGCATAGGATAGTCCTCCCGGCCTCCTGATCGCTCTCACCAGGTGCTTTGTATTGCTTGGAGGAATCGCACGGAGGGGGTGCTGGCCATTGTTTGGCTTCGTACTTGATGTCAGCGAAGGAAGAACCGTTGCCTTGCTCGAGTTCAGTCAACAGCCGAGCCACCAGATTGAACGACTTCAAAGGAGTATAGAGAGCCTGCACAACCAACGACTTCACGTCACTATAGGTTATAATCTCTGGTCCCCTGTTTCCTGAGGGAGGTACGGCAATAGGGCCCGATATAAGATTGGTCAAAAGTTGCTCATAACGAGATTTGAGGTCGTCGGGATCTCCACCCAGCGCGAACGGACATGATGAGGGCCCAGCTGTTTGGCAGTACTCGAAAAACTTATCGAATGCTGCATCCGAATCTTGTAAGTTGGTAAGCCAGTTTCCTGCGTAATAATCATCAGCGTTGCAGACTCCGTCTATCACAGCACGGTGTATGCGATGGGGCTGCATAGCCGCAAACGTGGAACCCAGGATTGTCCCATAGGAAAAGCCCCAGTAGAGTAGCTTCTCCTCCCCTTTGTTCCAGCGATTGTGCAGACTTATTCTCTCCGCGTCCGAGTTTGCTTCAGCGGCGGGCGTGTTCGAATCCGCCGAAAGGAGCCGCTCTGTTTCTCGTTCGCGCCATTCTCCATGGCGCTCTACGAGTTCAACCATATCCGCCACCACAGGGGCCGTATTCATAAATCTTCCTATCCATTCACCATCCTTTGACGCTGTGACTCCTTGTTGATTGCAGCTCATACCAAAAGCTTCATACCTGGCCCATCGAGTATCGAAGGCTCCTTCAGAACTTCCAAGTAGACCCTCTGCCTCTAGCTGCAGAAACCACGCTTTCCTCGTCGCGGAGTCAGGAAAGCAGGATAAATTAGGTGTTGTATTATTAATCCCTCTTGGGTCAAAGCTGACAACATCAAAATACTTTCCGCTCGCCGAATCTGCACTTGGCGATTCTGGGGAGTCTACGATGGTCTGGATAGCTTTCCCATATCTGAAGACCAAGCTCACTCCGGATCCACCAGGACCACCTATTTTACAATTAGAAGAAACATTGTAAAGCAGTAATGTGGCTCTGCATACCTGGGTTTAGAAGAATGGCCCCACCATATCGCGCATCTGTGACAGGTACCTTTGCAGGAACTTTGATAACAGCCAAGGCAATCTTTGACCCTTCGCCATCCGTTCGATTCCAGTTCATCGGAAGCGACAAGCGAGCGCATTCGTGATGATCAAAGCATGGATGGTATACGAGTTGCTCGGTGGGGGCAATCTGATAGCGTATATTAGAACATTACATCCAAACCTGATACATTACCTACATCTTCCCATTCAAAGGACTTATCGGGAGTTGGACTTGGCAGCTGTTGTTCAACGCTCTTGCTTCTCTTAAGTCCGCCACATATGTGAATAATAGCAAACGCGACCAGAGCGAGGGAAAGGAGAATTCGAATGGCTTTTCCTTTGACAGGGTGTGGCCTAGATGGCACTACTGCCATAGCAGGCCGGTGGCCAGGCAGTTTTGAATCCAGAGACATTGTATGAATGCCTTGGGTCCAATGGTATGATAGGCCGCTTGTTTAATAGATTGGCGCTCTGAAGAGGAGGTCGCAACCTTGCTAATCCTGCTCACTTTCTGGCGGTCAGAGCATTTGCCTGTCCTTGATGAGCATAAGACCGCATATTTATAGTGGCCGTGTCAGCTCAAAGCACTAGTAGCTAGTTTCCGTCCGCTAGAGTATATTGAGATGACATACCCTTGTAAGACGGATGCAAATATCAGGTCCGAGTGTTGTGGTGAGGTTCAGTAGCTGCACGGCTTAGTCCTACGATTACTTCATGCTAGGCAGCTTCCTACTCTGGAAGGATCGCATTGTGCCGCGAGCCTTCCTAACCTGGAATAGCCATGCGCTCCTTGCGACATTTGCCGATAAGCTGATAAGCTGATGAGTAAGTACCTCGCAGGATGCTATCCCTGTAGGCAACAGGTGCGGGGAAGAGTAGTAGTCTTCCACAGGCCTTGGTTAACCGACAAAGCTGACCATCAATGGTAGATAATATATGTTGTCTTGGAGTAATATTAGCAGGCTATAATTTATGATGTTCATCCCTATAAACCATAACATCATTTACACACTTTCCCTAAAAGTGATTTGTAGTACTAGTAACAAACTGACAATGATCCACTGAATATATATATCCGCCCTGTGAGAAGAGCACTAGTACTAAGTAGCATGAGCGGATTGCCACATCAAATTTTGATGACTCAAAATATGAAGTCCAATATTCAGTAATATTACTAGACACTTGATATAATATTATTTACATACTGATGATATGACAGTTAGTGATCGTCCTCAGCGGAAGCCTCTAATGCAGCGCTAACATCTCAACAACCACTAGCCCCACGTGACGTGTAACGGCTTATGTACAATGAGTCAATAATAAGGTCTAACTACTGACTACCTCACGCTTCCTGCATAATCTTAAATCTGTCCAACGGATCTGAGTTTTCTTCATCTCTTCTACATCAAGAATAAAAACACTACAGCATGGCTGACATCAAGCCCCCTTTCACCGAAGAATCGGCTCGGAAGAAGGTCAAGGCAGCTCAGAACCTATGGAACACCAAGTAAGAACTCCCTCCACGACATGTATCCCTCTGGGAGATCTAGAATCCTGTATCTTGCACGCTGTCGTCATTTTCGACGCTGGTATGAGGGGTTAGAGTCTGCTGTGAACTCAGATTTTCATCCCTTGCGTCCAATCGAGGCCTTTACCTCGTGTCTCCCATTCTTCACGCCTTGCAGTGATTTGATTTCATTTCTCTCTGATACCCCACAACATTCTTAACAGCTGCTGAAACTCACACACTGTTTCTGCTCTACTGCTTGCTCGCATTCTCACAGGCTTTACATGTAGGGATCCCGTGCGAGTTGCACAGGCTTATACGCCAACATGTATCTGGCGCAATCGGACTTCATTCTTCTCCGGAACAGAGGGAATCGTTGAGTTCTTGACTGCGAAATGGAAGAGGGAAGAGAATTATAAGCTGCGAAAGGAATTGTTCTCCTTCACCGACAACCGCATCGCAGTGCAATTTTGGTATGAGTATCAAGATATTGACGATGGTCTGCGTTGGAAGCGGTGTTATGGCCTTGAAGATTGGACCTTCGATCGAGAGACAGGAAAGATGTGCAAGAGAATGATGAGCGGCAACGATGTGCTCATCGGCCCCGATGGAAATGGAGAGGGAAGATGGTTTGTGGACGGAGTAGATGTCGAAGACGTTGAAATTGGAGAGGAACATTGGTGAAAGGCTACTTCTAATTTTCTGCACATCATGAGGCCGCTGTTATCTACTGCATTAGCAATTCTCCCTAGATCCAGGGGAAGCGAGCAAAAAGCCAAGTGTTGGAGTTATGGCGATTCATGATGCTCCTTATGGTATGTCGGATGCGAGAAGTAGTGTACAGTAGGATTCCAAGTTTGGTTTCTCCGTCCTCTTCTTCAGATGCCCGTCAGACAAGGAAACCTAGCAACATATCAGAAGGTGTTATGCCCTTATTGACTTGAATAATTATTTGAGAAGACAGTCGACGAGTGGCCTGCGTCTACACAAGCAGAGACCGCAGGTAAAATCTCCGAAGCGCAATCCAAGAGCGAAGGGCAACAGTTATCCCTGTCTTTGCGACTTAAAGCTAGTGTAAACAAGGGGCAAAGTAAGCCTGTCTGGAGTATTCGACAGACACGAGCGGCGTGCAAGCCCCTGTCTTCACGCCACGAAGGGGGGGAATGCATGTCCCTTTGACTTGCCATAGATCCCAGCCACTTCTTTATCGCACCGGTATCTGCAATGACGTCGCATTTCGATGAGCCCAGGGGTTTCGATCACATCCGGAGAATTCAACTGAAAGGAAGGGTATGGCAAATTCTTAGACTCTACCATCAAAGATAAGTCAATTTCGACATCAAAGTGTTATGCATGCAAAGATTAATATCATCATACTCACCTTCCTTATTCATTGCCTGAGATGAATCGCTTCAATGATATGGGTAGATGAATAGATTATTTCAACTCTTTGTAGTCAGCAATACTGGCAAGAAAGCATAATTAGCCCGGGTTGTTTCCGCATTCCAAACTGTACTTCACACACACTATTGCCGAATGCCCGGGTGGAAAGGAATTCCGAGCAAAACAAACAGTCGATGGTCATTCCACAGGCTCTCCTCGCCGTGGTATGTAGCAAACCCGGCTGAAAAAAAAAACCATGTTTGCTCGCTTTGACCGCGGAGCATGGCTCAGGAAAGCATGCCTCCAGGAGATTACCGGTACTCTAGGAGATTCATCTGCACTCCTATGCCCCTCTCACCTAGCCATAGCAGTTTGGAGTTGGTTTGATCCGCAAACGTTGTGGTTGACTGCCTTTTCCTCATAGCACTACATGGGGACCTGAAAGGGCAAATAGGCAGGAGAGTACTAACAGAACAGCAGGAGCAGATAATAGGCGATTCAAACAACAACCTCAAGTATTCGCTGTTTGCACGACGTGCGCGTTACCTAGGACTACGCGTAAGTGATTACTGCAAACCTATAGAAAGAGCTTGTCAACAGTATGTACCTGTCTATATCATCGTGCTGTATACGCGTCAATATCCTCTTGATTTCTAACCATATGATAGCTCGGCAGAGAACAATCAAGACCTATACGGGGATCTTCTATATGCAGACGCGTCTTTGATTGACTCTTCCTTCGATAAGCGGGGCAAATGGACGAGGATACAGCTCTTCTTACTCCCGACACAATGCGGACTCCCTTGACGGATGCTTCAGCAAGAGTAAACAAGTGCCTTGCCCCGATTACAGAGCGAGAGGAGCCACTGAGACAACCACAGCAACAGATGACATCGCCAGTGCCGATGTCCATTGTGACAAGTCCTCTGTCCGCAAAAAATGCCGATGTCAACTGCAGCAGCCCGGCTCCAGGCTCACAGCCAGGGACTAACCGCAATTCTGTAATGTCAGCGGCATCAATAATGACCAACCAAGGCAAGAGGAAGACACACGTGGGACCATGGCAACTTGGGAGGACCCTCGGCACTGGGGTGAGCGGCCGCGTGAGACTGGCAAAGCATTCAGTAACGGGGCAGTTGGCTGCGATCAAGATCGTCTCAAAGAAATCCGCCGCCATAACGCAGAGTGCGAGTATAGCGGGAATGGATAAGAAGGCCAATCGTATGGGAGGTATAGGGCCTCGGCAGATTCCATCCGGGCTGGAGCGTGAGGTCGTGATCATGAAGCTGATCGAACACCCAAATGTGATCAATCTTTATGATGTGTGGGAGAACCGGGGCGAATTGTAGGTGACCTTGGATGCAACTGGAAGTTATGGCTAACATTATCTAGGTATCTAGTATTAGAGTTCGTTGAAGGGGGCGAATTGTTCGAGTACGTTTCTGAGAACGCCCCTCTTAGAGAGGACGAAGCGGTACGGATATTTTGTCAGATAATTGCTGGCCTGGGATATTGCCATCGCTTCAACATTTGTCACCGAGACCTGAAACCGGAGAACATACTTCTTGATGCGCAGGGCAATGTGAAGCTTGCTGACTTTGGAATGGCCGCTCTTCAGCCATCGCATCGCTGGCTTGACACGTCTTGTGGAAGTCCACATTATGCTGCTCCGGAGATCGTCGGAGGGAAGAGATATCTAGGTGACAAGGCAGATATATGGAGCTGCGGCATAATTTTATATGCATTACTGACAGGCTTTCTTCCATTCGACGGAGATGACACCCATCGCACACTAGAGCTAGTGAGGCGAGGAGAGTTCAAGATTCCTCCGAATATAAGCCGTGAAGCAGCGGACCTGATCATTCGGATACTGGAGAAAAACCCGGACCATCGAATTAGCATGAGCGAAATCTGGAGACACCCTCTTATTAGGAAGTATGAGAAGCGCTACCAAGGGGCAGTGGACTATCATATCGGCCCTGCACCACCGCTAATGCCCGAAGACTGTGGCCCACCCATCACCAACAAGGAAGACGTCGACATCGACCTTCTGAGGAACCTGCAGACACTATGGCATGATGCTACTCCAGAAGCAATACTGAAGAGAATATTAGATCCTACGTAAGTCAAGTCATGTCCCTAATTTGATACATGTGCCGCCTGCATGGAGGATACCGAGCGAGTGAACCCGAAGCTGATTGATCGAACAACTAGTCCGAGCCATCAACGCCTGTTTTACAATGCTTTGGTAAAATTTAGAAACGAACAGTTGGAGAATTATCAAGGACAGACTCTCGAGCACTCCGCCAGCGACTATCACCATATATCAGTGACACCGCGTACACCGAGTCGCCGAACTCGACGTGCGAAGGGCAGCTCAGCGAAGTGGTCGCAATTTCCACCCGTGAAAGAAACAGGAATAAGGACCAAGTATAATGAAGAGCCAAAGTCCTGTGCGACGACGCGAAGCTATGACCCGTTCAGGTCTCCACAAGGCAAATACCCCCCGAGAGAAGCGAAGTGTGCGAAGATCACAGTCTACCGTAATGGGCTCATTGTCGATGTTGATAAGACCGCAAAAGAGCCCACAGAAACGGCTCCCCAACCGAGGCCAGCTGCAAAGAACACGGATGTCGAAGTGCCCCAGGTGCCTCAGGTGCCCGAGTGTCCACCAAGCTCACCATTCGTGCTTATGCGTGATAAGCGCATGAAGGTCAATTCAGTCAAATCATTCCATTCAAAGACCTCGTTATCTGGGTCTCGTCGGGCTCTTTATGTCGCATCAACGCCGCGTTCTGCCAGCTACAAACGCAATGTGTCCTTCCACCACAAAAGGAACCGCTCGCAAGGCTCAGTACTATCCACCAAAGCGAGGCCACCGCGGCCGAAAGCCCGCAATATCAGGCTTGATGCAAGCGAAAGCACTGTTATCTCTGATTACGACGATGATCCATTTTCTGACGCACAAGAGAGCCCATCGTTGCCCGCTCAGCCCACAGTTGTGCGTGGAGCTGGTGTTACAGTCAGGAATTGCCCTCAGATGAAAAAGGTGCGAAATAGCGATATAATTTGGAAAGACGATGCGCGGAAGGTGTCCTATGAACTTAGTCAAATATGCGAGGAGGCCTTCAACGGCAGCTCATTGTCCACGAACTGCACAGCCAGCACATGCATTGGGTCCGAAACCCCAGCGACATCCTTGTCGATCGCTAGCCCTGAGGTATCTCATCAACAACTTGCTTCCAAAGGACATTCAACCACACGCACAGCACCTCCAGCCGCATCGTCGCCGCGATCCTACACGGCTGCGGAGCTTACTGAAACTCGTCGTAAACTGATCCAGCATTCTACTAAGGATGACTCAGGGAACATCCCGGGCTACTTGAAGCCGATTATTGCCCACCTAGATCGTCTGATTGAGCAGGATGAATTGAAACGACGAGAGAGACGGGATAATCCTATACCTTATCCCAGTGCGATGAGGGAGCAATCGATCCGGGCGTCAAGTGAAACTCCGCAGCCACCAGAAGCACCCAAAATCCTGGATACTGCACCCGACCGTCAAAGCAACGCTGGTCACAAAGCAGAAGTTCAAGGGACAGCCGTGCTGCCAACTCCCCAGAAGCATCCTGGCCGCTCCAACCGCGATGGAAAGAGAACAGTTCGCATGGTGCCTCACAGTTCTCTGCAGTCGATGGGGCCAGCCAAGGACCTGAATATTCGAAAGAACCGCAGTTCTATCCCCGAAGATATTCCAGAGACACCAGACGTGTGCACAACGGATGCCGAGAAAGAGCAAGCTGCAGCATCTACACGCAAGTTCGCTTCCATGAACCCCGGCCAAGACCGGGGTCCCTACGAACTCGACCCCATTGAAGAAACGCCAGGATCACCCAGACGCAACGGCACTCGTTCTTCGGACAATAAGAAATGGTCATGGTTCCAGAACAGGTCTCAGATGGCAGGGGATCACACTACAAGGGATTCCAGCGACGTCCCGCAAATCCAACCAAGTTCAGCGACTGTGATCAGACACCACCAAGATGACTCGAGAGAAGCGAAGGCCAACACCCAGCGAGATAGCCACTTGGGTGGAAAGCCCTCGCGGACGAAGCCCAAAGGCGGATTCTTCAGAAGACTTATCAATAGACGAGCAAGCAAGGAATCTCAGAACCAGGGTACCGGTTAGTTTTGTCTACCCATATAGGTAAAACGGGAAACTCATCAAGTACAGGCTTTGACACTGCAGAAACCAATGTCTTGCTGCACGAGAACATCGAGACTGGTAACACAACGGACACCGAATATGACGGCAAACCTCTTCCACCTCCTCCGCGCGGTGGAGGCAAGAGCCAGAACTGGTTCGCACGCGTATTCCAACTCAAGCCTGCTACTCGAGTGATAGCACTGAATACATCGACCACCAAAGCTCGGAAATATATCCATAAGACAATGCGTGAGTGGAAGAAATGGGGTATGGAGGAGGTTTACCTTGACAAGGACAAACGGGTCATCTACGGAAGCGTGGGTGAAGTCAACTGTACGTCTCCAGACCACACGGATCAGATCATCATGAAAGCAGCCGAACTAACCCATCTGATTTACAGTGCTGAATCTTCGACCGGTCCAATTCTCCGCTGAGTTCTGCACATACCTAGAACAAGGTCGACAGGAGAACCTCAGCCTCGTCCGCTTCAAGCAAGAGCGGGGAGCAGCGTCATCCTTCCACAAGGTTGTCGACACCCTCTACCTCCTCATGAAGGGCCAGCACATGCTCATGGAAGACCCGGCCCGAGCAAAAGAGATGGTTCGAATTCTAGACGACTACCCGAACCCATGAAGATCAGATAATACCAACCCTTTTGATTCCCATCCCCATATTACTCTCCAAAACTGTTTCTGGACTACCATGACCATCTGGACTGTGCAAGCCTTCTACACCCACCATCTACCAGCCCCCTTCAAATATTACTGCATATACCTTCAATCAACCCCATTTTTCAGGACTTCATGTTCATAATCTCTCAATGTCTTCCCCCCCTCCTCCCCCTCCCTCTTTCCCAATCGTGACCTCGTCAGGCTCCATTTCCAACCAATTATCTACCGGACAAAAACACTCGCTTGATCTTCAATTTCTCCTTGTCTGGCTAACCAACCCTCCTCAGTTCTGTCACTCTTTCTGAAACATTTTCTTTCGTTTGTGATTTCCATTTCCATTTTATAGTTTGTATTCTACTCCAGCGCGTATTGTCCCATGTCCTATCGAGTCTCCTGTCTATTAATTGAATGAACTTTGAAAGCCAAAACGAATCGGATTAAAGTCTTTTGACACCAACGCTCGCTAGTCCATTCCCTACCCACCCCAATTCCCTCCCTCGCCCTACAATTTATTCCTCAAAAAAACAAAATCACACATTTTCTCTTTTATTATATGCCAGCCAGGCAGCTAGCTTGCAGCTAGTACTATGTATACATAGCTGTTTTAGCACTCTTAGCCCTAATTATAACTACTTAGCTCATTATTTCTTTCCCAATGCTTGTATGTAGAGCTTAACCTGCTTCTTTCTGAAATATGTTCTCCCCAGCTTCGAGGATACTTGAGGACTGTTTATGTGAGAGGGCTCGTTATGTAGTAAATACACTACTATTATGGGTGGAGGTGGGGGCAGATGATGGACGCTGTGCTTTTTCGGTCGTCTATGTAGTAGTTAGTCATCCAGGTTTGGGAAATCGACTAATAACTATAGCAAGGAATGCTGGTTTCAGGCAATACTGGTGGTTAAATTACAATGCAGGAGCATGGATAATCAATTGCCTAAACTGAAAAGCCAAGAGCCAAGTTTTACTTACAACGGCCTATATGGAAGGAAAGATACCTAATAAACAGGATACGTAGGTGTTTGATACTGGACTATATGAGGTAGGTAACGCGGAAAGGGAACGAACACATATGCACAAAGCAAGATAGGCACCAAAGTAATTCGCATGTAACAGAACGCATGGTGATTGCAAGTTGTAAAAGTTGATCAGACAGCCTCCCAAGTATAATACGAACAAAAGCAGAACATCAAAAATTGAAACCAGAATGACCTCCATTTTCGCGAATGATGGCAAAGTACCGTCCCAAAACAAGCCGTTTCAGAGCAGACAACAAAACTCGGAAACAAGAGCATGAACGCAGGACAGATAGCCTCCCGAAAGTAGTGAAACACATGGAAAAGACAAAGCCACCGCCAATAGCATTTAAAAAAGAAAGCCTCATCACACATCTTGTTCGGAAGAAATGGAAATGCAGCAGATATTCGCACCAATGATTCGTTTCGTGATGGCTAACGCAAAGACAGACATTGCCGACAGATGGAGCTTCCGATCAAAGCTCGTCATCCAGGTGATCCCAGCATAACCGCCTGTTTCCAAGATGCGGTCACTGAGCGAAGGATGCAGAGTGTGGATTTCACTTTGCTTGGCGATTTTGAGAGCTTCGAACTGGGCCCGGTAGAGATAACGAACGGAAAGACCAACAAGAAAAACGTTATTAGTAGGTCGCCCTAAGTAGTTTATAGCCAGTGACAGTGTCTTCGGAAAGGGAAATGTTGTAGATGATGAAAAGAACAGAGTGCGATATGATGACTGTCAAGGCACTGTAGCTGCCAAATGAGCGCTGCAACATCGACATCCACATGCGCAGATGACCGTATAAAATAGTCAACAAGACAGACACCTTCGCACTTGAATCGTGCAGCTCGTAACTCTCTTGCGTCTCGTTTCCATGACCTCGTAGCTGAAAAACTTCCATTTTTGCCTCCTCTCCTTTTTTCATTGTTTTTATACCCTGATTTCCTTGGACCTCTATTCACTCAAGGCATTGTGTTGCGCTTCAACAGTCGGCGTGATTTAGAAAAATTGTGATCTCCGTCCAGGCATTCCACATGAATTCGTTGTCTTCGCTTCCTCTTGCTCTTTCGTACCCCAATGAACGTGCGGCAATGGCTGCAAAAAGAGCAGCATGGGATGAGATATTACCACGAATATCACATGGACGTGTGACCAGCACACAAGCTTTGCGCGTCAGCCATCGACGAACTTGAACGTGCCTCCTTCTGCTGCATCTCCATAATCTTTCGAACTCATATCCGTCAAACCACCCTAATCCCCATCATAGCCAACCCGTTGGCTGGATGTCATATCGGCATAGTCACAAAGAACTATTGGCCTAGGCCCCGACGGTTCAATGCATTGAGCATGTCACTATCGGTGCTAGAGCGGCCTTGGCCCTGATTCTGACCTTCTCCAGGATTCAACATGTCTCGCACATTCAGTCCGCCGCGAGATGAACCCCCCGGGGTGGAAGTGGGGGGAGGAGTCTGATTGGGGTTCACAGGAGGATACGGGGAGCTGTGAGGAGACGAGGAATGGCGACCATCATAGGGATAATTCGATTGCGGAGAGGTACGTCGCTCATGTTGAGGCGGCGGCGGATAGTATGGGCTCGTCGCACTATACGTCTGATAGCCAGATGCAGATGTAGCGGGTGTCACCGGAGCGAGGTTGGTGGGATCAGGGTATTCAAATCCCGAGCCTGATCCTCGACGACCAACAGGCCTCTATTAATGGTATTAGTATCCAGAGAAACGATTGGATCGCAATAAAAAGCTCGTGCTACTCACATGATCCTGAGCTCCATTGGGGAGAGGAGGAGCGTTTGCGTATTGAGGGGGGTACACCGATGGAAGTGTACTCTCCGGTTGCTGCTGTGGTGGGAGGGGCTGGCCATGGGCACCATAAAGCATCACTCCTCCGGGAGGCGGTCCGCGGCCTTGGTTCTGGGCATTCCGTAGGTGGGGGTAGGCGGCATGGGCAGGGACAAAGGCTTGCGCCTGGGATGAAACTGGGGTGAACATGCACTCCTGGTTGAAGCGGATGCAGTTGCTGCAGCGTCCATCCTGAGAGCTTTCGAATCCCGAGCAACGGATCTATTGGTTCCAAAAGACAAAGGGTCAGTTGTGAACCGAGTACAAAACGGGTCTCCCAAGGGAGCCATTTGTCAAAACGTACCTTCCGTCTCCGGCAGTAGCGACACGCGATGGCAGTCCGCTGACGAGGAGCAGCAGCTTGATAGACTACTTGAGGCGGAGGAGGTGCGCTGTACATGTCTGGGGGACGGTAGGAGCCGGGAGGGGGTGCCATGCGGTAGGGGTCCTGCGACTGCGGAGGGGGAATAGCTGCCATGTTCGGCGGAGGCGGATACTGTCCAGGCGCAGACGGGTATTGGTGATCTGGTGGCGGATAGGAAGCTGGGGGGTATGAAGCTGGAGGAGGGTACGAGGCCGGAGGATACTAATGGGTTGGAGAGAGCATCAAGATTAGCCAATGCACCGTTAACACACTCGAGTAGGAGCCGCATCGCAGGCCAGCGGAGATCGAGGGCATATGAGGGATAATTAAGGACAAATGATATGGTGCATATATGCGACAAGGTGTGTAATGAAAGCAGAGGGCAACGTACAGGATATTGAGAGGTTGGCGGATAGTGAGGAGGTTGTTGACCATCACCAGGCTGCTCAGGTTGACTAGTGTTCCATTGCGGTGGAGGCGGATACTGTCCCGGCCGATTAGGATCGTTAAAATCGTTGGGATTGCGGTACGGGCCCTGCCGGTTCGGGTCGTTGTGGTCGTTGGGATTGCCGGACATTGGTAAAGCGAGCGTGCCAGAGAAGCTGATTTATAAAAGGAAAAGGAAAAAGGAAAGAGTGGGAAAAAAAAAAGAAAAACACGGGAACAGGCGACGGAGGGAAGCCAGAAAACACAGATGCAGGATGATGTGAGGTGAAAGTCACGGTCCCGCGGGTCGTTCAGGCGAAAAGGTAGGCAGGGATGGTGGAAATGGTAAGGTTCCTTGGAGAGCGCGGGCCGCACGGGCAAAGCGTATGTATGTATGATGCTGTCTGACTGTCTGACTGTATGTATGCTCGTATGTATGGCTCAAGGAATGGACGGTCGTATGTATGTAAGCAGTATGTAAGTACGTAAAGTATGTACGGAGGCGAAAGGTGTCGGTGTAAGGCGACCAGGTAGTGTCGATGCGGAGTCAAAGCCGGTCAGAAAGTCGACCAATTCAAGTACAATTCCAGCTCCCGTCGGGTGATTTTCGAAACTAGCATAGCCTCGTGGTCACGCTTAAGCCAGAATGGGGGAGGCAGAAGAGCCAGATGGAGGGGGAAGAGTAAAAAGCAGGAAAGGGAGTGAGTGAGTTGAGTTGAGGAGGCGAAATAAAAAAGAGGGAAAGAAAACCAAAACGAGGTTCTAATCCGCAGATGGAAGAAGCCGAGGAATGAGATGAGCGCGGATAGGTGAGGGAGGGAAGGAAAAAAAAGACCAGGGGGCAAGAGGGAGGCGGTGGAGGGAAGGAAGACGATTAAAAGGTCGAGGTGGTCAAATTTAGCAAGGGTCAGGGAAGGATGGTAAGGAGGGGGTGGGAAGGTAAGGGAAAATATAGAAGGGAAAAAAAGGGACAAAGAGGAAAAGCGAAGGCGTAAAAAATAAAATAAGGACCAGAAAAATAAAATAAAATAAAATTGAGAAATAATAAAAAATGGAGAAGAGAGAAATTCTTTTTTTCTTTTTTCTTTTTTTCCTTTTTGATTACTTTTTCTTTTTCGGATTTTTCGAAAAAAGAAAATAGAAAAGGGAACAAAACGAGAGCCTCGGGGATTTCAGTTATGACGTGAGCGTTGAGCACTGAGGGGCTCCAATGATGATGGCCCGTAAAACCAGCCAAAATGAACAGGCTGGGTTGGTAAGTTGCAATAGATATAAAGGTGGAAACTCGCGAATTGATTTAGAAGACACTTCAAACGCAGCCAGAGTATCTTGAGGCGCAATGGAAGACCTGGTAGCAAAATCGGGAAACTAAGACCTGAACAAATCGGAAGACAGAGCATATGGTAGATAGATACCTCAGCCCAGAGGAAGGGGAATACAGAGCTTATGAAGGCCTCATTCTTTGGACCGAGAAGGTGATACTAGTCTGTTATAAGAACGGTAGTGGTTGTCAGCAAAGAAAGACGCAATAGCGTCTCCAATGCCTGACAGTAGCGTAATGCAACTGTCAGTAATGATCAGACACCAAAGAAACCGAAGCTGCGAGGAGAACAGGGACGGGCCTGTAGACCCATGGCTGTAGTGAAAATGCTGGCTTTTGAAGATGCAAACTGACTATCTGTGGGAGGGCGTGAACACACCTGTCTGCCCTTTTACCCCTTCGTATCCTTCTCTTTCCTCAATTATTGCCTAATGTAAAGACAGAAAAAGGAAAGAAAGGGAATTAATGAGCCCACGTAGATCTTGATGCCTAGGATGCTTAGGCAAACATGATTTCTGCAGGAAATAAAAAGCAATGCGATGACAGGGAAGCCATATCTTCGATATTGGGAACAGATGCATATGGCACAGGTTGAACCTTTCCCAGGTAGTCCAGGAAATACGGGGATACTGTATGATACTTTACTATCTATGCGATTCGGAAGAGACCAAGAAGATCGAAGAGACTTGAGTACTATAAAAGCTAAGACCTAACATAAGTAGTATGGACAACTGCCAAAGTGAAGAGACTGGTCGATGTATACACATGATGGGATTGATAACAGATGCCCCCATACAGTTTACTAAATTCCAGGTAATAGTAAGTATCTAGTGAAAGGACGAAGTCGGAAAAGGCAATGTTTTTTTGGACCATTCTAGCAGACCTAGTCTTTATAATACACATTGTCTGGTTATCTCTGTTTTTCACTTTGTAATTTCACGAACAACCTTTAGCAATGACTCAGTTGAGGCGCTTTTCTTCTGGACTAATTCCCACTTGTGCTTCTTGAAAACAAATAGACTGATTGACTAACTGGAACGGCTCTATCCCGATCACCAAAAAGAATTTCCCAGTGCGACGGGAAGAGACCAAAATGGACTCTTTCTGGGTCGCCGAGTCCGCCGGTCCGTCCGGGAGGCGAAAAGGAAAACGGTTGGATCAAGCGCGTCAAAAACGACACGAGACGCAGGGTACGAGGTCCCACGGCTGGCGGAAGCGGAAAGGCGGGAAGATTCGCGATGGGGACTTCCAAAGAATGCAACAGGTGGTTATTTGGGTCGACTGGGTCCCTGGATACGATGCGGGTATGAGGAGCGAGGAATCATGGCGGGCCTACTACATTTCATACCCGTTCTAGCTACGCGCGACTCTGGTACGTATTAATCAAGACAAGAAAGCGGAGGCGATCTAGTATCATGGTGTCCTCAACCTGTCTCCATGATGGATACTATCATTGGTTCTGCTGGAGAAAATCACCACGCGGGCAATTAATTTGTCGTGGGTGCTAGAATCACCATGGAACCCAGGCTCCGTCGTCGGGCAAATGAATAGTACCAGACAGTTTGGGTAGGGTAATTGGTCGATCCACCATTTTGAGAAGAGGGGGAAAAATGATACTATGGGTGATACTGTTTCTTCTGTTGTCCCCAATATTTACTAGGATAGAACGATCAAGATGGAATGTGTGGAGCATCTTCAGCAAAATAAACAGCTGAGAAATTTCAGTGTGTTGTGGTGTGTAGTATTGCTGACTCGACGAGAGGATGTGGTGGGTGTAAAATTAACAAAAAGGCAGGGGAAAAGAAAAAGAAGAGGTGTGAGAGAAGAGGGAGAAAAAAATAAAATAAAAAACACATGTGGAAGGATGGAGTAGCGGTCATGGAAAGGAATAGCGTAGAAGAACGGTCCGCAGACCAGGTGGACCCTGTCCAACGCGCCAGCGACCCATAGACATGGACGGGGACTCACCTAAGACGCAGCTAAAGTATTCACGGTTCCATGGGGATCAGCTGAATCGCAGTAAGGCCCTCGGGTTGGGCGTTTGGCAGGCCCCGGCGACCGCACAAACAGCCACTCCTGTTGCGTCTAGAGCCTGAAGAGGGGCGTAAGTTTGCCAGAAGGCGCAAGTGACGACTGATGACGGAGGGAGGGTACGCCGGGACGGGTAAAGGCGCCGTGACGGAACTCCACCGACCGCTTCAAGTCCTTCCGTCTCCAGTTTGGGGGCTTAGTCGCGTTTTCTACTTATTACGGTGTCCTATTTTTCTTTTCACTGGCTTTTTTTTTATTCTCAATTTTCTCATCTCCCTCTATTGTTTTTTCTTTTCTGCTTCTTTCCCTTTGCGAAGGTTTCCTTTCTTATTATTTCTTTCTTATTTGTGGTGTCATGCTCCTATTTTTTTTTTCGATAATATACACGTTAATAGTGTTTGTTCCCCTTTGGGCGGGCATTGAAACACCGTTGCGAATTGTAATTCACATGACCATTTCGCCATGGCTGAATGGGCGTTGAAACTATCCCAGTTACAGCATTTGTGCCGGGTCTTTGTGCTTTTGGACTGGTACCAAGATAGGAACTGACTGCAGTAGTCACTACTACTACGTACTAGGTACACTAGGTAAGTACTCCATACATACAGCTGGCAGTACTCCGCCCGTTTCAAACATACCGAAAAAATACCAGAGTATACCCAGTACTAGCACCAAGCAGTCTAGAGTCGGCCACAACACATGCGAAGCAGCGCACTACTCGAAAATATCGGAGGTGCTAGGCATCGTTTCTATTAGCCAATGCATCTCCAAGGCGCCAGTTCAAACTGGCTCAGAACAAGGCCACACGCCACGTCGAATATTTGCCAGCAAGGACAGAATCATCCTTACTAAGGTTTCAGTAAGAAATAGTGCTTACTAGAATCTCCACGGGCAACAATCAGTACTAGTAATGCTGGAGCAGGTGCCATAAGAGACCTGGTATTATGATAAACATTGCTTGAATAATGCTGCTACATGCATATTGGCTCACTACGTCGAGCTACTTATCTTGCACTTCCAGCATTATTCCACTCAAATAAGTTCAATGATCCAGGCTGAGTTCGGGGAAGGGACATCCTGGCTCCACCCGGGTAAAGCCCGAAGCCCCGAACTTTTAAAGAAAGAGGGGCTGACGGCCCGTGGATGGCAAAAGCTCTGTCGGAACCCTACTAAATACTGCACATCACTAGTTCTTCTTCAATATGGTTGCAGAATATGAATAATCATCGGCAGTACTACTGCCGACCTTGCTGCTGCATACATACTCGACAACACAGCGGCCCACAAACAACTTCGTCCTGGTCACACTGCTTTGATTTGCTTGATTTACAGGAGGGAACGGCATCGCACATTGCACAGGCAACGATCAGGAGACTAAAAAAAAAAATAAGTAAAACATTTTTCTAGGGAAGGAATGGAAAGGAAGTGTGGAAATCCAGCCTTAATGTCCCGTCCTTTGTCCCGGAGTACTTTTTTCTTCTCTCAACGAAGTTGGTTCGCTCTGTTTGGGAAAAAAAAAAAAAAAAAAAAAAAAAACCAACAGCTCTCAACACATTCACTTCCTTTTCTCCGTTTACCAATTATTCGATGGGAACTTATTAGGAAGGTGGTTTTACCTCCGATTTGGTATTTCTTCTCAATTCCCAGAGCTCCGGTACGAAGGGGGGGGGCCCGGCGGGCAATATCGAACCATGGTTGCTTGCCACTTAGTGTACCACAAATCGGGGCCTCGGAGCAATGCATCGTGGCTTTCTTACCAAGCAGACAGTGTCTCGAACCAGCCCACTCATCTCATCCTCAATGCATCCTCAAAAATAGTTATGGGATTGTCGGGGCCTTGTTTGCTGGTACCTGGGCACTCCTTACATACAAACCATGACCCGATGACCGGCGGGGAGGGGGATAGTGGGTGAAACTCCAGAAGAAAAAAAAGGACGTTTTCACAGACAAAGGAGGGGTGGGGAAGGGAACACGCCAAAGCTGGTCATCAGCTGCAACCAGCCTAGAAGGTAAGTAGGTACTTTGCAGCTAACTAAAGTTGTTGTCAATTCTCAATGATACATACCTGCCCGCCTTTGCTGCATCGCACATGCGAGGAACAGCCACTAGCTACCCTTGCTGCACAGCTTGGCTGCATCCTCTTCAGGCTTTCGTTTGCCTGCTGGAAGAAAAAAGAAATGAGAAATTGCTGATAAGACGCTACTGTATGGTCGTTGTATGACGATACAAGGTACTTACGAAGGTAGTATAATATACTACTTACATACAACAAGGTGCGCCCCGGGCCTCTGCCGAACAGAAAGGCAGAATATGTATGCTTCGCAGTAGTGCCCGCGTGCATGCAGCGGCTGCCTTGTTGTGGTCAGGGCTCTATCCAACACACATCCCTGCGGCCAAACTGGCATCATTTGATTGGGGCAGCACGACTGGGAACTCCCTCCAACCTGGCTCCCAAACAAGCAAACATCTGCACCATCTCAATTCTTCACGATCGTGTCTCTAATATGACTCGTCATCAGCGGGAGCCTGCATCTCTCAGAGCTAATTGTCATGACAGACTAGCAGATGGAAGAACGAAGAAAACAAAATACAAGCACAATCACGGGGAAACAACCAATAAATTATAATACTAAAATGACCAGCCCTCACACACCGTACGCACGAGTCACCTGTCGATTTCCTACTATATCCCTGGTTTAACCCTCGGCCCTTCTGATCAATGAGGGGTTGGCTACCTATACTACCCATGGGCCCCAATACCCAGGATCCCTTGCATGCCTCCCACCATACCTGGGGCATGTTTCGAACGGTACGGTCCAACCCGTCCGCAAGGGCTATCAGCAATAGATGCAGCTCAGATATGCAGCCTGAGACTTGACTTGGAAAGGATTGAACGGGATCAAGGCATCAGGCATATCGCGTGGACCACCCACCCCACCGTTTGTTACCCAGGTTCCCCTCGTTTCTCTCCCTCGCCTCGGGGTTGATTGCATGCGTGCATGCATGCATGAATGATCAAACGAAAACCCAAGAGGGATGGTACCTGAGGTTGCAAGGAACCAACAACATACACATACAGGGTTCCAGGCCCCATAATTCCAAGTTACCTCAGGTATGTTAGATACGTAGTAGAAAGAGAATGAGGGAGTGGGCGGGCGCCCGGACCGGGACATGCGAGATACTCCCGCGCGCCGCGGATGTACCGTCCCATTGCCCCGAAAGGGGGGGAAGGACCACCATGGATGGAAACTCTCTTTCTTCACTGCTTTGAAGAAATAAAGAAAGAAAGAAATTGCGATTTTCAACCAATCGCAAAATTCGCCCTGACCATTCAGAATTACGATTGGGTCACAGAACCTCGAAAATCCTGATGATGGTGGTATTGGGACTTTCCAAAGTGTGACCATCATCATTATCATCATCACCATATCACCACGTATCGCCATATTATAATGTTGCAACGCTACCTACCAGTTACTAAACCCATTTTCATATGTAAGTAGTAGTACTATACTCCAGGTTTTAAGATCTTGCGCGGAAAGGGATACCGTAGTATGTGTGCCTCCTTGAAACCAAGCCAGCGAGTGCCATGGATTCCTTTCTATCTATCTTGAACGAACCTGATACACAAAGCGAAAGTAGATTCGCTGGGGATACGGTCCGAGGCGCGGGTTAGTATCCATGTTTCATCCATACCTACCTGAAGTTCCTTCATATTAAGTACTCTATGATACGATACGCAAACAAAGGAGATAGATTTCCATAGAATAGAATAAAAATGAGGGGTGGCTTGAGTTAACTAGACTAGACTAGATTAGACTAGACTAGACTAGACTAGATGGAAAGAAAGAAAAAGTAGAAGAAGAAAAAGAAGCAACACTATCTAGTCTAGATCCGGTGGAAGGGAAGAAAAGAGGCAAAACTTCCACCTAACAGAAACCCCCCCACTACGTACTACGCTAATATTACCTGATTACCGAATGTAGTAGTCAAGTCAGACTACTGTAGGTATACTGCTACGTACTACTACGTACTAAATAGACTACTACTCACCTACTCGATTTGCTCAGATTTGTACGTAAGCCATGGGGTAACGGTGTTTGGGGGCCAAAAATAATAGTAGAGAATAATTCTCCGCCGTCGGGACGAATGATAAAAAGACACACAGGCTAGATCGCATACCATTTATTCTGAAAGGTAGGGGGAAAAAAAGAAAAGTGGAAAGTTGATCCAAGTGGAGAGGAGAGAGGGGAGAAAGTAAGAAAGAGGGCCAGAGAGAGAGAGAGAGAGAAAGAGAGAGAGAGAGAACCCATTACTCGACTAAAGAATGTCCCCGCAAAAAGCAGCTCGTTTTTACGAGTGGGAACAGAGGTGGGCACGGAGTGATGCAAGTCAGTCCAAAGGTTAAGCGACAGCCGCGGCGCTATCCCATTGGCGTAGGAGAAGCCCTTGAGTTACCGACGCCTCGATTGTGGTTGGGTCCAGCAGGGAAAGGAGCGCTCCGAACCGTAGTCGCACGGCAGCTGATTGGCACACGGCGCGGGGACCATGGGCACCAAATCCCGGTGAATTTAGGTTCCCTTTTCGTCTCTTGTCGGTTCATGGTTCAGCGGTAACGCACTACTTACTTACTACCCAGTGGTTGGGTCGCTCGGAGGATGTTCGGTTCCGGCGATAAATACCTTGAGTTACCGTGCGGTGAGCGGCATGTGTACCGGGGCTCAAATTGCGTTGCTGATACGGAGGAGCTTTGCTCGCTTTTCATTGGGTCGGCGGGGCCGCCAACTGTGTCCTTTCCATGGATCAGACCTTCTACTGGAGCTCATACGAAGGGGCATCGAAGGTCCCGGCCACATGGGATGATGGAGCAAAAATAATTAAAGTGGCGATGGGAAAGTGGGAAAGTTGTCCTCGCGCTTGTGAAGGTGTGAGAGAGATAGAGTGGATTCGACACCCTCTCTCTCTTATTCTCTTGTCTCAAGGTGCGTGCCCACTTAGCCACCCACCATCCTCCGTCCTGTGGAAAGGAGTGGAGGTCACTATACACGGGCGGAATGGGAGAGGGGATCCATTAGGCGGTGAGCCTGGTTACCGGGATTACCGTCACGTCTTGAACAGCTCAAGTAGTGGCAAGCAGGGCGCTTCCACTTATGCATGATTACAGACACTGTATTCGAGGGCTGGTAACAGTGGTGTGCGGCTCCAGTGGTCACAGTGGGTATGAACGCTCCGAGCACGACAACGTGTTGAGCTGAAAACAGATGAGAGACCTGACTAGTAGTAGGAGTCCGGACTCTAGTAAGCTGATACCAAACCTAAGAGGTTGCACCAACATGATAGGCTCGGTCCGCGCTTGCCCACCTGCCGCTTCAGGCATCTAATCGGTGAATATTGTGGCGGTGTCGAGCACGACGATGAGATAATCTTGAATTAGGAAAGCCCGAAAAGAGGTTGCAGAATGCTTGTGTGCGTCCCTGTGCTTTGACAAATCAGGCTGACACTCACTCACTAGTTATCAAAGTAGTGTGTGTGTGTGTGTGTGTCTCTGGATCAAGTCGCACGTATGATGTGTAAGACCATCCTTCCGCGTTGGCCCTGTGACAAAGGATGGCGCTTAGATACTTAGTATGAGCGAGCGGCGCCCCCTAGCATCAATTAGTTGATGAAGGAAAGGGCCGTGAGAGACACACTTTTAGTGGGGAGTTCTAAGTTTCCCAGTGCTACAGCCTTGGGACGGCGCCAGACGGGCATGACCATGGCCCGATCGGTAGCGATTGAAAATAACTTGCATTAGCGTCACCCGGTTCAATTTCTGTCGAGCGGGAAACGGCCATGGGTATTTGGGGAGTGGTAGTTAGTTAGTGGATAGTTAGTAAGTAGTCAGCCACAACGTTTTTTATTTTTGTATTTTCTTTTCTTCGGAGAGATAGCACCCGTGTCCCGGAGCCTGGGATTGGAGTATGTGTGTGTGTGTGGGTGGATGTAAGTGCATGTTTGTGCGGGGTCTGGTGACATATCCAAGATTCAATGAAGTTATGAAAATGGGGCCGGCCAAGATCCTTGTTTTATGTCGCAATGGCCGAAGTGTTGTTTCTTTTCTTGAGGGGAAAGAGATTCTAAACCGGTGAATCTGACAGACAGGCAGACACGGATGCACCCACTGGGCACATGGGAGCGGCAAGGGAGCTAGTCTCTAGCCCTTCATGGGTAGGTGCTTAGCGGAAGTTAGAAGACGTGGCTGGCAACGACGATTCGCTGTGGAGGCAGAGTCATCACCGCTCTCATCCGTAACAAGTCCAAGCATCTGCAACCTAATCACACTGAGATAGCACGGCCAAGTGCGAACCCCTTTGTGTTCCCACCCTCCATAATCCGTTGAGTCCATCATTGACTGATTATCTCTCGCGTAGAAGGTCGGGGATTGGGTGCAATAGTCGTCAACGTAGACGAAGGAAGCAGTAGCATGACATCAGTCGACGGTATCGTGTGACAGCAGTAACTTCCGTTTTGGGGGAGTGCTGGAAAGAACAACATTCCCATTTGAACAAGGTTTCTTTTTATCATTGGCAATTCTTTTTTTATTTTTCCCCCCTTCTTTCTTTGTTTTAGTATTATTATTTATTATTATATTTTATCTTAATTTGTCTTTAGTGGTCGTCATCACTCTCATCGTGTCATAGTAGTGAACCTTTAATCTATTCTATTCCCGTAACTTGTCCACTTAGCCTGTATTTTGTGGCTGCAAGCCGTTAGATTATTAGCTAGTAGACTACTTGCTGAGGGCACACCCTCCTTCGACTCCGATATGTCGACGTCGATACGAGAATCATTTTATCCAGTAATTGAACATGAGCCGTTATGGAGTCAAAGAAAAAAAAAATAAATAAATAAAAGAGGTAATTTGACCCTCAAGCGCACAATAATTCTCAATTCGACCAGAACAAGGCGTCAGCAGAACAAGATTGTCGGAATTGCACGGTCGCAAACGGAGCCGAGGATTGGTGCTGTGACCCGGATGCAGAGGCGCTTGTGTCAGGGCGTTGGGCAACCGGCCCCCCTATCATCGTCGGCCTGCTAGTCATTCTCCTGGTCATGTCCACGACGGGCCGCCCCGACTCCCGCCGATCTTATGCAGGAAGTTGTAGTGTGTGAGAGCGAAAGTGTGTGTCTCTGTGGGAGTGTCTGCGAGTTGCGAGGACCATGCTATCCAAGTCATCATCCTCTTTCCTCATCCGGAATCCACCACATATGACGGTTACTACTGAAGATGAAAAGGTAATTAATGTCAGCAAAACTGTCTCATCTCTGTCAATGCGCTTGGTCGGGCCAGATGAATGACACTCGAGCCCTTCCGTTCATTTCCTGCTTTGCAACACCCTCCAGCCTCAATGGCCCCTTCGCACCTTCCAATCCCTAAGCTTCCTTCCTCTCCTTGTTCCCCTTCAGTCTCCCCCTCTTTCACCTTCTAGATCCACACTCCGTCGCTGTTCATCTCGGTCAACTATCGGTAACTTGCAGGCCCCGATGCGTTTGGTTCCGCGCCCTTGACCTCCAGCGAAGACGATCATCATCCATTGCTTTTGAACAGAATAGATAAGAGCTCGCATCTTGCACACGCCCCAATGGCTGGAGAAAACCCAGGTAAGGTGCTCCCACATCAGCACACCGCACAAGGTCCATGCACCTCGCTCATATCATGTAAGTAGATTAAGGATGCTGCAACAAGCCAGAAAAATTGCGCTTTCCCGCTTGCTGTTCCACATGTTGAACTGTCAGAGCCCAGCCTAGCCCAGCCAGCCAGCCTCACTTTTTCGCCCATACAGCACACATAATATGTGCTTCCTCCTAAGGGCCCGAATAGATGGAGATGGCTTTTGGCTTGGGGGCCTGAGTGTGGTGGTATCTTTTGCTTTGGTACCATACAAGCGGGAACGGAAACGAAAACAGAAACCGAAACCAAACCGGCGGCCGGAAACGCGGTAATACTATAACCGGTAATAACGCGGCGTTACGACGGTCGCAATTGAGGGCGCGCCATAATTTCGTTTCCTCATTAGCTCATTGCCTTCCCTTTTCGGTGCGTTGCCCTTTTCTCTCCTTCGTCCATTAGTCTCCCTTGCCACGTTTTTCTCGACCCTCAGCGGCCCCGTGCATTGGCGTCCGCGTCTTTCCGTTGCCGCCAGAACCCACCATCACCTGCGTGGTGGGCTTTTTTTTTCCTGGTTGTTGTTGTCTCCGGTATCTCCAGGATCCTTCTCCACTGTGACCAACGCCGATTCTTCTTGGCCGCCAGCAGAGTCCATGGTTCTATGGTGGCTGGTGATCTTTTGGGCGCAGGGGTTCGAGGAAGTACTTCCGCGGCCCAACTTGGGGCATCCAGTCATCATGCGTCATCATCGTGATGATGCTTGGATGTTTGTCCACCGTGGGAGGCAACATTGAGAATCCTGGAGACTGGCACTAAGCACCTGTGAGGTACTACTGCAGGAGGTACTAGGAACCAAGGTACAACTCCTACGTAGGTGAGTAAGGTACCTTACTCCTCTTCAAGTCTCCGAGGGCATAAGCACGGAAGCTCTGGGGCAATTGGCCAGGCCGGAGAGCCGCGTTTGTCGGTAGGAAGGCGGTCTGGAATCCTTCCACTTGGGTACTAACTAATCATCGTTTGGACCTGAACAGTATTAGTTTACCGCCGGCAACGGGAAGAGCAAGACGGGAAGCTCGCCATGCTAGCTGGGATCATCGATCAGCCCGCATACGGCTACGGTCACGTGATAACAAGGGGGCCTATGAGCAGGCGCCCTGGGTCAGCCCATCACAATATCCTCGCCCGCTTTGGGGCTGGCGTGGATGTCGGAAACAGTCGGTAATGCATCCATGGCGGGATGTCAGAGCGACTGGCCTAGGGTGATGGTTCAGTGGCTTGGCCCTAAAGGAAGAAGGGGGTAGAGAACCTGGTTCACCTCCTGGGACAGTCCGTGCCCGCTCGGGTAGAAAGTGTGTGCGGGCAAGTGTGAGCGATCTTCCTCACATTATGACGTGGCGAAACGAGGAGACAAACAACTCCAGATGGACGTGCCAGGCTGCCCTGCCCTCCCTTCCAGCCGGAGCTCGATTTAAGGGGAGAGATCTAGGCTTCAGCGCCACGAAGTCGTACCAGAATCTCCCCTTCTGTGCTCTACATTCTCAGTTCTGGATCACTTCGGTTCGGGTCGGTTCGAATCGCGCATCTGACCCCCTGCACATGGGAACATCTTGTGATAATGAGTCCGACAATCCAAGTGTGACAATCTGTACGAGGACTCTGGGTGGTACACTTACACTCCCCGTCCAGGCGTCTCGTCGCGTGACGATGGGATGGGAGGTTAGGCTCGGGAAGAAGAGTTTAGTGACCGATGCCTGATCTGGTAGGGATGGCTTGTAACCACTCAACTCGCTAACGCGCCTTTCTCTACCCTCTTGGGCCCTAAGCCGTCAGGGTGGCAAAACCGAAGCAGATGCACACAGGCCACACAACCCTCGAGATCCCCGCTCGCAGAAATAAACGATCAGGTTCCCTCACATACCACTTCAGTTTCCAGTGCTCACAGCCACGGGCGATGCGGGCAATTTTCACTTCATACTATCCTATCTTAAATATAGTGCCCCAACGCGTTGCTTGCTGGACGAAAAGAAAAAGCGACGGAGAATATACTGAACATATAATACTAACCGATAGTCAGCTGGTGCTGGAATTGCTCAATCCTTCATCCATAGTTCTGCTTGCCGGATCGGCTGGAGAGATACTTGGGTAGAGCCCTCCGGGAGGTGGGCTCTCGTAACCAGCAACCAAGGATGTACCGCAAAGCACCCGACGACACATCACATTGCTGATTTTTGCTCCTAGTAACTTAATCTCCGGGCGCGGTCATCAGCCGCAGTCAACCAACCATGATCACAGCAGGAGTGTACACTCTACCTTCGGCCGGTTGTATGCAAGGGTGGAACAATGGCAAGCGGTACTCCTTGTTTCCACCATCTTCTTCTCACGTCTTTCATCCTAAAGGAGGGGGGTAGGATTGCATCGAAGCAGACCCAAGTTCACGTCGTATGAATAGGAGCCCGGCGACATCAGCAGCGCGCTATCTAGATTAGGATGTAAATCTTCGAAAAAAGCAAACATGCGTCTAGGCCGTCAAGCTCGCTGCACGATTTTTAGGGAAACCAAAGTACGAAGTATATTTCCTCTTTGTTAATGACATGGTCCTATTCCCTACCAACCACTCCCACAACCTTCTTGAACTGTTTCTACAAACCGAAACTCATTGCCTTGTCCAGTATCTCTCCTAGTACCAGGAAGGATGGTACACAGCCAGCCAGCCAACCAACCAACCTAGAATAGCCAACTAAAGTAACATCGTGTTCAGGAAACGAGTTCCGTATCTGGAATAATAAGAGCAGAGATTGCCAGTCTGCTACTAGTAGTATTACCCTTCAGCTCGAATTGGGGCCCCCGTATTATTGAGTTGCGCCATCAACTCTTTGTTTGGCTCCAATTACCGAAACGAGTATGACGTTTATTATTCCATTCCCATGTACTCGAATTTTGGGAGTATTTTTATTGCACTTTTCTTCGAATAATGTATGTATGTATCTTTCTTTCTTGCCCTCCCGTCACCCCTCTTCCTCTGTGTGTCTAACTAGCTTAAGAGGAGAGAGGAGGGGGGCGTGGTGGGACTTGGTGTACACCTCTGTGCCCGAGGAGGATGGAGAGGGGAGAGGAGAGGGGCTGCAATCACGGTAATGCCGAAAAATTTGGGAATATCTAGTCTCTATTGGAGAAATGGAGAGGGGAAATAGAGGCTCCACAGGCAATTAGAAGCAATTACACTTAAGCATATCGAGAGATATCGCGGATCCAGTGCTAAGCGTAGCCGAACGAAGATATCGGCCATACAAAGAGAGTTTTGAGCACGGATATCGCGCATAATCTAGATGGGCCCCACGGCGCACACAATGAAGGCTCAGGTTCCGCGTCTCTTTTCCACCCTGACGCGCTTCCTCCACTGCGAATTCTGTCACCGCTTCTCAAGGGAATTTCAGCTCTCACGGTAGCGAAGATGGGGGATGAGAAAGGGGGACGAATCAAGAAGAAGGTGATAGAGCTCCATTGAGGGGGAAATGAGTGATGATCGCCTATCGAGGCCAGAAAGGGAAGTTGGGCGAAGCGATGGGCACTGGGTAAACGATGGGATGCGCGCCTATTGAGCGGAATGCCCCGCTAGTAGTGTGGACGATGGGTCGAATCATGGCCGATCGTCGACAAGCACAAGGTTTCATGGCTTGCAGGCAAGACAACTTTGTAGTGCCCGGGAGAAGAAATTCGCAGGGCGCAATGGAATTGCAAGTGCTGATTCGGAGGCCTTTTTCTCGGGGTGGGTTGTCTCTCCATCTATTCTTGTGCGGCACACACATTCACACCCCCTTTCCACTTTTTCTCTTCTGGGTCCCTCAGGGCTTACAGCTGTCCGGACCGAAGAGGATATGCTTCCGACGTAGCATTGGCTAGACCGGGGAATGACAACCTGGGGAGAGGGGCTGTACAAATCCCCCCACTCAGGTCTTACAAGACCATGGAGTGAAACAAGGAATTGTGCGTTAGCCATTTGGGCACTGATGCAGAGTGCGGATGTTTGCTTCAATGGGACGAGGGGAAGCAGTGACCTGTGAGAGTCAAGTCATGGACGAATTCGCACTCGTGCAGAAGTGGATAACCTGCTGCTGCTGATACATGGCCAACGTCGTGGAGCTAACGGCACGTCCGACGGCCCGGCTGCGGCGCGCGGACAGCAGGCCATAACATGCACGTCAGTAGTATCATCCTGAAGGCCTGAATCTCAAAAGTCCCGCGCAGTCCTGGGGGTCATTGGCACGATGGCCATCATCATTGGGGGATGAGAACTGGCGGTAAGGGAATCCCGGAACTAGGTGCTGGAGTATGCCAGGTTCTTAGCGCAGTAAGGAACGAATGTTGTACCGATTTTACAGGATAACCGGTCAAAGGGAAGCAAATGTAGTAACATCCTGATCCTCTCATGGACCCGGTCGAGAGCCAAAGAGACTGTAGACCAAAGGTACACCACGCAACCGTCCGTAACGGGAAGGTTATTCCCATCCACAGGACAGGTAAAGGAGAGACAACATGGGTGGAGATGGCCATGGCAATGAGACAACATTACTCACCTACGAATCCAGAATCTACACACCAGACCGACGAGTACTCGCGGTCCTGGAGTTCCTTATCAGGGTATACGATTGCCATCATGAGTCACTCATCCCATATCTTCGGAGACTGAATTGTTTTTCTCCTGCACTGGATCGACTTGACGATGCTATTGGAGTACGTGATCTGTCGGATGATATTTCTTGAGGTCAGTTACGAGGTTCCCACAACACGACAGAGGCTTTTGTCGCGGCACTTGACCATCCTCTGAGTACAACTGGTTGAGGGTGGGTAACATTGCGCCCGAAGACACACCGCTGGGAGGCTAGGTAGGGAAAGGGAAAGAAGAGGGGCAAGGGGGCACAGTGGAAAGGGCCTTGTAATGATTGATACGGCAACTAAAATCCAATAGACGCAGGCGCGGGCAGGCGGGGGGAGAAAAGGCTAAACAGCGAGGGAACAATGGGTGGTATGGCTTACGAAAGGTTCCATGATCCCAGTCAAAGCTGTCATCCTCTCTTGTGCATATTGGTACCAAACTCTCCCCTCTTCATCTGCGAGAGACGCGTCGATGGTGAAACAACGAAGACGGAGCAGCTGGATATTCTCATTATCGATTTGGTAGCCCTAGGCAGACAAGAAGCTCTCCCAGTATCGTAATTGGACGAAGCGGAGACCCGCCGGGACGGCGGCAGATGCTGAACCATGGAAACAAAAGAGACGGTGCAGAAAACTCTTCGAGACCAAAGCACTTTGGTGGGACGGCGCAGGCAATTTCCGTGTCAGAACCAAGAACTGGACAGCACCTTGGGACGTCGAGACTAAAAGGAACGAATCTAGTGATCCACCGACTGTCTTGGGCGGACTCAGCCAGCAAGTGCAAGAATCAATCCACCCAGCGTGGCCCCAGGGTGCAAAGCCGGAGCGCAGACACGGTTCGGGTAGGCCCAGTCGGAGGGTCCCGTTCGCGGCTGCGCTTACACCTCCAACCCAGAACACACGGCAGACCTGCCATCACAGGCAGCCAGGAGGTCGTGAACTGCATCCCCAATCTGGCGTGTTCCCCTTTCATGGGGCCAGGGGCTATCGATCCTAGATGCGGCGGTTTCCGTCGAGATGACCCTGGCCTTTTTCCTTGCAGACTTTGACGCCGAACGATGTCGTTTTCCCTGATGTGGGAGAGTGTGACACCTCGGAAGTGGCCGTCAGAGCTAGCAAACATCCCCCTGTGAGATGCTTCACCATCTGGCAACAGTTTGCCATCTTCCATTTGGTCACTCTCGTTCTGTCTTCTTTGGGAGATGATGGTATTTATATACCTGGGATAATGATGACGTCCATGTTCCCAATCAGATGAGACGTATTAGCAATAACACTGATGGACCAGGAATCTCCCTAGGTGTCACTAGGGACCGACTCAGGTACAAGCCTTCGTTGAGCGCGGTGGACCGAAATAAAAATGCAGGAAGATCACATTGCAATCACTGCCATGGCCTTTCGATGTCTGCCGGACAGAGGTAACATGGAGCCGCGAGGGAGGGCAGATATCCTGGGCCTTCGCTTGGGTGCGCTCTGCTCAATGTGCTTGCAGAAGTCCTCCGCAACTGACCTCTTTCATCATTCAGCATCGTGCTGAGGTTCTAGCAACGTAAAGATTTCCTCGAGATTGCTTTAAGTCGTTCAAGTTCAAGCCCATTCGCCTCAAAGCTAAAGCTTTCCAGCCTCATGCCTCCAGATTTCGGGCTCTAACCACATCGAATCCTTGTTAGCTGCTATTGTTCATTACAAGGCGTCTTGATCAGAGGCTACCACGGTTTCAGCTGAATAACCCACCGACGTCCGTCGAAGAATAGCGCCGAATTTCGAGTTTAGCACATGGGGAAGCGATAAACAGCAGGGGAAGAAGCTCAAATCGATGGGTCAAGTGGTCTTGGATGTTGCGAATGCAGTGGAAGATCTTCTTGGTTGCTAGACGAGACTAGGAAGATGCATGGGTCGAGAGTGACTGCGACCGTGGCGTATGCGTTCCTGCGTCTCTGCTAACTCGTCGAGAAAGCAAGTTTTCAGGCTGGTATGAAACGTAGTAAGTAGGGGCATATCCTCTTTACCTGTGCAGAACCTGATAAGGGCTTAGCTGACACCAGTCTCAGCATAGTGCAGCATATGCTCATAGCCCAGTGGCGGCGAACTGTATCTACTCGGAATTTATGGTTAGCTTGACTAGCCTCGCATAGTATCATCGCACAGAAAGTCAAAGTGATAATGTTAGGAATACACATTCTATCATACCTTATCCGGTGTGCGATCCATGCTGAACCTCATGTCTCTGCGTATGCCAAGTGTTTAGAGCAAGACGTATCGATTATGGCTTTCTCCGCAGTCAATATCTCGAGCGACTGCCTTTCATTTTCACTTACTATATCTCTCCAGGTGTCTCTGAATTCTTAAATCCGGGCTGTCCTTCAGAGAGCATATCAGTGAGCTTCTCAAACACTTCCAAAATTTATGAGTGGTAGCCCGCTTTTTTGCCCTGCAATCAGCTCAAACTAAATCTCAGTCTGAAGTGTAAACGACTTCATCCGCACCCGTTGGATTTGATGATACCTCTAGAACGCCCCCTTCAAGTCTCAGCGAGTTCTTGCAGAAAGAACTGAATTTGTATTGCAGGGAGGGTATTGTCCTGCTAGGCCACTGCTTCTGGACTGGTCACTTCAGGCTTGTTGATAAATACCCCCTTGCCAAGGGCTCAACAAGTTGTGAGATTCTCCCCCATAAGCTCTGAGCTTATGGGGGGGGGGGGAGGGGGGGAGGTGGCAGTGTCAGCTTCGACGACACCCAAATTTTCCCGTCTCTGACCCGTTCAATAAGGTAAATTGGCTCTGCTTCCTTCTGGCTATTTTCATACTTCTTCTCAGTGCGCTCTCGGGGGACTCAAAACACTTAACACTTGTGTTTTGGAGTCGCTGCGCTCGATAAGCTTGCTCTTCCACCAGAGGATGCGGGGAATGACGTGTCTGGGTTGTTGTGGCTAGCGGAATACGGTACAGAGACCTGCAAAGGCTCGGGCTTTCGTTCCCCGGGGAATTGTTGTTTGAAGATATTTGCTTTTTAAAAGCGGTATTTTGGTAGCTCTCCTAAGGGTGGTGTCATCGTACTTTTGTTCCTTCGAACCTTTTCTGGAGAATTCGGACAGTCTGGCAGACGCGCGCCTTTTTGGCGCCGGACACTGGAGCTGCTGCCGAAGCGGGAACGGCCCGAGACGATCGACTAGGCATGGATAGGACTTGCGCACTTTTTGATTTGGTAGTTCGTACAATTCTTTTAAGTTGCGCACAGGGAGAATTATCGGCGGGTAACACTAGCTACTAAGGTACGCCTTGATGCAAGATCGGATGAATTAGAAGAGGAATCGAAAAAATCAATGACGAATATAAGCTGTTCGGATGCTATTAGACGAATCCATTGACCCCCGTCCGGGTACGGGTGTACTCCGTAGCTAGCGACAGATTGACTTTCAGGCGGTTCGACGCGGACAAAGGGACCGGGAACTGAGACCAGAAGGCTGGTAACTTCTGGGGCACTTTTCGCGTGGGAAAAGCGCGGGTGACTTTCTTTGCTTCCCGCACCGCTAAACTTAGTGCGTTCTCTCGGGAAGTCGACGTCAGGTTCGAGAAGGATTTTGCAGGTCCACAAGGGTGACGAGCAGTATCAATCAACCAACCAACAAGGACAAATGCTTTGGTGTAGTCCTGATTCGAAGTGAGGCGTTGGGATTAGAACTTACTATTGATCCACTTGATTATCAGCCTTACTCTTCATCATTCAGAAGGTGAGAGATAGTGGGGGGCTCAACAAGCGAAACGACCCCTCTAGCGGCCCTTGGATCTCTAGCCTGCCTATAGTAGTTTACTCCAACGCTCGTTGCATGCGTCTTTTCGAAGAAGTCCTAGAAAAGCAAGGACCCAATAGTGAAGGATCACACGACAGCCCTCTCCATGGAGTCCTCATTGACAACCATGATCCCTGAGGTTTTTGAATCTCGCAAGCGCAAGATTCTCGCAGACCTGTCCATCCCGGACGCAGAGTATACTGATCTGTCGCCGAAGGGCTCTGTGGATGAAGGTATTCGCATCCTCATCAATGATATCAATACCCTGCCAGGGTTGGTGACCACTAGCAGCTGTGCGGGAAGGATCAGTGTATTCCTGGAGGGGCGAAAGAAGCAGCAGCAGCAGCAAGCGGTGTCAGACGAGCAGCAACAACAGCAGAGGCAGTTCGTACCTTCCGGGGGCAAAGGAGCAGGAAAGTGGTTATATGTGTCTCATGAGCCCTTGCAAGAATATGGGAAGGTGCGAGAAAAAGAGCAAGAGCGCCAGCCACTGCATGAGTTGTTTGGGATGATGCCTGGGGATGGCAGGCCTCCCGGATTAAACAAGGATGGTCAAGCCCCGCGTCTCGTGCGCTTCTCTTTTGAGCCTATGGTACGTCCTCCCTTCCCCTCTTTGCTTCCCTGTTGGTCCCTACCACGCTTGCGTTCTGCCATGATTCCTGCCACGGTGTATTCCTGTCATGCCACAGAGTGTCCGGGTCTGTAGTGTCAGCCTTATGACTGTCAACCTCCGGTTTGCCCTGTAAGCTATGTGAGGCTTGCGTTGCATACAGAGAAGCACGCACCTTGTTCATCAGCCCTCATTTACTGACAAACTCTTCCAACAGATCCTCCATATTATGACGGCCACATTACACCATGCTCACCCCGTGCTATCTGCCGCTTCAACCTCCGGCTTTCGTGAGAGCGGACTGCAGAGTCTACGTTGCTTAGAGGCAAATGACACTGAGGGCCCAAGCCCCATCGTCGCTGTGCGCTCTGCCGGTCTCTCATTGGAGTCTGTCATCGGGTATTGTGAAGAAAGTGATGATGATAATGATGACAATGGAGAACCCATTATCCGCAGTCTGGTCACAGAAGAGTTTCTCGAGATGCTGGTTGCTATCTCGAATGAAAGATTCGCTGTGAACTCTGAACGTAAGGAGAGATTTCGCGCGAATTTGTTAGATCTTTGTTTGACGGACCACCGTCATCATGGCACAAAAGCGAAAGGAAAGTCTAAGCCCCCTGGTTGGGAGGATCCGGAGAAGCGAAGGGAGAGGATGAGGGCAGAAGGACTGAAGAGGAAGCAGCTGGCGCAGAATCAGAGGAAGGAAGATGACGCGGATTTGGATCTGTCGGGAGCAAGTCTGGAATAATAAGAACTCCCGATTCGGGTTTTTATTGGCTATCTAAATCGAATACAACGGAAATGAGTTCGAAAACATTATGCAAAGAAACAAGAAGAAAGGCATCAGTTTCAGTTTCACGATAGTAGTTCAATGAAAGAAGGGAATTCGTCAACACCTGGCCGTATGTGGATTTGTTTCAACGGAAGAAAGGGACTCCGAAAAGCAAAGCAAACAGCAGGGCATGGAGAGCATAAAATGGCTCCAATGGGATGCAAGCCCGTTGTGATCCCAGTTCACATCGCACGAAATCGCTAAACCCAACCATTTCCATAAACCAAAGTACTCCGTTAGTCATAATCGTATCTTCGTTCCTCATCAATACATGATGGTCCCTCTTCTGGTTCAGGGCCGCAACAGCAAGATATGAGAATAAAACTAATATCCGCAGATCCTGAATCTGGCCAGAAGGCAATTCAGGTAAGACAGTACCTATTCAGAAACGCTCAGCACAACATATCCCCGGTATCCTTACTCCTGCCACGGTGGACCTCACTGGTTCAAATCTTTGAGACAGTTGGGCGATGAATGGGTGATGCGGTGACTAGGAGCTCGGAATTTCTTCGGAGGGCTGAAGAATACTTTCTGACCCCAAATGCCTTCGGTATCAAGAAGGGCGCTGCCGCTGCCGCTGTTCCAGCATTCGCTGGCACGACGCGATGAGGCCTGCAAAACACTGACCCGGGATACACTCTCGTTTCGGGGCACACTTTTATCAGTGATTGGAGAGGCGGGGGAAACACTGCTTGAGGTACTAGCCATTGAAAGTGGTCTGTGGATTGTTCCCATGGATCCGCTCTGAAGAAGGCAGTTGAGCACATTGGTCTCACGATTAACGGCATCAACCCAAAGAGTATCCTTAGCGACATCGGTTGGCCACTCAAACCAAATGCGACCGAAGGGTGATATGAGAGTGGCATTGTCAGCAGGAAAATTATTCGGAAACTCGCGACAGGCGCCTTCGAATCTACCGTTTGCGATCACACTGGCATACAACTGCAGCAGCTATCAGTGAAAGGAATTAATGGGCGAAAAGTGCATGACTAGATGGCACGCCAAGAAGAGTATTGACACACTGATATAGTTCTGAAGAGATACATACCGCGCAGGTGTCATAGTCAAAGCCAGGCAGGTAGACCAGAGTATCGAAGGGGAACCACTTGCTCATGTCTCCCAACTTGAGAATCTCACTTTTCTCGCCGGCGTGAATGCAAAGTGTATATTTCTGGCGCTCATTGAATGCGGGGCAATTTAGACCGGCGTAGAGGAGCTCGCGGAGCAGACGTTGGTCAAGCCCAACGGTCTTGGACTTCTCCATCCGTGACACCAGAGAACGTATGTGACGGTTTGTCAATTCGAATAGCTGATTACGGTCGTGCACGGTGTACATGTCGGTTGCATACCAAGGAAACTATGCCCTGTCAGAATACTATCACTTTCATCGGAATCAAACCCTACCTTATAGAGCGTGCTTATGGTAGATTCGTAAGTACGCTGGGGACACTTGGCACCAAATGGAGACTAGAAAGTTGTTAGCAATCTCTGCTTTTATAATGAAGTCGGCTGAAGGGCTTACACGTTGAGGCATTTCAGCGTGACGAATGGCGCCGATGATCTCTTCACTGGTAAAAAAGCCAGTAAAGCCAGTGGAATATCTGTCAGTATTCTCCACGACTTTAGGCGTACCATTTTCCCAGCTTATGCACTTTGCACGTGGAAACAAATCTTTCAGCAGGTCCTCTTGGTTGCTGATCTCAACTTCAACGTGCCTATTGCCGAGTCGAGGCGCACGTCCACATTCATAGATGCGGTTGATTCGGTTCGCCGTCTCTTCGGCGTCTTCAGTCGAAGCAAACTCCACAAAACAATCCATCGTCTTAGCAGTGGGACGCTCCATAATTATGTGAACTGCGTGGCCCGCAACAAGTCGCGCCTGTCTGCCAACAAACTGTAAGATCTCCTGCTTGGTGATGGAGTAGGGGATCTGGCCTAAGGTTAGTAGACTTCGCTGAAGAACGAGTCGGTCAGTTACGTACGTTCGAAATCTTGATGACACCCCAGGTAGGGGCATCCATGTAGCGGACTAAGCTCCCGTATGGCACCTCATTTGATGGAGCAGCTCTGCTAATGGGTTTGGGATAGCTTGCAAGATTCACGTAAGTTCCAGGCTTATGGTTGCCGATATTCATCACAGGGATACTGGAAGAGGTCAAGAGAGTAGAGGACGCTCCTGGTTGTTCAAGCCGACCTGGCTGGACAGGAACCGGGGTGAGGCGATTGGTAGCAAAAGGAATACAGACGGTATCATCAGATGGAACTGGGGCGTAGCCTAGGAAAGGGTCGTAATACACATTTCTGGAAGCGACAGGATTGTACTGTGGCTCTTGAGGCCTGGAAAGGTTGACGGGGATCCTACCAAAGGGAGGCATATTGAGCTTGTGAGAAGGGTGGTCTTGTCTGGAAAACGCCATATTCGAGGCCGTATGGCAGTAGAGAAAGAAAAAAACGTGAGGATGAGGACGAAGGTGAGCGAGGAAGAGGGAGTAGGTGAGGGAAATGCGAAGCAAGTGAGCAAAGAGGAAGGTAAAGTAAACGACCTTAGTGAGAGATGGTTGGGAGATGATTTGAGAAGAAGATCTGGGGGGAGGAGGATCTTTATTTGTTACCCTACACGCGCTGCCACATCTGCTAATTCACTGGACCCTTTGTATGTGAGGACTGTTACTCACTTGAGGTGTTACTCAAGTATTATCTGATAACCAGTGTGCAGGTAATGGGGAAGGTATCTGAATGGCATCCAGGAACGACAGCGATGTAATGGCCGAGTGAAAGCCACCCAAAGAGCCATGTGCTCAACGGGTCTGGTTAATGAAAGAAACACATGTCCCTGATAAAATTCCCGGGGGCTCGTTGAGTGTACAGGGTGATGCGGATCCTCTGTTCACTGTTTAGATGGGGAGGCAAGAACAAGGTAACTTGCTTTTCATGCTGTCGTTCTCGTTTGCATTTGCCGCCTTTACTACTTTGTTGGTGTGTAAATGGAACACACCGTGCACCGAGAGAGAACAAACAACGGGTCGAACCGGTTGAAGCTCAGAAGATGAATCTCCCCCATCTGGATATGATCATCTGCACTGTCATGGCAAGCAGAGGGATCTAGGAAGGTAAGGTATGCTGAGACTTACGGCAGCTTTGATGAGACTTAGTGGTCCACAACACAGAGTGTTCAGTTCTACGCAGCCTGGATTTCCCTATAATGGATGAACTGGTCGCTACAAATTTGATTTCGAGATATAATATGGACGACTGCAGAAAGGAACATGCATCAAACTTCTGTACAAGATATGTTCCTGAGAAGAAGAGAAACCCAAGGTCATGTGCCAACCATGAAGCTAGGGTGATCTAATCGAACTATACTCCTATCAGTCAGGTTCACATAAAGCAACCAGGGCGACTTACCGGTGTCAAGAACGACTCGGCAACGAAACGGGCACGGGCATTCAACTGTAGGAAATGTTGGTTAGAAGCCTCCATCAATCATAGGCATAAGGGGACATACGAAGAGCTTCATTTCCGAAATTTCCTTGTCCACTTCCTCCATACTATTAGACGAAGACGTTGTTAGCCTCTCGTTCATCGAACGAAACATGGGCAAAGCAGATAAAACATACAATTGAATGATAAAGTCCACCAGTTTATGTTTCAGCATCTGTTCAGTATGGAAGTTCGTAATGAGGAATGAGATGTCATAGCCCTTCACTGGCTTTCTCCGTAGAATGAAGAAGGATTCCGCGCGCTGCGTCAGGAACCTAGTGAACTTGTGGACCAAGATATGTTCGATCTCATCTGCCTGCTTGATTCGGATGCTGACACGGACACTGTTCACGCTGGGCTCGATAAGGACCCTCTCGTTCTCATTCCGGGAGATTGTAAGTGGGTTGAGAAGTAATTCGGGAGAAGTTGCGGCTTCAATTTCGGGAACATTGCTATCCGGATACCTGAGTTAGCCTCGTCTGACCCATAAGGGTGAGGGGGTGGGAATCAGCCCAACGTACTGTCTTTCGGAGGTTTGAGAAGCGAAGTTTGATATCGCGAGGGCTGCCGTTAGTGAAGATCTAACAGCCAACAGGTATGGACGCAATGATTGAGACTGGTCCTGTCAGCTTGGTTTGTAAATCGAACCCCTGGACAAGGTTGATAATCACCATAATGGGGGGTTGTGACGTATAGGCGGCGCCCCGGAGTGCTGAGTAGGAGGTCGCTGGCGAGCTTGGTGAGAAGATAATTGTCAAAAATGCAAGTCAGGCAGAGTTAGCAAGCAGGGGATCCGCGATTAAATTGTCAGAACCTCCCAATGAGTTTCAAAGCCTTAACTACCAGAGCGGGCGTCACCTAAGTACCTGAATAGCTGCGTCAGGAGCAACGTCCCGCCGCCCGGCAGCGATGTAGCCTGTAGTACGGCGGACGATAGCGGCCAACCGGTAAATGGCATCGGGGGTCCAGTATTTTGCCGGCAGAATCAGTTAACGCGCCCAGGTCACTCCACATAGCCAGTGTAGAGATAGTCTATAACTCAGTATTGAATTTATCTGTCCTATATTCAAAGAAGATTGAAACTTTATGATAACTGATAACAGTCTCTAATTGGGCCCGAGGGTCAATTGAAATACCAGGTTCTGCCCATCTTTCAATCCTGCCGGGCTACCACAGGTAGTGGTTAGTGGGGAGAGAGGGGTGAGCTCCTGCTAAGCAGCAAAGCGGTGAAGTCTCGGAGGAGCATAGCTGCATAATGGTTGCTATAGTTCGCCGTAGTACGGCCGCCGTTTGCCCCACGCTTTCTCCGGCGATGACTGACGCAGTCGCTGTTTACGCAACTGCATCCTACCGCCAGACCTCAGAGGAGGTATCAATCGCATCCAAAATAGACACTTGAATCAAGTCACAATGGCCTCCATACCTGGTAAGTATCTTCATGGCTATGTGCTGCTCCATTCCAAGCCACCTCATTACTTCTCCGCTGATCCCATGACGCAGTTGTCGTCAAACACCAGGGCAAACGCTACGAGGTGGAGCTCGACCCTTCCCTGAACGGCGAAACGCTCAAATACCAGCTATTTTCTCTCACTGGCGTCGAACCCGAGCGGCAGAAGATCCTAGTCAAGGGTGGCCAGCTCAAAGATGACACACCTTTGTCCTCCCTCAACGCCAAACCCGGCCAAACGTTCATGATGATGGGCACTCCGTCGGGCGGTCAAGGTGCTGGGGACTTGGGTAGACCAAAGGAAGTCGTCAAGTTTTTGGAGGACATGACTGAAGCTGAAGCTGCCAGAGCGGAGGGTGCAACGCCTGCAGGCCTGCAGAACCTTGGAAATACTTGCTACCTGAATTCAACGCTACAGACACTGCGGAGCGTTCCTGAACTTCAGGATGCGCTGCTCAAGTACCGACCTTCTGGCGGCTCTTCTGGAGGCTCTAGCCTTTCGAACCTTAGCAGTCTCGGTCTTGGCGGCTTGGGTGCTTCCATGGATCTCACGTCCTCTTTGCGAGACCTCTTCAAGCAAATGTCGGAGACGCAAGAAGGTTTCCCGCCGCTCATGTTTCTCAATGCTCTGCGAAATGCTTTCCCCCAGTTTGCTCAAAGGGATCGCAATGGACATGGCTATGCCCAACAGGATGCCGAAGAGGCCTGGTCACAAATCGTGAGTCAGTTGCGTAACAAGCTGGTTGTGAAGGAGGGTGAAGGTGATTCTGCCGCTGAGGTTTCGTTCGTGGACAAGTATATGGCTGGAGGGTTTGAGTCCACCACCGAATGCGACGAAGAGGCCGCAAAGGAGGCTGGCGAAGTAGCTACTAACAGCTCCGACGTTTTCTACAAGCTTGATTGTCATATCGGTAAAGAGACCAACCATTTGCATGACGGTATTATGGCTGGTCTCGAAGAGAAGATTGAAAAGCGCTCCTCTGTTCTCGACCGCGATGCCGTATATACCAAGCGTTCACGCATTGCGCGCTTGCCTAAGTACCTGACGGTTCATTTCGTTCGGTTCTTCTGGAAGCGCGAAACACAGAAGAAGGCCAAGATTATGCGTAAGGTCACATTTCCCGCTGAACTTGATGCGGTGGATTTCTGCACCGACGAGTTGAAGAAACAGCTCATTCCCGTGAGAGACAAGGTCCGTGAGATTCGTAAGGAAGAGGTGGATGTCGAGCGTGCCCGCAAGCGTCAAAAGCTCGCTCACCGGAAAGAAGAGGAAGAAAAGAAAGAGGCCGAATCTGGGTCAAGCATGGAGCCGATGCAGAAGAAGAAAGCTGCTGAAGAGCGCAAGGGAGAACCTAAGGCTGCGGAGAAAGACGGAGATGAAGCCATGACCGATGTGTTCAAGTCTGATGCAGATTATGAGGCTGAAAAGACCGCCTCTATTCTTGCCGCCAAGAAGGAGTTGTCTGAGCTCATTGATCCGAGCCTTGCCTCAGACAGTGGTGTGAACAAGACGGGTCTCTACGAACTACGTGGTGTGATCACGCATCAAGGCGCAAGTGCGGACAGCGGACATTACACTGCGTACGTGAAAAAGCAGCCCAGCGGTGATGGTGCAAGCACCGAAGACAAGTGGTGGTGGTTCAATGATGAGAAGGTCACCGAAGTGGAAGGGGAGAAGATTGAGACGCTTGCTGGTGGTGGTAAGTCCCCTGACACAATTTTTACTTAACTTAAAATAGCGGACGGACGTCTGACCTTCATATACAGGTGAATCCCATTCCGCACTTATTCTCCTCTACCGGGCGGTTGAGGTGCCGACGACAAATTGAGCAGGGGGCCTCACTTTGTCTCACGAGTATCAGGCTAGAAACGGCATGCATAGATAATGAGCTTATGGCTGAACGTTAGGAACAAGTGTTTCTGCTAAACAAAGTACTGCAAAGATGGTTTTGGGTCAATCAGTATAATAACCTGCCTTGTAGCTATCACCAGCTGTAGATTGTATCTAGACAACAGCGTACCTCTCAATCACGTGATAATGCAGCAAGAGCCGAGGGATCCCCTATCTTATCTAATCACTGGGTGCTTCATCGAGCTCTGGGAAAATGCTGCGTCGTCGATGAAACCTGCGATGTGAGCATCATGTTTTCCTCGCGCAGAGTCCTACAGCCGCAATTACGCCTTCTCTGGAACAAACCGCCGTTACCATGTCGATATACGCTTCGTCCATCGAGGAACACCAGCACTGCCGCCCATGAATCGATACCTCAGCCGTCGCGGTGGCCGCGACGCCTGGCCTACATTGCGATTTTCGGTAGCCTTGGGATTGCTGCCGGAAAGTGGATGGATAGGAAGCTCGCACCACCGCCATTGCCCGATACAGAGGAGGATCGCGAAAGACTAGAAGAAATCCGTTACATCTACGAACACGGGCTGCCTATCGTGAAGGAACTTCGAGAGAACCCCGACTATATAGAGGCTGATGTATACGGCAACTATTCGGAGGTAGATAAATTACAGAGGCTGAGTTCGGGTCCTCTACGGGGCAGCCGAGGGCTAGCATTCCAGGTCAGTTCTCGCCTTGTAGTTCATGCCGATGCCTCTACGAATTCTTGTGATACCTGGCACATGGCTGACGAAGTGGTCACATAGAGAATATTCTACAATGATAAGGAGAAGGAGGCCATCAATGTCGCATATGTCGGACCGGGATTAGAAGGATGGCCGACGGTTGTTCATGGAGGTGCTCTGGGGACCGTGATCGATGAGCATCTAGCCCGAGTCGCAATCAGACATCTTCCACAACGCACGGGAGTCACAGCCAACCTGCAGCTCAAATACCGTGCGCCGGTGTACTCGGGTAACTTCTACACCTTCCATGCTACTCTGGACGAGGAACGGAGCACAGATCGCAAGGCATGGGTGAAGGGAGAAGTACGCGACCCCATGGGACGGTTGTGTATCGAGGCGTCCGCCCTCTTTGTAGTCCCCAAGTCCTATAAGCTTCAAGAGGTTGGAGAACGCTATTGACCAGGCTGCGCTGGAATCTAGAGGTGCTTTGGGCCTGGACGGGCCTTTGAACTCATGCAGCCGTATCCTGCCTAGCCAGGGTCGTGCAAGGGACGACTATTCCTGGCTGGACTTTGTTAGCATTCTCGCCACATTGGGAGACTGTTATTGGCGAGGCCCTCCAGAAAACCTAGTTCTTCACCCAGGATAATGGATCCAAATTTTCATCCTCGTGTACATACACCCCTTTTGATTTATTGCCCCTCTTTTCTGCACGGACATTTAATAGACATTTTGGTCATAGATTCTATGCTAGAAAAGGTTGGAAAATTAGAGTTTCTTTGAAGACCGGGGAGACCGAAGCGACGTCGTTGACTTGTCGCCTGGTGGAGCGGCAGCGACTGCAGGGCCCTTCCGATCCTGCTTCTCCCCCAGGATTTCCCCCGCATTTTCCTCTCCTCCACATCCCATCCACGCGGTCAATCCTCCCGGTCGGCTATCCAGGGCCCAATGGTCGTCCTTGCCTTTGCTCAACTGCCTCGGTTGTGTCTCAGAATGGTAGCATCTCCGGTCTGTCCAGTCCCTAGTGACGCTTTGATGGATATGAGATCCTGCTGGGTTCCATGGGTCGTCACCCTTAAACGGTCTGGTTCCACGCCCTAGTATCTATACAAGCCAGCATCATTAGACCCACCATGATGATCTGTGCTGTGGGAGATAGATAAATAGTACATGCATGGCTTGCAGCGAGCATTTGCTTTTTTTCTAATCTCGAGTCTTCTGTTTGATTGTTGTCGCTGCGCACCAATAGGACTCGCTCCAGCCTGCTCTCCCGACGTTCATGGAGCTCACCGATCACTCAAGTCAGTCGCAGACTGATGAAAAAGCAGTGGCAGAGTCACCTCCGACCGGCAATATGGAGAGGAAATTCAGCCATGATGAGGTTGTTGCGTACGAAGAGATGGGTGCGCCTGTGGACAACCCAGTATGTACCTGGTCAGTTGTGGACTTTGCGGTACACACGCGAAACTGACTGTGAACTCTGTCGATTGCTAGATGACCTTCCGTCGTTTTATGGGATTCACAGCGATGGCTTTTCTATGGACTGGAAGCCAAATCCCAGTCTATCTCTTCGGTGAGATCTTCGCCTGTATGCCGGATATCAACGTTCTAATAGCCTTCTAGGAGGCATACCACCTTATGTCTACGGAGACATTGGCGGCGCGGATCGATGGGTTTGGTTTGTGAGTACCCTCCAAGGAATAAGGTGGCCAAAATTTGACAGTTGCTGGATGAACCTAGGTCCTGGCGAACTTGCTGGCACTTGCTGGTGTCTGCCCTTTTGTCGGATCACTTTCGGATTTGATCGGTCGTCGATACGTTGCCCTCATCGGTGCCTCCCTTGTTTGCCTTGGTATGATAGTCAGCAGTACCGCAAATACGATGAATATTTTCATTGGTAGGTACACATAGTTTTATCCGCCATATCAAATGCTCTGAATTGGGGTCTAACAAACATACAGCGGGGATGGCAATAGCGGGCGCAGGTGCAGGTATCAATGAGTTGACTGCATTAGCCGCCACCTCAGAAATGGCTCCAACTCGACAAAGAGGAAAATATGTTTCAGTGTTGATCTTCACCATCTTGCCCTTTTGCCCATCTGTACTGTGGGCTCAGCTTATTGCAGCACACAGCGGCTGGCGCTATGTCGGAGCTTTCTGCGGAGCATGGAGCGGTTGCGGTTTGCTCATCACAGCCCTCTTTTACTTCCCGCCACCACGAGTCAATTCAGAAGGCTTGACGAGATCCGATATTATCAGTCGTATAGACTTCATCGGGGGGTTTCTCAGTATTTCTGGCCTTATCATCTTCTTGGCTGGACTGCAGTGGGGTGGATATATGGTTCGATTCCCATTTCCCGTCTTGGAAACGTCGTTCTAATAACTGACATATAAACAGTATGACTGGACATCCGCTCATGTTCTGGTTCCTCTGATCCTTGGCTTTGTTCTCTTGGTTGTGTTTGCATTTTGGGAGATCTATGGTGCCAAATATCCCATCTTTCCAAGCCGACTAAAGCAAGAGCCACGCATTTTGGGCTTGACCCTAGTCATCACGTTCATCTCAGGAGCAAACTTCTTCTCTGTCCTCATGTTCTGGCCCACACAGTCGTTCAACGTGTACGGCCACGATCCCGTCGATGTTGGTGTTCGGAGTCTCCCCATCGGGTTCGGCATCATGGCAGGTGCTTGTATCATCCTATGGCTCCTTAGTGTCTTGCATGGCCACAACAAGGAGCTACTCATCATCAGCAGCGTCCTCATGACAGCAGGTCTGTATGACCCTCTAAATTTGAGCACGAACAAAACACTAACATCCACCCAGGCTGCGGTGCCATGTCAATAGGCCGACCAGACAACCTATACCAACTCTGGGGCATCCTAATCATCGCAGGCCTAGGAATCGGGGGCATAATCGTCCCAGCCTCAATCATCACAACAATTATATGCCCAGACGTAAGCATACCCCCTTAAAAACAATACAAACCCTCCACACACCCCATAGACTAACCAACCCATCTTTAGGACCTAATCGCCACCATCTCAGCCCTCACTCTCTCCATCCGCGTCGCCGGCGGCGGCATTGGCTACACAATCTACTACAACATCTTCATTTCCAAATTCGTCCCCAACGCACAACACTACATCGGTGGCGTCATGCTCACCGAGCTCAACATAACCAACACCACATACATCGCCGAAGCGATCGAACTGACCGGTGCATCTCTGCTCGACGAATTGAAGCTCATCCCCGGAATCGCGGGAAACGAGACTGCGTACAATGCCGTCGTAGCGGCAGGTCAGCTCGCCTATGCTGAGAGCTATAAGTGGGTGTATTATGCTAGTATTGGGTTCGGGGGCGTGTCTATCATCGCTGCTTGCTTCTTGGGGAACATTAAGAAGTATATGAATGATCATGTGGCTGTTGTGATGCATTGAGAGTATCCTTTGGGAGGAGGTAAAGGATATATCTTATCTATGATGGGGTGGTGGACGTACATGCATGGGCATGATTACTTGCAGCTATGTTTATAATGGCTGGTTCGCTGCGATGACTTGTGTGATGATGATGGCTCACGATGTATAAATGACGATGATACGATGTGCATGTCTACCTCAAAGACACCACACTACTGCATGACTTACAAGGAAAATATATAACAACCCCACACTAAACATGCTATGATTATTTTCTCCATCGCATCTTCATGCAGCCCAACAATAAAATAAATAACCATATACCCAGCGCCAGACACTTAATATGCAAAGTAAGAAGTTCGAAAGAAATAAAATACACAAGCTGACAATGCAGCGCCACACAACCACACACTCTTCGTAAAAGGTAACTGCCAACAATCAAGCATCATCGTTGGCAAACACGGGAAAAGAAGCAAAGCACTATCGTACATGCATCAGGGTATCTGCTAGGAGAAAACGAGGGCACCGTTTGGTTCCACGGGACTGGACTTGGGTTCAATCGGCGCGTGTGGTCGATCTTTCTCTCTTGTCCTCGTTCTTTTTTCCCCCTGCTTTTCTCAAGGAGTCTTTGTTCCATTGAGTTATAGCAAATAGGACTGAAAGGGATAGATGTGAGATGTCATGACTCCTCCTTCAGTCCGCAGATATCTGTCCCCAGGACTCTATCGACCATGTACCAGAATTTCCAGTAAGTATTCGACTTGTCGAAATCGAATGCCCCGTCTTCGCGGAGTTGAGGTCCATCGCCCACAATATCACCTGTGAACCAGCTGAGAATGGGGATGGAGCGCAGCACTCGCTCCGTGACCGTAGGCTGAGGTGGAAGGGCTTCTGTAATGGGTCGTAGCTTCGTCCGACGCACCGTCGGGATATGCGTCATGAAGTCTGATTCGGGCTTGGGCTCCTTTACGACTGTGCGCTGTTGCAGGGGTGCTGGTTGCTCGATGGCGGTGGCTGTTGCGGAGCTAGCAGTGGGGGTCGATGATGATTCCTGGGACTCCTCTTCATGGGCGTCGAGGATACTGGACAGGTTATTCGAGGCGAAAGATCTCGGCAGCGTATGGCGTTCCTTGGTGGCTGTGTCCTTCGGTTGGAGGAAACTCGTCGAATGCGACGAAGTCAAAGTGCGAGGCGCCGCCTTCGACTGGAGACGAGTCGCCTCCGTGGATCCTTGTACAATAGGGGCATCCTCCGCAGGTCCCTGGCCATGATACAGCTCACAAAAGACCAAATGGCCATCGATTTCCTGCGGAGAGTAGAAGCACGCGCGATCGGCCGCTGTCGTCGAATCAAACGTGACTTTAATCCAGTGAAATCCACCCGCATAGCGCTTCGATTTGCGATTCGCGTCCGCTGATAGGTTCGCCCGGATGACCACATCGCCACCGCTCAGGAGCTGTGAATACCCGTTCAAAGCATTGGGGTCGGTCCGCGGATAGTCCTCACAGATGAAGCCGCGAGAGATCCGCTCGTACTTGTCTATCACTTTCCATTCGAAGTCCTTGCTCTTATAACCGTATAGTATGCACTCGGTTGCGACTTTCTCTGTCTGCTGCTTCCGGGCGTTGTCCAGGTTGGAAGCGGAGGATGACTTGGGCAGAGTGTTGCTGCGCGCTTTCTCCTCTTCTTGTTGTTGGGCGAATAGACGCCCGAATTCTGCTACATTGGGGTTTTCGCGCTTTGCTGCCGGCGTGCCGGTGCGTGTGCGAGATCGAGTGTGTTCATAGCGGGCGTTTCTGCGCTTGCCAAATGGGCCGGATTCTTCGGGGGGTCGCCGGGGGTTGCGAGATTCACTGGAAAGGTGATGGGTGAGAATTGGGTTGAAGTGATTTGGGAAAAGAACGCAATGGTGTAAGACTTACTCTTTGTAAACGTAGCCCCAGGGTAGGAGGTTACCCTTCTCGTCTCTGGCGCGCTCCTCCGGAGGAACGAAGTGGTACTCCATTTTGTAAAATAATGTGGATCGCTGCTGATATACTAGATGCAGGCAAGAAAGGAGATTTCCGGGACTGGAATTATCTCGTAAAGTAAGGAGGATAATAGGTGACGTTTGGATGAGAAAAAGCGGCCTTATGAAGGGATCCGTTGGATGGAAGCTGATTTCCGTCCAAAAGTTTTGGGCGCAACAAACAGTGAGTGTTAGCCCGGATACCGTCACGTGAGTCGCTGCGGTATGGACGGCGGATCTTGACCGCTTCAAGTCACTTTACCACAATACATTCAAGTATCCTTAATGTGTTATATATAGTCTGGGCCTCAATAGATGTAGCTAGCCTATATTTTCCTAGCACGATTACGGTCTGAACGCTACCCATCCAACAAAGGTGTTGTCAATCCTGATTTTTCATCCGTTCCCCGGACAATATATACCCAACCCAATATCATGTCAACACTCATCAAATTCAAACTAGATAATGCATCCATGATCATGATCTACGACTGTCCTAAGCGTATCTCGACTTATAATCACCCAGGTGATAATTCCAGGAAATAGCGCCTGATGCAACGGTCCTTCCAATCGAGGAAATGTTGAATAAACCCAGCTCATGCGGCAAATCTGCATTGGCTAGCATTCCTGAACAAAGCATGTTCCACAGACTACGAGCAACTATGTCAAAGAGGCCCTATAACTCTTAGATGACATACCTCAAATCCCTATTCAAGTTGATGTTGCCGAAGAGATGTACCATCCAAACCACATACATCCCCAAACTCTCCTACTTCAACCCTTCTTCTATCCACAATTGACCGACGAACTCCATGAACGGACAAGACAAGCCAGGTCCAAACTTACAGTATGGCAGTGACACAACCTTGTCGTTGATATTCATCCGGACAAATGTCTCGTTCATGTTATTGACAGGATCTGTAGGCGAACAGGTCATCCGTTCGAGCGTGACCCGACCACCCATTGGCATCACAGTTGAGGTATACCAAACGCGGTCTTCTGCCCGATGTGTGACAGGAAGAAATGGGTTGTACTTTGCGTCTTTCATTATGTCTAGTGCAGTCAAGAAAGGTGCTATATCCCCGTCGTGGACACTGGAACACACGTTAGACTCTTGGGTCTTAGCCCCCTTGGTTTGGATTCGACTCACAAACTGAAGAACATTGCATCCGCTTTGGGCCCTCTCGCAAAAGATTCGCTGTAGCATTCAGCCAAAGCCAGCCCATTGCGCCCGCATAAGGATTTCCCGGGTCATCACGATAGTAATGTACCAAATCAAGTCCGTATTCGAAATTCTTCCAATCTTCGCGCGAAAAGACTTCGCACCAGGGGCTTGAGCCCCGGACAGTCATCTCAAACCACACATCTCCTGCATACTGAAGACCTCGTAGTTGGTAAGCCCCTCAAGCTCACGGTTACCCTTCTCAACGAGCAGTCGCTCCGCAATAGACGGGATATACGCTTGCTGAAACAAAGTGAGCATCTTGATGCCGTTATAATGGCCACGAGCTTCATCTTCTAGATAGTTTAGACAGGTATCTCCCGGTTTGAGTGTATCTGCGCTGTGATCAAATGTCTCCGGGATGATTTTATAGCGGCCTTTCCGACCTTTTCCCAATCAGACCCAAATAACCCCGAGGCAAAGTGTTGGGCTGTTTCAATGACGCGATCAGGTTCACTTGCCCAGAGCTTTGTCTTCGCACCAGACGGGATGAGGTGTTCGTAACGGGCTGCGAATCGGACTCCAGTTTCGAAGGCCTATGAGTGCCAGCGTATGGACCGGTTGTGCTCAATTGCTCGAAGTCTCGTTCTGTATTGCTGGTGATGTAGGTCCAGTTGTTCAGGAATGACAATGAGCCGTTCAGCGGAGTCCCTGCTTTATGGATTCTATCCAAAAGGGCAAGATGGCCTGTAGCCATGGTGAAATGTCTCGTGAGTATTATTCAGAGACTCTCGTAATGGCAGATCACGTACGGCTTCCTGCAGACCTGGTTGGATATCTCGCCGCATGGCGTGACATCTAGTCGTCGATTAGTGCATTGGCATCTTGGATAAACAGAGAAAACAAGTACCATCTGTATCTGGTCGCCTGTGCAACTGTACGGTACGTCAACCCCCTGTGATTCATCATCTCCGGCAGATTTCTCGACTCAGGGCCCATATCCACCAAGGTTTTAGTGAACATTCCAGTCGTCATGTTGCTCTATACATGGGCTTTGAAACCAGGCCCTCCAGCTGGCACTGAAAGCTGATGAGAAGACAGAGTCATGACAGTTTATACTGCGCGACAGACTATAATTATGATAAAGAATTCCTGTCACTGCAGTGAAGAAAGATAATGTCAAAGAGCTAAGCGAGAGCACGTGAACCATGGTGAACACGGACCTCCCGACGTCACGGGCAGATGCATTTAGATGACATTGAGATCTGAAAAGAGATGGCTTATCAATGCCATGAAACAAAGGATGTTTGTCTAGTGTGTCCCACGGCCATGGCGACACCGAGATTTGCTCGCATTTTGCAGATTTGCGCAACATAGTTATCAGGTACTATATCTAAACCGAGGATTTCTGTCTCCCATTTCCTCAATTTCTTCTTCTGACATCCCTGCAATCTTCTCATCTTCCAGTCCCTGTTCTCGGCGCTTATTCTTCCCATGATAGTACCACCACATGAGACCATACACAACACCTGCAAATCCAACCAGCGACAGAGTCACTGCATTGCCCCGAACATAACGTGGCGCTTCATTCGTCTTGTATAAGAAAGGAGACATGACGCCGCTGACGTTGCCAAAAGTCAGTTGCAGCCCCGTGGCGAATGTACGCTTTCCATAACGAGGAAGTGTGGTCGGGAGCCATGCAAGAGGTAATCCGACGGCCACGTATAATCCTAGGGCAATAAGCAAGGCGCCGAAGTAATGTACTCCTGACGAAGAATCCGATATCAGGATTCCATAGCCCACCACTGATATGGCGGCAAAGATGCAAGTAAAAACTCCGCGACGCTGAGTTCTATCGCTCGCCCAAGCAATTATCAAGTAACTAATTGCGCCCACCGCATAACAAGGGATCGTAAGAGCTTGCACTTCGGGAGTTGTCCACGACCCCATGCCCTGAATAATTGTGGGGAGAAAGGTGCTGTACCCGTACAGCATAGTGTCGACACCAAATTGAGCAATGCAGAAGGCGTAGATTCTCCAGTCCAGCGCACCTTCTTTGACGTCTGCCCAGTGAAATCTTTGGGCGGACGATGTTTGGCCCACGTCGCGACGACGGAGTTGAACTACTAGGGCCTTCTCCTCTTCATCCAGGTAATAGGCTGTATCGAGGTCGTCTGCAAGAAAGAACCAGGATAGGCCTCCTAGTATGACGGTTGGAATGCCTTCTATGATCATGATCCATCTCCAACCTCGTAACCCGGCGACGCCGTCCATGAAGCCGATGCCGTAAGCTAGAAGTCCGCCAAATGCGCCGGCAGCGGCTGCACTGCTGAAGAGGTAGCCCGTGCGCAGTGCTATTTCACGCTTGCTATAGAAAATAGTGAGATAGGTAACCATTCCCGGAAACAGTCCGGCTTCCACGACGCCTATATCTGTTAGCTTAGGCTCGCATCACCAACTCATGGTCTGTGACCAACCTAGAAGGATGCGACAAGCGATGAGGCCTCCATAATTCTGGGTTATTCCAGTGAGAGTCGCTATGATGCCCCACATAACCGATATCGACGCAATATAGCGTGATGGCCTAAGCTTCTTGATAACCAAGTTTGACGGCACTTCGAAGAGCTAAAAAGTATTAGATGTTGCTTCCATACACATGTAAGCGAGCCCAGACGTACACAGTAAGTTACAAACAGAATAGATACTGCAATTTGGTATTGATCTCCGACCAGGCCCAGGTCTTCTTCCATCCCATATAGACGGGCATTGCCAATGTTGACTAGAGCTTGTTAGCAAGCATGCCAATCATTCGAATAGTCATAAACTGGAAGTAGACCTGCGAAGTAACATGTATAGGAAGACATACCTCTGTCAAGAAAGCTAAATAGATATAGAAGAACGACAAAAGGTATAATATGTAGGTCAATCTTGCGAATCAAATGCTTCTCCCGTTTCTCATCCAGTAATGAGAGAGCCGAGTCATTGCTATCACCGCCATCCATCGAGCCTCCAAATTGAGTTGGAGATCTAGGATCAGGCTTCTGTTCTTCTTGGTATTCCATCTTTGCTGTTGGAGTCTATTTCGTCATCCAACCTTGTAAAGGAACTGCACACGGGCCGAGATCTGGTCCCAACTTCCCGTGGACAATGCACTAGATCGATGTTTCAGGATCTGACTAGATCCATGATACACATGATAAATAAGAGACACAGACTGTACAATCCCAGAAATACTGATCACGATGGAAGTGAGGTGGGGGATTCCTGCAGCAGAAAATGGTGGCGATCTGGTGGGTGGCCAAGATTCGCCAAGGTTCCAGCCCGGCTGGGTTTTGACTTTAGTCTTCGCGGGCCTTTCCAGCTGCAAACCCACAATCTTACTTGGAGTACGCTCAAAATATCAGTGGCTCGAGATAAAATACTAGGAGTATGATAGAACCTAGCTCGCCACAAAACACCCATTTAGGAAATCCGTCGTTGCCAGCTACCGAGACTGTGCGGATATAGCTCCGCCGTTGCACTCATCCGGATGCAGATCATGTAGAAAACAAGGCGCGGAGATGACGAGAAACTCTATCATATGCAAACACAGCAGACCAACAGAGCGGATCTACTCATAGCCAAACATGAAGAAGAAATCTGGGATATGGTTTAATGCAAACAGTCAACCACGAAACTAGCACCAGGTTGTGGGTCAGAAAAGCAATGGCTGACTTCACAATGATGACTGCCCCCAGGTTCATTGATCCCATGATAGTGCCTGTTTGCTACGCGTACAGAAATGAGCGGTAAAAACGAAACGCATCACTAGGGGAAGGTTCAAAGTGGCTGCTCAATGGAGCCACATGGCCCTCCCGAAGAGGAATTTGTATGTACAACGTGTTATAAATGATGCTAAGCATGTCATAACTTCCCCGAATAACCCATAGCTAACATAACGATGTAGCGCGAATCCGGGTCAATAGAGCCGCTATAAGTATAGCGAATGAAACAATGATAGCAGTGCATTACATCGATTGATCGCGATGTTTTCGCGACTGTGCGAAGCTTGCATGCAGTCACAAGCTTACGTCCATCTATCTTGATTGTCAATAGAGAAGGAAAAACGTTTCGAGTTTTTCTAGGTGTTCTCTAAGTAGAACCAAAGCCTTTTTGCCTCTTCCTCAGATGTTTCTTCGGTTTCTTTCTCCATGTATAGCTGGAAGAGCTCGGTATGTCTTGCATGGACCTTCTCGAAGTCAAGCTGAGGGGAAATCCAACCTTCATCATCTGTCTGCAGCAATTCCTGTGTGTAACCTTTGAGTATTCGCCAGTTCTTGTACCGGGAAAGCTCCATTTCATGTTTCGATAAAGCCTCACTTGTGATATGATAAGGACATTGCTCAGCAATGCCCAGCTGATTCCAGTTTGCAGCAAGCTGAGTGAGACAGTCACGGAGGGGAATTATCCCATCCTTGGTCGTGTTCTCTGCGAACGTGTATAGATATCTTAAAGCAGAGTCAACTTGAGTCATAGCCAAGTACGACTCCATGTGGTTTATGACCAGAGATGCTTCGTAGCACTTCGAAAGCAGAGCTTGTTCTCTCTCGCTGATAGCAAAGGCCTTCTCGTCTGTATCCATGTCTTCGAAATCTGGAGGTAATTTCGGCTTGACAGCGCCGATCTCGTAGCCATCGGGTGGCGCAAGAAAAGAGGGCCACTGAACTTGCATGAAAGCAGGCATAATAGAGGTGAACTGCCAATCAATGACATTGACTATAGCTGTCGGGTCCTGTTCAGAGACGTATATGTTACCCATGTGAAGATCATTATGCCACAACGTAGGCTTGGAAAACTGTTGTAAAGATGTAAATCCGCCCAGGTGTGGTATTATATCCTTAGCCATCGTGAGTATATCGAAATGTTCAGATTTGGTGCCGAAATGGGTTGTACGAGGGGCGAAAGACGAATGTTGTAAGTGCGCAAGACCCCGTTCGGCCAATCCAAGGCCAAGATCTGTCAGTCCCTGCCCTAAGAAATCGCAAATTTAGCATGGGACTCTGATGGTAGACCGATAACATACATGGACCTGTGTGGGCTCTTCCACTCAGCTGTGGAGAGCACGAAGCATTATATGCTGGGCCGACACAATAGTCATCGTTCATTGGAACAATTGGGTCCGAGGCCTGAGCGTCTGAAGGAAGAAAGTACATGTTCCCATAGGCTGGAAACTCCAGAGCTGCCAGCTGGCTTTGAAGCCGGACCAGACATTGAACAAGCCTGAACTGTTGCAGCTGATTCATCTCGCCCCATACATCGACCAACTGTCTTCCGCAGGCCCTTTCCATCAGGATATACTCGGATTCAACTGGATTCGAGGCGCCGGAGCTCCAGCCCAGTACCTTACACACTGGAACGGAGGTATGAGACCTCACTGGTAGAAGCCGGTCAGCATATCCAGTCTTGAGATCGAAGGAGCAATACCGTATTCCATAACGGCTACTTCGGATGCAGTGCTGTGTTGCGGTGGCACAATCTTAGGACATGGAAGCTTCGCAATAACCTCCTTTCCATTCTCTGCAGTCATTAGCAAGACCTTGTTGAATCCTCCCTCCATCTTGTCGATCCTAGAGATGGGTGAAGAAACATGGGGCAGCGCCGAAATAAGGGCGCATAGCGCATCCAAATCAAATCTGGCATATCTTTTTGACATCTCACCCTTCTCATTAACTAGGAACCGACCATTTGTATATTCAAAACTGTTGCTCGTGTCGGATAGGCTTTCCTAAATGTAGCGATGGCCATCAGACCGGACTGCTGGAGGGGAGCTATGTGGAGCATACCGCGACACGTCAATGAGAGGCTTCTACATGCAGTTTTTGAAGCAAGAAAGGTGATCTTCAGGGACCTTGACCGTACTCTATGCATGGTGATTAAAAGGGAGAACGGTCACTGATCCATGGGAGCACCGTCAATCGGTTGTTGAGGTGGTATCCCGACGCCTTTTCGGCACCGAGAATGCCCCTTTCCCTGTCTCCCTCCAGAAACATCCTGGTCATTTGTGCCCCAGGCACCCACATATTGTCTGTCCAACGTGTGCGACGTCACAAACAACATCTCAACTTCGTCCAACCCCCCACACACGTATGAACAGGGATAGATCCTTTAGGTGTTATGGAAAAGCAATCATCCCATCGAAAGCCCTCAATGATCCCATCGGTGGAGCCATGACATACTTTGGGCCTATTGACCAACTAAATCCCTAGTGTCTAGGTGCCAACACTATGCGCGAATACTCGGCCTCTTTCCTGACCCAGCCATCTTTCTGCAGGCTTAGTGCCGGTAGTTATGGGGAGTGGGGTAAGAATTGGTCAAGCGCAATCACTCCTTCTCCCATTCGAAGAGGATTGTCTTTACCGACTAGTTGTGATATAACACATGAGAGAAACAGAAGACTCTTCATCTATTTCCAGACAAAGAGAATATCAGAAACCTATTATTGTCGAGTAGATTGCATTTCTGCAGGTTAGTTTCAATGTTCATGCTCAACCAACTACTCAATGCTCATGAGACTCATGGGGCAGTGCTTCAATCTCCATCCATAGAAGCCTAGGACTCCAGCCCCGCCATGAGACCCCCCTTACGACCGCCTATACGAATATACGAACAACAATTCCTTCATGCAAGGGTCTTCGCTTGAAAGTTCGTTTTGCAACACCTACACCGGCTTACTCTGTCGACTCCGACTGGGTTTGACCAACGCTGTCCCCGATGTTTCTCCGCACTCGGCAAAGCCCCGCAGTCCGGGGCCAATTGAAGGGATTGTGGAGTGGGCACCAGGGGTATACCGATGCTATACTCCGCAGTATCTATTCAATTTCACCGAGCAAAGGTTGAAATTTCACCGAGGAAGCGTAGACCGGTGGGCCGATATTCTCGGTCAAGGAGCAGGCATCCGCTCAATCCCGAGTGTGGTCCGTGGTACAATGTCAACAGCACCCCACGCGGGGAAATGCATACATCCTTGAATGACACACCCCGGATTTGTGAAATACAACCGATGCCGATCACGCAAGTACAGCCGACTAACTGAGACAGCATATATGTGGATGAAAAGGGAGAGTAAAGACAAATTGAAGTAAGGGAAAAAGAAAGAGGAAGTCAATGTGGGTTTACAAATGATATGGGCCAGATACGAAGTGGATGAGGCATTAAAATTCAATTCGGCGTCAATATGTAGTAGAAGGTTTGTATATCTGGGCACATTATTGCAGGACCCCACTCCTTTGAACGAGAGACTCGGAGTCCACTGGCGCACATATAAACCCGGTCATTCTATGCCTGAATTTCTAGAGACAATCCTCAGTCACTGCGCGGTTTTCTCAAAGGGTTTGTTAGCAATGGCTCCTCTGTCGAAAGCCCTAAGTGTTTTTATGTTGATGGGCATTACACATGCCTTCAATTATGACCAGCCGTATCGTGGTCAATACCATTTCTCACCCCAGAAGAACTGGATGAATGACCCCAACGGGCTCCTATACCACAATGGAACCTACCATATGTTCTTCCAGTATAACCCTGGTGGTATTGAGTGGGGCAACATATCATGGGGGCATGCTGTCAGTGAGGATCTCACCCAATGGGAGGAACAGCCTGTTGCCCTTCTGGCCCGAGGATTTGGCAGCAACGTCACCGAGATGTACTTCAGCGGAAGTGCTGTTGCTGATGTCAACAACACGAGTGGCTTTGGGAAGGACGGCAAGACGCCCCTAGTCGCCATGTATACTTCCTATGTACCTATCCCATCACCGAACCATCTCCTAGCGTGCATATCACTAACAATGCCATCACAGTACCCTGTTGCGCAAACATTGCCGAGTGGCCAGACCGTCCAAGAAGACCAGCAATCACAGTCCATCGCCTACAGTCTTGACGATGGCCTGACATGGACGACATACGATGCCGCCAATCCAGTCATTCCCAATCCCCCCAGCCCCTACGAAGCTGAATACCAGAACTTCCGGGACCCCTTCGTGTTCTGGCACGACGAGTCCCAGAATTGGGTGGTCATATTGAGTATAGCCGAGCTGCACAAACTCGCGATCTACACTTCCGATAACCTCAAAGACTGGAAGCTAGTGAGCGAGTTTGGTCCTTACAACGCGCAAGGCGGAGTGTGGGAGTGTCCCGGACTCGTCAAGCTCCCCCTTGACGGTGGAAATTCCACAAAATGGGTCATCACAAGCGGACTGAACCCCGGTGGTCCCCCAGACACTGTCGGCTCCGGAACCCAGTACTTCGTGGGAGAGTTCGACGGAACCACATTCACGCCCGACGCCGACACAGTATACCCAGGAAACTCCACCGCCAATTGGATGGACTGGGGTCCGGACTTCTATGCCGCAGCTGGTTACAACGGCCTCTCGCTTCACAACCACGTCCATATCGGCTGGATGAACAACTGGCAGTATGGCGCACACATTCCCACCTACCCCTGGCGCAGCGCCATGGCCATTCCCCGCCACATGGCTCTAAAGACCATTGGCAACAAAGTAACCCTAGTCCAGCAACCCCAGGAAGCGTGGTCTTCTATCACAAACAAGCGTCCGATCTATTCACGTACCTTCAAGACCTTCTCTGAAGGCTCCACCAACACAACCACGACCGGAGAAACATTCAGAGTGGACTTGAGCTTCTCTGCTAAGTCGAAGGCCTCGACAATTGCAATTGCCCTCCGAGCATCCGCCAACTTCACCGAGCAGACTCTCGTTGGCTATGACTTCGCCAAGCAGCAAATCTTCCTTGACCGTACACACTCCGGAGACGTGTCATTCGATAAGACCTTCGCGAGCGTCTATCATGGACCTCTGACGCCGGATAGCACTGGTGTCGTGAAGTTGAGTATCTTCGTCGATAGGTCCAGCGTCGAGGTATTTGGCGGCCAGGGCGAGACAACCCTGACGGCTCAGATCTTCCCTAGCAGTGATGCGGTTCACGCCCGTCTGGTGTCTACTGATGGAACTACTGAGGACGTTAGCCTTGACATCTACAAGATTGCTTCGACGTGGAATTGATGCCTTGTCTCTACATGTGGCAGCATATGTGTTTGCTTGTCGTTCTATTTGAGGTTGAGCTGTAGATATAGCAAAGACGCATTGAAATTTCATCCACATGGTCAATCAATAGTAAACAAGTTACTCTGCATCTAACTAGGTACCGATAGAAATGACGTCAGCAACACTCCCGTATCGGGTAATGATCAGGATCCCGAGGCATGGCTGGTTCACGTGCCGACTGCATGAGGTACAACTCTATCCGTGAGGGGGCTGATTATAGACTTACCACTTCTGCTGTCAGCATCTGTTCATCCAAGTAATCATTTTCAGAATTGAAAGCAATATCATCTTCATTCACGCGCAATATGTCGGAAAACTACGGCGACTATCAGACTGAGATCTATGGCCGAGGAGCATTGACAGGCGTCTTGCCTAATGTTACTACTGATCCTCGCTTACTTGAAGAACAGGCAAAGAAGGCCCTAGGCGATCGTAGCTTCAACTATGTGGCTGGCGGTGCTGGAGAGAAGGCTACAATGGATAGCAATCGGCTGGCTTTTCGACAATGGAAGCTGTAAGTTAATTTCTCTCCGCCACGATGTTGCTACGTAGAACCGGAAGACTAACGCGCATAACGTTTGATTATTTGAAAAGAATCCCGAGGATGCTGAAGCCGGTTAGTAGATTTCAGTCGGTTCCTCAAAATCCCAGCGCTGACCACTGGTTATGTCCGCGTAGATGAATGATCAGAACCTTGCGGTAAACCTTTTTGGCCAGCAATATCCAACTCCTCTTCTCATGGCGCCGGTCGGGGTCCAGTCTATTTTCCATGATGATAAGGAGTCTGGCCTTGCAGAAGCCTGCGGGAATGTCGGGATCCCGTATATCCTTGGCACCGCGAGTAGCAGCTCGATTGAGGAGGTCGGGCAGGCAAATGGAGACGGTAAAAGATGGTTCCAACTTTACTGGCCGCGAGACGATGATATCACGCTATCTTTGCTGAAACGCGCCAAAGATAATGGGTTTTCCGTCCTGGTAGTTACGCTAGACACTTGGTCGCTCGCTTGGCGACCAGCGGACCTGGACAATGCCTACGTTCCGTTCATACGGGGCGTCGGCAACACACTCGGTTTTACGGATCCCGTATTTCGTGCGAAGTTTGAAAAGGAGTCCGGTTCAAAGGTTGAAGAGGACATCGTGGGGGCGTCCAAGTCATGGATTTCCCAGGTGTTCTATGGTCAGCCGCATGCGTGGGAGCAAATTGCATTTTTGCGGAAGAATTGGGATGGTCCGATTGTACTCAAGGGCATTCAGCATGTGGATGATGCGAAGCTCGCCCTTGAGGCGGGATGTGACGGTATTGTCGTTTCAAACCATGGCGGTATGCAATAGTCACTCTCCAGCGAAGAATCTTTCAACTAACATGTATACAGGTCGACAGGTTGATGGTGCGATCGGCTCACTGGAAGTTCTCCCCGAGATAGTTGATGCTGTTGGTGGCAATATGACAGTTCTTTTTGATTCAGGGGTTCGCACTGGAGCAGATATCATCAAAGCGCTTTGTCTGGGAGCGGATGCTGTCTTGGTTGGCAGGCCGGTGATCTATGGGTTGGCAATCGATGGAAAGAACGGGGCTGAAGCCGTAATGAAGGGACTTCTGGCGGATCTCTGGCAGACCATGAGTTTATCAGGGATATGTACCGTGGCCGAGTGCACCCGCGACAAGATCAGGAAGGTTGTGTACCCTGGAGATGGGAAGGCAATGTTGTGACATGTAACATATTATTGGCCGGCAACGTGAAGATGCCCAATTAAGGGAAAGATCTGATGACGGAGTTTGGGGAAGGAATGAGGGGAAAATTGGGGCCTGTGGGGTAGCACCAAATCTTGATACTTGTATACTTGCTTCGCGATAATGAATTCGCGTCGCGTTCTCCCCACAGAGGGGGAAGGAACACTACCAGTGTCCGTCATGAGTTAGTTGCGTAGGGGTGGATTCTGCCCGAAGATGAAGCCGACGACCCAAGTTTTGTTGGGGCGATCCCGCAAAATCACATGCCGGCTCTCAACCGCAGCCCCTAATGAGTGGTTGCTTATTCGTCGCCACCGGCTACTGATCTACATTTCTGTCTGCCGGTCAACCACTGCAGGAACCAGTCTTCGACTGCTACGTTCAACCGCTGATCTGGTCAGGCATCTCTTATCGGCCAGTATTCTTCGAATCTGTACCTGCACCTCTGTTCATGTCTCTGACTTGAGACCAGTGCCTCATGGCTGCACAACATCCGCCTAATGTAAACCAAGACAGTCTCAACCAATACTTGAGGCCCCGAGATGTCTAGATTCTTTGGTTTCGGGAGGGCGAAGAAGCAGGATGTCGAAGAACAAACGCAAGTAGATGTCCTCCGTGACAATGGCGCCGCTCATGTTCCTGCCACTTCGGGCTTACCTCTCCTTCCTCGTCCCCTGGCGTCCATGGTGTCGTTCATGACGCAGTCGACTTCGCTCTCTCTTCGCCTGGGAACGTTTGTCGGAGGTCTTGCGCTTGATAGTGCAAAAGCGACAACGTTAACGGGGCTTGAACTCAGTAGAGCCATGATTGAAGGCATACTGACTCGAGCTGGGCGTGATGTCGCCATCAGGACCAGCGGAGAGCATGGGAAGGCAGAAGCAGAGTCGCTACTAGAACGAAGCGTGAGTTTTCGTCCGAATTATAATCCTGCATCTTCTTAAGGCTAACTCAGGACTTAGTTGGCCACTTTGCACAAGACAGTCACGTCTGCGTCATTCTTTGCAGCTGCTTCATTCCACCTTTCCTCTACCACACTCTCTTCTGCTGCCAACATGTCTCAATCTCTTTTGTCTACCCTCGACGCTATCCTTGGCTCTACAGAGTCGTCGAGGGCGATTGCTGCCATCATTACCCTTATTCGGAGGGAATTCAGGAGTCCGCATACCGACCTTGGTACTGACAAGATCGGTGTGGGCGATCTTCTTGTTGGCTGTGTTGGGTTTGCACTCCTGCAACGCTGGGGAAGGACAAATACGCAAAGACACCTCCGCGCAAACAATGGGGAGGAAACAGTCTGGGATGTTGTTATATTGGATAATGGGCTGAGAGCAGATGTTGTCGGTTCACACCAACTAGAAATGGCGACTATTTCTTATGATCAGCCAAACGATAGTATGAATCGCTCGTCATTCATATCGCCTGGAAATGATGAAGAGGTTTTCGATGCTGTACGGAGACCTGCAAGTACAATCGATCCCGATGAGGTCCCGTACCTCTCGCTTCCCCCGGGAGATCAACATCAAGTGTCAGACGAAGATATCCGCTTATACATAATGAAGCAACTCCCCCAGGGCTGCCGTGCGTCTATCAGGACGGACTTGGTCACAGCACGTACAATCACAGTGGAAGTTTACGACGACGCCACTGCAGAAATCTCCCCACCACCAGGCACAACGATAGTCAAGGAGACTTGCGGTGATGAGCTCGATCATAAGCACACAAACGGGCCACAGGTTCCCAAACATACTGTGGTATTCCGCACAGCTTTTAATAGTACCCGAAGCTCCGATGTGCGACCTTCCAGGTCTGATTTGGCAGTGAATCATGATGACAATGATATGGAGGACCTAAGCGAGCATCAATCACTGGGGAACACCAGGGATGAGATGCTCAATGCCGACAACTCGTTACATGGCATGCTTTGCGCTGAAAGACACGTGGGTGTTGATCCTAGTGTAAGAAAACCGCAACTCATCTCCCCGAAGAAGCAAGCAATCAAGTCGTCGAGAGACTCTCATGAGAAAGCTTCACTGTCGAAGCTCACGCCGAAGACGAAGCCTATACCATCGAGCAAGAAAGATACTGGTAAGTCCGCCGGGGTGGTTGTCGAAAAGTCAAAGACGCCTTCTTCGTCAGAGAACCTACCTCAGCGCGGAACAATACCAAAACATTCCAATCCCACGAAGAAGCTCGACAACTCGCCGGTACCACACAACCGCGGGTCTTCAGCATCCGTGGCAAATAGAGGCTTACCGAGGATACCATTGCAAGGACACCGAGTGAAATCCGCCCCGACTCCCACGTCATGCCCATCCCACGATACTAAGCACGGAAGAAATTCCAGAACAGATAACTATACGATACATGAGAAGAATAATGAGTCATTCATGGCACAAACAGATGCTTATACTCGGCAACCTTTGGACCTACGACCGGGAACGCCAACTCCAAGGAGGGCTCACGTACGTAGCAGCAGCTCTATGTCCTTGACTAGGTCAGAAAGTGATGTGGCAATATCCCTGAACGACGATTCTCGGCCGGGATCACCTGTATTCTACCGCCAGTCGGGCTCATTCTCCCCGAGCCTCTATTCTTTAGCAACCGCGGGCTCTGAAACATCCCTGATATTGGCTCACCGTGCGCGAAAAAGTGCATACGATGACATAGAGACTATTCGTGCGCTCAACCGGGACGGTACCGTCCCGGGCATCTTTCCGGAAAAGCACTTTGTGCACAACATCAGACGTTTCTGTCGCTTCTCTTCAGCTTCTTATGGTTCGAGCGCACTCAAAGTTATGGGTATCCCACGGACCACGCAAGTTCTTCCTTACCAAGAATCATACAGTCCTGAGCATAGCGAGTTCTCGGACCATGCAGGCCTACCAGCTTCTACAATCTTGTTATCATCCTATGTGGACCCTGCAGGTGGGACTAATGCTGCCGGAGAGACAGAGAGTGGCTTTCCTCTAGTCCATTACCTTTTTGTGGATCATGAGTCTAAGGCGGTAGTTCTTACTTTGAGAGGGACGTGGGGCTTTGAAGACATCCTCACAGACATGACATGTGATTACGATGATCTCGAATGGCAAGGTAGAAGTTGGAAAGTCCATAAGGGCATGCACGCTTCTGCAAAGCGGCTATTGATGGGTGGAAGCAGCCGAGTTATGATTACGATTCGGGCGGCCCTGGAGGAATTTCCGGATTATGGTGTGGTGTTCTGCGGTCACTCACTGGGAGGGGGCGTCGCCGCCCTCCTAGCAACAATGATCTCAGAGCCGAATAACGACAGTTCTGGAACATCGTTCACTACTACTTCCTACCAGTCTGCCAAAGGAAATTTACGTCTGACTGGAGGCAGTGAGGGTAACTGCAGCGCTGCCCTTTCCCTTCCTCCTGGAAGGCCTATACATGTCTATGCCTACGGCCCTCCCTCAACTATGTCCCCCTTCTTGCGCCGTGCGACGCGCGGCCTGATAACGACAGTTGTCAACGGACAAGATGTGGTGCCTAGCCTCTCACTAGGCATTTTGCATGATATGCATACGGCGTCACTAGCATTCAAAAGCGATGTCTCTAATGCCAAATCGCACGTACGGTTTCGCGTCTGGGAAGGCTTGAGGCAGAGTATAGTTAACAAATTCTACGTCAATGAGCCGCCTATCCTTACACACGCGGGGAATGACGTTGGGGAAGATGCTTGGGCCTGGGATACTTTGAAGATGCTCAGAGACGAAATGCGTGCTCCAAAGCTGATGCCTCCGGGAGAGGTATTCGTGGTTGAGACAATGCGGGTCCTCCAGCGGAATGCTTTTACTGCTGACATGGACAAGGATGGCTATCCATTGCTAGGTCGACCCGCAACAAGAGTGCAACTGAAGTTCATTCGGGATACTGAAGCATTATTCGGAGAATTAAAGTTCGGCTCGGGCATGTTCAGTGACCATAATCCGGCGAGATACGAAGCCAGTCTCGCTGCTCTTGCGCGAGGTATCTTGGATAGTTGATACTTTCGTTGAATATTTGCTCATCTGGCTAAGCGGTTTTTTATGGTGTATATATTGGGATATAGCGCGATTTACTGGCACTTGGGACGAGATATCATATTAATTCATAGATTTCTTTCGGCTCTATTTACCTGCACCTGACCGGTCGTGCCGATGTACCGTTGGTGGCATTGATGACCCAAGTTTAGTACTCATAGTACTGGATGAGTCACTTCGTAGACGGTGGAAAGATGTTTTGGCGTGTACAAAGCCACCGTGAGGCCATTGAGCCACCTTGGGTTCGTCTAGTATTTGGTGTGCAAGCGACCAAATATACCACAAACTATTCGCGCCATGTAGGAGATGGACGACGGTTGTGAGCATTATGATCCCTCTTCCCAACCGCTTCTGCACAGCTCTGCTAGAAGCTCATCGTCTACCGTCGCAAAGCGCAGCGGGACACAAGGAAGCGAAGATTCCACACTTATTTGTCCTTCGGACGCGAGTATGCAGCCTTGGAAGAGCGGGCTCTGTCCCTTGGCAAAGGAGTGCTAGCAGGCTGCATTGCCGCCACGACATAGCAGAGCCAAGCAGCGCAGAGGTTTCAAAGGCTCAAAGCGGCTTTCTGACAAGGAGGCTGTGTAGATTGGCGTCCTCTACCAACACCACAATGAGCATCTAGAACGACATCCTGACAGCCCGGCTTCATGAACCACCTACCTGCTTGCTGTACTCCTGAACTTCTCGAAGAATTCCCCTTGTTACTTATAATTTGGTGGCTCCCTCTTCGGCCCGTCCATATTCTTCAGCTTTCTTTCCTCGATCTTCACGTCCAAGTCGCGGAGCTGCTTCTCAACGAGCTCTTTCTTCGATACCAAATTCTGTCGCATGCTTCGGAGGCCGTCGATTCGGTCGTCAATGGTAACTTCTTGGGTTTTTTGGGCTTGCTATATACCATAACCACCGATTTAGCACTTGTAATACCCCATATGGACCAAATAT